TTGTTTTCTTTCGTTCTTGCTCACCCACTTTCCGTGACACCCTGCACTCATTGCCCAATGGAAGATTCTTCAAAAAATCAACGGAAGGTTTGGGGCTCCTGTTCATCTCATCCGCAGCTTCGCATAACGTATCCGTCACTTTTGGTGCAGTTGTTCAAACAAAAGGCGGACGCCGTACTCGGGGCGGCTGGCTGGCCCGGTACTTGCCCCGGAGTCCGGTCAAGCAGCGGCGGACCGGATGGCAGCGGAACAGCCGGAACGGAAGACGGTTTGAGCAACGAACTTCTTCCCATGGCGGCACACATAAGGGTAAGGTCTTGCGCTCGGCCGAACAGCTGGTGTTAATCAGGGCCTAAGCTGAACATTCTATCGACCTTTGCTCACAACGAGTACACGTTTCTCAGAGGCTCATGGACGGAATCTGTACCGAACTGTGTTGTGTGGAGGGATGCGGAACAACAGGGAGGAGCCTACCATCCAGTCTCTATTGCGTCAGAACATGAGCAAATTTTCGGCGGACACTCTTCCTTGCACTTTTGAGGAGCTCAGGGCTTGTTTCTCTATTTTTTGCAGGTATGGTCCGATGAGACTCAAAGCTTCAAGACAGCGTCCCTGCCGGTACGTCACCAATGCGTCACTCCACGTTATTTTCTTCGAACGTGGGACCCTAGCGTATGCGAGTTTGGATTGCCGCAATTTGAACCAGGGTTAGCTGGGGTTTGCAGGGGATCAGATTTGTGTAGGAGGCGAAGTCGCAGGTTTGCCACTTCTGGGTTGCACTCCGTTGCTTAAAAGAGGCTAGTCTTGAGTGATCCACGTGGCTGTCACGGCGCCCTTGAACCTGCAACACCAGCTTTAGATTCGCCGCGAGATTTTTGCACGTGCAGATCGGGGCGACGAGCCGCTTCATGATATATGCTTCTTGGTCGCTTGACGCGAGCGAGCCGGCCAGGCTTTCTTTAGCCACACCACGATCATTGCTCCGTTCACTTTTTTTGTCCTTTCAATGCCACTCGGCATTTGCAAATGACGTCGTCAATGAAACTGGACCCTTGATATTGACGTCGTCACTGCTTCTAGAGTGACCTGTCAGCCGTTTTTTGCTTGGGTCGCCCTTCGAAAGACCCGCAAATAACTAAGCTGCTAGTATTCGACGTCGCTGCAGGGCCTCTGCGTACACGAGAGCGCGTTTCTGCTCCGGACGCAGGAAGCGGTCCGTATGTCCGTTCTGGCGTCCGATTCCAGCCCGCGAAAGTCGAAAGACACCCACGATTCACTTGGAAAAGTCAGAGGCTTCGACATGCTCCATAAGCTTACAGGTGGGACCTCGCGCTGCCTCATTCTTTTTCCATCCGCACCTTTTGCTTCTTCTCTTTCCTTCTCCGTGCAATTCTTGCTGCCGCTTCCTCGAAGCCTATCCCTATTGGTTTCCATCCTCCGCAAAGACGAGCAGCCGGGCTTCTTGCTTGAGTGTCTCCGTTTCTTGTCTGCTGCCTGCGGGATTGAAAGCCGCCGTGTCTGAGTTGTGTGCGGCATCTGCAACAGCTTTTTCTGGAAGCTTTTCTCAACGTTTCCGTTCTTTCCGTTGTCCCGTCCGGCGACTGGTCCGAGCCCCGGGCTAGCAGACTGTGTGCGCAATTTGAGGACGTTTCGAAACTCCCAAGTTTCTATCTCTCCTCAAACGGCAACTCAGATATTCTTCCAAGATTATTTTACGATCATTCGCTTGCGACACGTGCTTTGTAGGAATCGAATGATTGCTCGGTCGTTCATACGTCTGTCTTCGTTTTCTGCAGGTTCACTTCCCCTGCTTGGCTCGCGGCTCCGTGTTGCGGGCGTTTGCGACCTACTTCATGCACCGGGCTTGCTCGGTTGACGACTCGGTTCCTTCTACCGGGGGCCCCGTTGTTCCATTAGACTTTCTCGTAGGTATGAATCGGGGAGGATTGGCCCCTCATAGGCACTGGAATCTTACAGACCCTCGCGCACCATTCGCGTCGCTGGTAAGGGACACCGCAATTGGGAGAAAGAAAGGTGAGAAGTGCAGTAGTTTAGATGTGGTAGAGGAAGAAGATAGGCATGAGCATCCGGATGTTTTAGGCATGGCTCTCAACTTTTTTGGGGTTGCGAAGATGCTAAGAAAGGATTCGCGGATCCTTGGGACAGGTTTTGAGCGGCCGAGGGGAAGACATAGCAGGCGCAGCTCGGAAAACGAGCCCGCTCTAGAGCTCTTGCTGGGTGTAGATCGGACGAGTAGGCCGAACTCTAGAAGGACGTCACGCGCGGATCGTTAGATGAGTTATAGCAGCCGCTGATGGATTGCCGCATTAGCGTCCATCCTCCGGTATAAGTGCTGCACAGAGTCGTCAAAACGTAAAGAACCATTTCACCGCGTCAATTGGTTTTCGATACCAGAATAGATGGAGGTGCACACTGCAGGACTGATAGACAAGACCGCTTTTTTGTTTGCGAGCGCAGCCACAAGGAATGTTACTGCAGGAGATATGCGAGGAATCCGGTCTAAGAAACAGGCCGGACTTGATACTCAAGCTAGCTAGTGCCGGGACTTTGGTCTGATTGTACAAAACATTTATGTTCACACCGTGAAAATCAAGCGGATCGTTTGATTGCCGGCGACTTTGTGGGATTCCGTTCGCGCGCGCTGCCTTGATCATTGAGTTGATGTACATACTACAGTCCCGTCGACCTCAGGCTGCTTGCTTGAAGCTTCAGTTCGACTGCTTTTGTTTCCAGAACATTTTTGGACATGTTTGATTCCGGCCAGCTCATTAACAAGTCAGTCTCTGTAATCAAATCGCGTCTCGAGATCACAGCTTTAGCGCGCCGACTACCGGGACTGGCTTTGCTGAAACCCGGAGCCGTTCATGAATTAATGCAAGATCGAAACAAGCTTTGCGCCCTTGTGCACTCCTTCCTTAATCCAGGTTCTGTTTTAGAATCTGATCGCGACTGCATGTGTGTGGCATGGAGAGGCTAAGTGGTCGCATGCATGTTCTAATGCATGCGGGTTCATGTGGGCCGGCGGCGGAACTCCTCAGCATATCATCTTCGGCTGGCCTTATCGGGACTTTTCGAAGCTTTGCAAGCTCGGCCGTATGTACAGATTAGTAATGATCGGTAAGGGGACACGCAATAGTAGATTCATTAAAGTAGGTGTCTGACGTAACAATCATATAAGGGTCGGACTTGCTGCATATTGGGATGATGGTTCATCCGGTTCCGTTCTGAAATCATGTGAAAGGTTCGAACCAAAAAGGACCTGGAGCGAGACGCGCTTGATGCAAGCTAGCCAAAAGTCTCAGATGCCATGCTGATCCAATGATCCCGCAAAGAGCGCTTTAACTCGTAGCGCTCGTTCGATCAGAATGTCAATGTTACAGGAAAAAGAAACAACGGAGTAAATGACCAAAGGGACCTATCCAGTGTCCTATGGATAATACCTATGCAAGCATGTGCTGTCAGGACTCAAAGGAGAGTTTTCGAACATCGCGACTTCAGTTTTAACCGAATTGACTAACATTGGTTATCAAACCATCGAAGCTGCCGCAATCAGAATGCCGCTGAGTACGATACTTGCGCTCAAGGTCTTTCCGCTGCCTGCTGCTCCACCCGAGGTTTGTGCGCCGACGTCACTCGTGTTCGCTCCGTTGGGAGGGGGAGGAGAGGGGTCCGTTGGGCTGGGTGTAAGCTCAGGGGTGGGCGTCGCTGTGGGAGACGCTGGCATGAGCTTTGGCGGAAGCGCAACGGTCGGAGGAATGGCCGAGCAGCTGGACAGAGTGAACTGCGGCTGATCGTCCGTGACGTTGGTCGAGCACTTGGAGACGGGAGCGATGGAGTTGAACAAAGTGGACGTGAGGCAGCCGCACGTGCCGTCAAAGTTGAGGCAGGGCGCGTACAGCCTCTTGCAGCCGCCGGTGGAGAAGGAGAGGATGTCGACACCGCTTGAGATCCCGTCCGTGGCGTCGTGTAGGAAGAAGGCGAGGTCGGTGGAAGACGATTTTGCGAAGACGCCAGCGTAAGCGGTCCCAGGCCGGTTTGCGGTGTCGTAAGCGATGACCATGGTCGTCATGGTCGAAACACTCAGTTCCTGGAATGAACAATGATCAGGAAATACATAAGAAGCACGCCAAATTTGTTCGCCTAGCACGTTCATGAACCGGAATTCCTATTCTGAGCAATCAGCTCTGCCTTGAATACCGAGAAACGGTGAGTTCTGTGCTGTACAGCTGCTTCCAAATCAGTGCGAATCTCATGCAGCGAATCAACGGACCCCAGGAACACCTACTATCGGATGCTGCATACCTCAGATATAGCTCCTGCATAGATTGGCTTGGAGGGGTCATTTGTCAACAGATAGACCAAACCATCTCTGTCGTCCACAGAAACGCCTCTGAAGGTCTGGTTGAAAGATGACTGGAGCCACGAAACAGAGCCACTCGCCACTTCTAGCCTGCAAAGCACAATTGAGAAAGGGACTTTTAGTAAGTTTTGACTCAACAAATGAAGATCCTTGCCTGAAAGCCTTTGTGTTCTCAAGTGAAGTGTGGCGAAAGACGATAATGCTTTTTCAATCCTTGCTTCATCTACTCTTTCAGTATTCGTGCTAACGGGGAAGTTCAGACGTCCAGGATCCGTACTATCACAGCACAGAATTAGGTATAAACCACGATGGATCAATGTAGATTCCGCAGTGAAACTCACCGAGCCGCAAAACTTGTCTTTCCAGAGCTGGCATTCCAGCTACTGTATGAGCAAGCTGCGACGTAAAGATACTGCGCACTTCCTTCCATAACCACGCTCATGTAATCAGAGGTAGTTGTATCTGCTGGTCCAAGGTCTACGAAGCTCCAAACGTGTGTATCTAGATTGACCTTCAGCACCTGCAGCAGGGAGTATTGCTTTGAAATGTATGCGGATTCCGATAGATCTTGCACTTCGAAATTCATCCAAGCAAATCCTCTTGAGGTCCTGGTGGTTCCGAACGGCCAGCTTTGAAGCTGGCATGTTGATTGTGTTTGATACATGTGAAACAGATAGCGACATAGAAGCGTTCAGAAATCATGTACCTCACCTGAACCTTTCCACCGGACCGGTTTGCATCCTGAGAGACGTAGAAGGCGCTTCTTCCAGGAACATCGAACGCGACTCCCGAAACGAATGGCAAGAAGCCCTTCGGCGAGAGCTTAGGCCCAGGAGCTGGGTTGCTGGGGTCCGAGAGATCATATAAAGCAAGGGTGGATCCCATGCAAATCCACAAAGTCTTTGTCAGCGGGTCATAGGCGATGCTGTTGAACGTTTCTCGCGAACGAAGGTCTTGAGATGGTCCGAACACTGTCATTTGGCTGCCTGCATCAGGAGAAAATGGATTGGATTCTGCAGCCTGAAGTTTGCACAGCTAGGATTTAGGTGAAAATCTTGGACAGAAAAGTGCAAAATTCACACAGTTCAATTCATTGCTTTGTTGTGACTGCCAGAAGCTGCTCAAAAGCTCTTGTCACTAACCTGCTTTGAAGCTTCAGACTTACTTGTATAGTTGACGATTGACAGCATGTTGCTGAAGCTTGATGGGGATCTTTGAATAGCGGTCGCCAGATAAGCGAGTCCTCTGGCAGTATCCATGGCAAACAGCTGAGCTTCATTGGGGGTGGTCAAGCTGATGGACTCATCAGGACATCGGAACACGTTGCTTTGATTGAGGCTAAGAGATACTGGGATTCGCCAAAACTGCAGGAAAGAAATATACACGAAAGCAGATTAGATTTCTAAGGGATTGGAAGGCATCTCAATGAATGCAATGAAGTTGAGTCCCAGCAACCTGGTCATAATGTCGTATTTCGAGCTTTCGAAGCAGCTTAACAACGATCCAAACGATGTTTGAAGAACGATATCTGCCTCCAAGATCGTTCAAAATTCGGGATTTCAACAGTTTACCTGTTGGTCGATCGCAGCAAAGAGATACTCTTCCGTTTCATCCAGAAACAGATTGCCGTACCGATTTGACCTGCAAGCAAACCACATGAACTCTGTTACCAACCTAGGTTCCGACCAGAGCAACCTTTGCAAACGAAAACCAGCGCAGAACAACCTAGCGTCTAAGTTTTACTGTTCTGAAACTCGATAGAAGGTCACAAGAATGCAGCAGTCCTCCTTGCTGAACCAATTTGAAATGGATGAACTCAAAATTTTGGGCCTCATATGAATACTCACGTATCGTGCATCTGAAGGTCGGAAATGACGGTGATCTGCGCAGCGAACCACCAAAGAAGCGTAAGCTCGCTGGTATACATTAGTAGAAGGATAGTCCAGAAATGTTTGAATCTTCTCATTTTCTTCTTTATCAATGATAGGTAGCGTCTCCCGATCTGACCTCTGCTACGCTCCTCTCATGGTTACATAAAATCAGTAACATTTGCGCGCAGCAGAGCTTAGGCAGGATGTTTCTTTCTGAATTTCGTTTAGCTTGTTGACTGCGTGACTTGCCTTGCTAGGAAAATAGGCTCTCTCTCTGTGCACGGTAGAAACAACTAGAACATTGTTTCTCCTGGAAACAACGTCGTGGATCTCGCCACTTTTACAACCATTCGGAAAATCTTGGAATTTGGAGGTTGGGGGTAGAACACAGAGCTCCCTGAAAGATACAAAAGAACAAGGGGACAGACAATAGGTGTCTGTTGCTTGGTTCTTCGGCTGGTGGCACCAACATAATGAAAAATAGGTCCTTTAGCCCCAGCTTCTAGAAACAACGTACCTGATTTGCGGATCCCCCTGGCAGGCATCCAGGAAACGCGTACACAGATTTAGTGGCAAAGCTCAAAAGACCGAGAAGAGCCAGCAGAGCTGAAGAACAGGAAAAGCGCTCATTCAGCCAGCCAGCCATCCTGCGAGCTGTAGGAGTCGTCCTTTCTGGTCCCCACGCTTCGACCTTCCAATTAGTATCCTGGAAGGCTCTACCGTCTCCACAGCCTCGCACTAGCGCAAACAGAAGTTCCAGTCGTTTGGTACTGCTCAGCCGAGGCAAGACTTGATACAAGACAGCCGAAACCCACTGTGCCAGAGGGCGCACTAACACGAATTCAGCAATGATCGGCCTTTCAGATGGGGACCAGAGGGGCGCCCTCGCCCGTCCTCGCTCGAAATACCTTGTTTTTCAAGACGAATAAAAATGCTAGATCTTATGTGGCGGGAAACAATCTGCATACAGTATTTGCAATCCGCTCTGAGCAGTCTGAATTTCAAGCTTCAGGCCGGGCTCAGTGACGATCCGCGGCCGCGCGCCGCGTCGAAGCTGGTGACTCACTAGCTGGTGGTCAACACCAGTCTATTTTGGGTGAGACGCTGGCATGCAATCGGTAGAGACCCGAACACCCTCGCGCCTCGTAACTACGTCAGCAAAAAGTTCTTTAATAGAGGGGACCACTGACGGTACACTGCGTCCAAGGCTTCATCATTCATATTGCAAAGCCGTTATGTAATCATTCCTATCTCAACTTCTGCCAACCGACACGACACATACGTGTCTGCAAGCTTGGCTAGAAGGAGTAGCCTGAGATTCAATCCCCTTAGAAAGTACTCTTATAATAATCTGTGACTCTCCATCAAGCGCATCATGCACTTTGAGACATGACCATTACGTTCGTAGTATGCCGCTTTGAAGCTTCAAGATTCATTTAATTGTAGCCAAGATAACTTATGATAGGTGCATTGTCTACTTCGAAAACTAGCAGGCCCGATAATCCGAATGGTGACCAGCTTTGTGGTACTCCGGCTAAGCTCGACGACCCCGTCGAACTGAAGGAGCTAGATCATACTCGGAATCAAACGTTTGGCATCACCCACAAGGATAAAAATGAAATTTCCGATGCGACCATACGGAGTCATCACGATATAAAGGCTCGCTATTCAGATCAAGCGAATGTCAACCGCTAATTTGATTTTCCTAGAGTTAACAGACTTCATAACGGACACGGAGGGCAGCTCCTCCCGTATCGTCTTGACGTAGGTGTCTCAAAAAAATTCCGGTGCGAAGGTCAGCCTAATGGCAGCGAAATATTGATCCGCCCTAAACTGCACGAAGTATGTTTCTTCGAATGCAACCCGCTGCACTTGGCCACTTGCTCTTTCTACCACCAATTGTCACAACCTCGGATTAATGGTCACAAAGCCTCCGTTTTTCGTTGGTTTCTCTTCATAGAGACGACCTCCTCCTTAAAGCAGAGCAGCGGCAACTATTGAGCTGCTCATCACCAGGATGCCTTTGGATACTTGGAAGCCCAGCGAAGCTGCAGACTTTTTAGCCACAGTGCCGTTGCCGCTGCCAGCGGGTGGGGTCCCCGAGTTCTCCTGGCCGGAGCCCGGTGCGTTCGTTCCGTTTGTTCCGTTCGGCGAAGGTGCTGGACCCCCTCCCGGAACCAGCCCCGGAGCAGGCGCGGGAGCCGGAACCGGAACGGGAGGCGGTGGGGTGAACACCTTGGGGGGAGGTGGAAGAATGGGCGGGCTAGGAGGGGCCGGCGGGGGAGGAGCCGGGCACGTCGCCAGGGTGAAGCTTGTCTGATTATTGTCCGTGGTCGAGCACTTGGCGACCGGGGTGACCGCATTAAAGAGGGGGGAAAAGGTGCAGCCGCACGTGTTGTCGGGGTTTAGGCAAGGGGCGGCGCTCGCGCAGCCGCCGGTTGAGATGGACAGAATGTCGACGCCGTTGGCGACGCCGTCTGTGGCGTCGTGCAGGAAGAAACCGAGGTCGGTCCCTGAACCGGACGCGAAGACGCCCGTGTATGCTGTCCCCGGCTGGTTGGCGGAGTCGTACGTCATCACCACGGAGTGCGTTGTCGAGGTTCCGAGGGGCTGGACGGAAAAGGAACTGTTGGATGCTGTCCGCTTCGTGCCAATCAGAGAGCACGTTTCTACTCAAGAACATCGGTTGCAACCTACATCAACTTTCGACAGTGAGGAGAAAGAAGGGAGAGAAACACATCAGCAAGCAGTCCGAGTTCAAATTCTCACTGGATTTCGGGGGAACTTCAATTCCGTTAGAAACTGCAGGGCAGAACAGCATCGGTTGCAAGTCACGTGCAGGGTGTCCCGTGCCGAATGAAAGGGCATGCGGTAGAAAAAGTCAAGCAATCCAATATCAAAAGCCTTGTCTCAGTATGGCGATGCGTGTACTTTTGTCGAGAAGCTCACGTTGGATGTGTTTGCCACGTAGACAGGATTTAAACGGTCGTTGGTTGAGAAATAGACCCTTCCATTCTTGGAATCGATAGCGACTCCTCGGTAGTTGTTGGCGGGAAGAGAAAATATCGATGATTGCCCCTGTGCATCAACCCTGTGGAAAAAGTACGTGAAGTTGGTACCTTGATCCGGTTCCCTTTTGGCGCTCTGAGAATCGAAGTGATAGCTGTTCTTACGATGGAAGTTCTGAGAATTCGGCATTGCGGTTAAATGTGAATGAGCACGAGTCAATATGGATGACAAGAAGGCAAAGATGGGGGAAAAAAAAGGGGACGTAATCGTCGGTCCGTACACCTGCTCACTGTCATTTTAGGAAAGTTCTCAATGTCTGAAGAATCATCTGATGTTCAAGACTTGGACGACCGCGGTCGAACGGTTTTCTAAAACAGACTCGGCCTTACCGTAGAGCAACCGCTGCTTTCCCACTGAACGAACTGCTGTAGGTGCAGCCAGCAGCGTAGACTGCCTTCGTGGAGACATCGACCGCCATGCTTACGTAATCAACTGCAGACGTGTCCGCGGCCACAAGGCTCACGTAGGTCTTCTGGCGAGTGTCCAGGTTGACTTTCAAAAGCTGCGGCCAGAATGAGAATGTAACCTGTCAGTGAATGCTTGAAACAGCGCAAAAGAAAAGTCTGTGAAATTGCAGTTCGTTTAGTAGAAGCCGTGTGCACGAAGATGTCTCTACAGCGAGCAGGCAAGGGATGCGTGGTGCATTCTTGTGTGCGAGTCAGTCTGCTTGGAGATGGTCTGAAACCTGATTAACCTTTGGAATCACTATTACCTGCGACCTTCGAAGAGAGCAATCGGTTGAAGAGCAAGCAGAAAAGCAAAAGTAAAACCGCTGTACTTGCAGGACTTTCGGATGGCTGCTTATGTTTCCTGACGCGACCACGCGAAAATGGCTACTGATCGTGATTGTTCTTCAAGAGCTGAGCGGCATTCTGAGTGATGGATCTGGCGAGATCTCTCCTCGCTTGCATCGGGACTGAAAAGTAAAGTCATCGGGCCTTCGTTCGGAAACATTACCTGCAGGACGCCGTTTACTCTATCGGTCTGGGACAGATAATACCCGGTGCGTCCCTGGATATCAAAGGCGAAGCCCGCTGGCAGCGGTGCAAAACTAGTGGTAGTAACGACGGGCCCTGCGACTGGATTCGTGGGGTCCGACATATCGTAGAGCACCAGATTGCCTCCAAGTGACAGCCACAGCATCTTGGTCTGAGGGTCGTACGCGATGCTATTGAAGTCCGCGGTCGTGGACAAGTCCAGGGCCGAGTTTCCAACGAACGCGAACTGATCACTACCTGCAGACGAATTGATTATATTATCGATTGCCACAACGGGATGTACCTAGTACTTTTGCAGGTCAAGCGAAGTCCCTGGCGAGTTTCCATTGCAATCAGCTTCAGGTGCGTTCTATTGACCTTGCAGTGCTTGAAATCTGTTGATACCTCAACGAGTACATGTATGACTTCACAATATTCGAAGAGCCTGCTTGAAATTCAGCCGTCTCGCTCTTGATCACTTGCTTACTTGTGTAGTTTAAGATTGTCACTTTCATGGCAGCTCCCGTTTTCGTTGCCAAGTATGCAAGGCCCCTCTCAGGGTCGATTGCATAGCGTTGCACTGCGTTTGCCGCCGGCAAGCTGATGGAAATATCGGGGCACATGAAGACGTTGCTCTGATTCAAGTTGAGAGAAACTGGGATGCGCCAGAACTGCACAAGAACGAGAAGTTCAAGACGCTGTACGACTTATATAGGGCAAACGCTGAGGATCTGGCGAAGAAGGGCAGCCAGCAAGGCTGCCTGGTTCGAACGTGGGAGTTGGGTCTACTGTGTGCAGTCGGTGACAGATCTGGAGTAAAATCAACTTTGTCCTTCCAAGTTTTAAATCCAGATGTTCCAAAACAATACGACATTCGTCATAGCAATATGGTCTGCATATGAGTGGACTACTTCTCTATGTCCTGCTGGCCTGTAAGGTCGTTACAAGATTCTACCAAGCTAAAGAATTGCTTGCTACTTACTTGTTGTTTGACAGCCGCAAAGAGCAAGCCATTCGTTTCATCGAGGACGAGGTCCCCATAGTATCCTAACGTGTCATGAAACTGCAGGTCACTGATAACCGTGATGGCGCTGGCAGAGCCACCAGGCTGGCACCCAGGAAAGGCGTTCGTTACTGAACAGCCAACGACGACCAGTACAATGCTGAGAAGAACCTTCGCAAACAAACCATCTGAGCGCATTCCAGACGGAGCCGCCATCTTGCAAGTTGCAGACGAATTTGCAGAATGTTGCGGCTTCAGACCAGCTTTCCTATATTCCTACGTCTTCAATTAGTTCTTTGCAATGCTGTCCTGTACGAGCCCTCCAGCCAGGGACCTTTCAGTGCTTTGACAGTCCTCGGCCTCGTCAGGCCACAATCACTAGGAATGTGGAGAACCACTGAAGGTCTTCCGCATCGCCAGTATTCATTTGACTAATTCTCTGCCTGCTGGCATCACGAGGCTAAGGTATGTTCGTTCGCGAACAGCAAACTACTCTTGGCATCAGTCTTGGCTGCCAGTGCCGGAAGACGGCGATGCGAAAACGACGATAAATTTTCGTCCTGCCGAAGCGTTATGCAGACGATCATCGCTCGCGAGGTGATTGATTGTACCTACCTACTCTCTTGAGCGACAACAGATTTCGAAATGGTACGAGCGCCTGCGAAGATCGGACGGTGAAGAAAGTCGCATTGCCCAGTTGAACGGCTCGGATCGTCACACCAGGCTTACAGACTGCAAATCGACTCAACTTTCAGTTGGTCAGTATCCTACTAAATTTCCCTCCGTGTCTAGCTACAGTAGGTAGGTTGCTTTCCCACTTGAGACTGCCGCTCACCGGCCTTGAATCCATTTAACGTGTCCCTTCCTGCCGGCCAGCTTCTGAGATCACTGATGCACGCCTCTGTATTCTGTGGTTGTAATTTGTAGTTGGTTAGCTTTTCCAACTCCAAGTCAAAGCAAGTGATCCCTTGCATCTGGATCCACTGTTGCATGGGTCTTCCCGGGACCGAGTTAAAAGAGACAAGGAATCAGGTATGCTGTTGTGAGTAGCGGCGCTGCAATAGGCAGTGCCAAGGTCTATCTTGAGTGCGGCAAAAAGGTAGTAGGAATGTGAACATTGCTGCGGATGACTTGGAAGTGAGGTTGAAGTCACCAGGGGCAAGGGAATGGGCACAAGGAGGACAGGAAAGTAAAAGTTCTCTATGAAATCTTTGGAATTAAACCTAAAAGGGGTCTCCAAGCCTATGCATTCAGGCACATAGGCATTGCAAGGGGCAGCGAGCTTGTGAGCAATCATGAAAGGAAAGGGAACGCAGTCGTCCACAGTGTCATCGCAGGTAAGAATCCTTCAGAATGTGGCTTTGATTGGTATTACAAGCAGCAGGACCTTGCTCATCGTGAGAACCGCATCCTGATAGTGGGCAGCCCCATGCAAGGAAGAGGGAACAAAGATAGCCATGAGCAGGTCGACATTGCTCTCTCCAGCAGTCTGCAATGTATCAACTGGCATTTTGCTCGGTAAATGCTGCACAGCATTGGTGACAAAGCGGCACAGGCCTTGCGTACTTGCGCTATATGGCTGCGGCAGTGTGCTTGCCCAGGCTGTGAACCAAGCTCACAGACATCCTTGGAGGCTCCTGCTTTGGAAACTTATCAGCATGCACGAGGACCCTCTGGGCCAGACAACCTGAGCAGGAGGATATGTGGTTTGAATGATTCCCCTGAATGAGCACTTTGTCTGCCAAAGGGCCTGGTTTCAAGACAGGCAAAGTAGAGACCCCACGAAAGCAAGGAGACAGCATTTGCACATAAAGGACAGAGCAACATTGAAGTGCATGTTTGAGACAGCCTTTCCTTGAATCACCGGGCACCCCTTTTGTGAAGCAGTTCAACATTCTTTGGTAAACTTAGGAAGTCTTTTGGCAGGGCATGTCCCGGTCTCTGGCGGAAAGCTTTGAGCGGGTGGAGAAGACCATGTCGTTGGGGGCCACTTTCCGGCAGACGTCTCCCGATCGGGTGGGCATCTCCGCAAAGGCCCCGCAGGCAACGGCTAAAGAAGTGGTCCTGAAGCGGCAGCTTTCAGACCTCTCAAAGGAGTTCAATGCCCTGGACAAGCAGCATAACAAGGCTACTACGAAGGTAAGGCTGTGCGGCAGACCCAAGACTTACTGGCCAACGGAGGGCTATTCATACACGGGGAGATGGGAGATGTGTAGCCACAAAGCGGGTAGGCGTCAACATAACACGTGTCCCGCTACCCAAATGTTGGAATCGACCTTCTGGTCTTGGCAGCTCAGACCTGAGAAGAGACTAGATGGGATGCACGGGTGTGAGCAAAAGCAGCTTGGGAAATACCTAAGGATCGTCACGGAGGTCTGACTTTTCTCAGCCTGACGAATTCATTTTCACACTAGCAACCCCGGAGTGCTAGACAGAGTCCAAGAATACTTCAATGGCTGGCCAGTGAAGAATGGCATCACTTTCCACCTCCGTGCAGTATGTGTGGTGTACATATCGTGTAACAAAACACGTCTGTAGATAGGCCTGGGTTCAGACCCACACTCCGCTTCTCCCCAAGCAGCTGGACAAGATTTTGATGAGGGAACCGATTAAACAGTAAATGGTAGATCCCCCCTCCTCTTCATCTTTGAACAGAGTACGCGTTTGTGAAAAATTGGACAAGGGCAGGGCGTGATCTCATCTTTTGGTTGCCTGTGCAGCTGGACGAGGTTCTAGAAGAGGTGAAGCGGCTGCGCGCCTGTCACGATGACAAGGAGAAGGAGGCCCTGTCTCTACGAAGGGCACTGGAGCGGCTCCGCCTCGATAAGGAGGAGGAGAGCGCCGCCCTTGCGACCGACAAGGCCTACATCTGCAAGCTGGAGGCCAAGGTGGCTGCCCAGGCAACAAGTGAGGCCCTACTGAGAGATGCTCTGATCAGAAAGTGGCAATCCGTGGCACCGCCTTCTTCAATATCGCTGCAACGTCAAGGAAGAGAAAAGGGATGGTAAACGAAGACATATGTCTAGCTAAAGTCATCATTCTCTGCCTATTCGAACTGGCGCCTTAATCTTCTGTAGCGCTCCTTCCAGCCTTACACGTCGCTAAAGGCTGGCGAGATGTTGCGAGTCAAGCTGCAGTTTCAGCACCCCACCGTAAGGTCTTTCAAGGCGGAAAGGTCTGGCTACTGGACGGGGTCAAATGCTAACCTGCGAGGGTTTGCGCACAGGCCTGGAGCAGCTCGAGAAGCACTCAGCGCTGCGTGCACGCAACAAAGAGCTGCAGGAGAGTGTCCAGAGCTTGCACGCCGTGCTGGCGTCGACCGAGGCGGAGCTGGGGAGCCGGAACGAAGAGGTGAGGTGGAATCTGCTGCTTGCTTCTGAAATGCACAAAATTCGAGGGTGTAGGGGAAGTGGCTTCGACAAGGAAGATGGAAAGCGGGCTCGTGAAAGTCTCTTGAGTAAAGGTTGTCCGGGGAAATTGCTTTGCGAAGAGGAGGGCTTGGATAGACTTTCGAAGGCAGGACTTCCAAGAACGGCGTCGTGACGAGGAGCTTTACAGAAGGCTTCGAGGATGAGCATTTGAGGGGAAAGTATCCGACGAAAGAGGAATCTGAGAAGAGGAGAAGAGCAAGACACATTTCAGCCGGCCTTCTAATCTCTCAAGAAAAGCCTTTAATTTACTTGCTTACCGACAACGTGTACAGTGGTACGTGCAGCTTCTGGTCAGTTGCTGTTCGGAGCAATCGCTGACGCAGTGTTCCTTTTGCGCCTCTTCAGATTGAGAAGCTGCACATCGCGTTGAAGGTGCGGGCGGAGGACCTGCGGAAGGGCGGCTTGTCCGACTCGAAGGTACACAGCTTCTGCGGACAATCTTCTTCGCCTTATTGGCATGTATCTCGTGATTTATTCAATTCGCGTTCAGAACGTGGACACTTCAAGTTCAAACGGCTCAGCTCCTTTTCCTCGTCTTCTTGAAGACGCAAAGGTGCTTCCAGAAGTCGCTCCTTTCTGTACGTGTTCCTGCCCGAAGATAACAAGCTTCTGAAAGTGATATCCTCTTGTTGTGACCAAAAGCGAGATCAAGGCATTCTTAGGACCCTGTCAGCCCGCTGCTGGAAGTCACCACATTTTCGCTTAACCTCGAACATGAGTGCCCTGGCTAACGTCGCCACAAACCTCCTCCCAACAGAGCACTTCCATCAGTCAAAATATCCAAGTCGTTCTACCCGCTGAAGGCAGACGCTGGCATTGTTTTCTTGGTCGAACCAGCATTAGCTGACCCGCTCACGTGTCGACGTTCCGTGCAGCCGAGCCTGCTGTTGGAGCTTGCCAACGAGCAGCAGGAGCGGATGAACATCGCGCTCAAGCTGGCGGAAACCGTGCAAGAGAACAACAAACAGCACGAGCAGGTATGACACCGCCTGAAAAATGCAGAAGCAAGGCGGATGCAAGGCCTTCGATGCATCTTTAATCAGACTGACGTTGTTGAGTCCTGACGTCGTTCGAATTTAAGCTTCAGATACGAGTAATGTTGAAAGGTGTCACATGTTTGGGTTGGGAGAGAACAAGCTAAGCACGGTTTCCAAGTTTGCGGTTTGCAACAGTCCTTTCCCGATCATTCTCCAGAACCTCTCCGAGCAGACGTGATTTGAAACTGCTGTTTTTTAATTCACCTTGTTCACTATGCCCTTGAGGTTGTTCCTGAAAAGAAGGTAGGCATCACACGAGCGCAAAGATTGCCGACGAATCGGCGGGTCCTTTGATGAAAGCTTGTGGACAGATTGAGTGTCAGATTGGGGCAGCTGCATGATCCCAAAGCCTATTGAGCGCGCTTCTGGAAGTAAAAAGCTGAGTCTCGATTTCCGCACCGCCTCCGCAGATTGAGATCCTGGCGGAGAGGCTCAAGGCCAAGACCGCGGAGTGCGAGCGGACGGCGAAGGAGGCGGACGACAAGTACCGGACGCTGCGGCAGGAGACCCAGAAGCAGCTGCACGCGTTTGAAAACGAGGTGAGGCTCGACGAGAGGTCCAATAACTGCTCTGTGAGGTCCTTGAGAAAATGCGTTCACTGAAAAGGCGATTCCATCCGTCCTTCAATGTAATTGTTGGTGAGGTTCTTCTATATTCCTGAAGCCTTTGTTTTGACGGATGCTTCGAAACGGTGATATGATGCGACGCGAAGAAGCTGAATAAAGTCTGCGAAACGTCCTTCCTTCGCAGGAGGAAACCTCAGGAACTTGGTGAACATGTTGACTAGTATTTTGAAAGCAAACTACCATCTCGTGAAGGTTAAGCAACCACTCTTGAGACATAGTAGTATGCTTCCTTCACTTGCGTTTAACCCTTCACTCACCCGTTAACGCAGGTCGCGGACCTCAAGACACGTGTCCAAGACCGCGAGGCGCGCACCGTCGATCTCCGGACCGACCTGAGAGAGGCACGTGCCGAGAGGCAGAGGCTCCAGGAGAGTTTGCAGCGCGAGCAGCAGAACGCGAGCGAGCGGAGCGCGCACATCAAGGAGGGCGAGCGGCGTCTCGCGGACGAGCAGGCGCGCGTGAAGCAGCTGACGGCCGCGCTCGCGGCCGCGACGCAGGCGGCCGAAGAAGCTAGAAAGTGAGCTCGTCTCTTCTCGTCTGCTTTGATGGTACGGTTGGCAACGGTAGACCGTCTCGGGCTGAGCTTCTCAGCCTAGCTGTTATGCTGCGATAATGTGATACGAAGAGCACAGCTTTTTGGGGCCAAAGGACAACATTCAGCGAAATCAGCGTTCAAAGTCAACAATTTTTGAAATTTTTCCAAAGCATCCGCCAAGAATCCGGTCAATCGCTCCGCGTTGGCCTGAGCTTTGAGTCGCTCACTTGCATCGGCGTTGTGGATCAACGGTTGCTGTGATACATCTCCATGAATTGGAGTGGCGGAGTGTCGACCTTTCGTGATAATATCGGGCTTCTGTGATAGTAACCCTATAGTAAAACTTTGCTTAAACCTGCTATAAAACGAACGAAATCTGTGGTTGTTAATGAAGTACTCCGGTGTCTGTCCAGGACGGCGAAGCACAACATCGAGGAGCACCGAGTTGAACTGGCGGCTGCTGTACAGAAAGAGGTTCGTTTTCATTCGAGTTGCCTTAAAATTGTGAATTCATTATTTCAAGTCGTATCGTATGTGTTCATTTGCGCCGCTAGAGCACACTTCTGAAGAGTGATTTGAGGCCGCTTTGAAACGAAAGGACCTAGTAAAGAGATTCATCGGATTCCATAACGTTGACACGAAAAGAGTCTAGAACTTGATCTTGTTTCGTTGCAGACAAAGCGAACGGAAGAGGCGAAGCAGCGGATCGCGGAACTGGAGGACGACCTGGAGGATTGCAAGCGGCAGATGCACGTAAGCGTCTCTTCTACTGCTCCTTGCATGGAAATTTGCTGATGCGCTTGGTTCTCCACCCAAGGCCACTAGGTTAGGCAGAGCAGTAATGTCCATATTATTGAAACAGCAAGACCAGCCGATACCGAAGACAAACAAGCTCGGATAACAGGAGAAGTCTCAAGTAGAGAAAATGGCGTCGTGGAGGTCAACAGAAGCTGCTTGCAGAACATCCTTCACGTTCCATGAGCTCCCACTGCGGCACTTTTCCTCCGCTTCGCTTTTGCTCCTCTCGTAAGCGATCTCCTTTGCACGTTCTGGGCACCAAAAATGTAATCGACGCGCCGAGTATCCATTTCTCGTACTTCGTTACGAGAAACCTTGGGAGGCCTTAAGTTCGTTCTCTGGATGTCTCGTTCACAAGGCAAGAAGGACGCAATTAGTGGACCAGATTCACCGCCCTCAAGTATGCAGCATCCGTAAGAAATGACTCAATTCCCACTCTCATCTGTACAGATGGCGGTCTCGATGGCCAAGAAAGAAGCGGTGTCCGACCTGGAGAAGACGCGCGCGCGCGCGTCCGAGGACCTCGCGCGCGCGCGCAAGCAGATGCTGGCGGACCACGAGCAGGTGGTCAAGCAGCTGACCAAGGACGTGGACGGAATCCGGCGCGCGCTCGCGGCGGAAACGGAAAAGGTCGCCGAGCGCGAGCACGCGCTCGCGGACCTGCGCCGGCGCGAGCAGGAGGCGCGCGAGGAGATCAGCGGGCTGCACGCAGAGCTGGACCACTTCACGGAGGTGGGAATGAGCCGTGCTCGGCTGACTCTTTTTTGATGCCTTGTGGGCTGCAGACCCTGTTGGTCTTCGACAATTTTACCACAGAATCCAGTCCTAAGGAGACATGCATGGATCTTCACAAGTCACCCAGAATGTGTAGCGCTTAATCAGGTAAGGGAAATGAATGGGAGCGAAGACAGGGAGGATCATGGGGATTGGGGTTGATCCGTCCCCCTTCTCCTTCCACCTGTTTCTCACGTTGATCTTTCGAGTCTCGTTACTTTCTTGGCACTAGAGAGTTCCGAGCAATCTCTTCTTCCTTCGTCTTGCACGGGAATATGACTTCCATGCTGCAAGAAGAGGAAGAGGAAGAGGAAGAGGAAGAGGAAGAGGAAGAGGAAGAGGAAGAAAAAAAATCTGTGTCTCGAACTCTTCATTCACTGATTCTTCGACATCATGCACCATCTCATCCCCTCCAGAGGCTGAAAGCTGCTTTTCTTCTCTCTGCTGATCGTGATTACAAACAACCATTCTCGGGAACCTTTTCCCCTTTGCCAGTAACGGGAGTTTGTTTTCCAACCGCCCAGGTCAACGGCGAGATCCAGAGCGACGCTCAGGCAGAGCAGCGCCAGAGACTGCGCGAGGAGAAGCGCGCGTCAGCCTTCGCGCACCAGGTGGCGTCACTCGAGGCCCAGCTGACGTCAGTGCGCAAGGAGAAGGCGGCCAGCGACAGCGCGCTCAAGGTCAAGCTGGAGGAGGCGCTCGAGGAACTTCGGGTGAGTCGCGCGCGCGCGCCCCTGTAAATCGAGTGCCGCCTTTGAGCAGCGCTTTTCAATGCAGCCAACAGTGGTACTAGCCCCACTCTGGTCGCGAAGAACTGCCTCACTCTATTCTGAGTGATCGAGCATGCTGTTTGGTTCAGCAAACAATGAACTTGAACAGCAGATGTGGGCATCGGTAAGTTTCAGCAGTAGTTTCGACTGAGAACCACTTGAGGCTTTGGTGCTTGCTCTCCAACATTTTGTCGTTTGATGACGTTGCACTCCTACCAATCAGTGCCCGTTGAAATCTGAAGTTGAGTTCGTTCAGCGCCCGCAAAACATGATGGTCGCCTTCGTTTCCCACTTTTGCCCACACCTCACGCGCCTCCGCCGCCGTTCGCAGGCGACCATCGAGGAGCGCGACCAGGCCAAGCGCGCGCTCCAGGAGACCAAGTCCAAGACGCTATCCTCCTCCACCAACCACTCCACTCTAGTTGCCGAGAACCGGCAGCTGCGGCAGCAGGCGGAGGAGCTCGCGCGCGCGAAGGCCGCCGCGCAGAAGGCCGCGAGCGACGCGGCCGCGGGGCTGCGCGTAAAGCTGGAGCAGGCGCAAGTGCAGGTGCGCGAGTGGGAGGCGGCGGCCGCGCGGCTCGAGTCCAAGAACGAACGGCTGCAGGTGAGACGGGAAATAAGCATATGCTGGTGGGAATAATAATAGCTGCATGATCGCTTGGGACTCTCTCCAGTGGGCGCTTCTTCAGCGGCTAACTTTCGTCGATAAAGAGTCGTTTGCGCCCGAGTCGTTTGGTTTTCCACATTGGAGATGCCCGAACTCAGACTGGGGTTGATGAGCGTCGATTGAATCCGGCTTTAGATGCAAGTATGCAGATTGTCTCTCGACTTAATCTTTCTTATGTCGCTCAGAAGTACAAACCGACAAAGCGATTCCAAAGCCCCATGTCTCTCTAGCTCAAAAAGGCAGCTTCAATATCTGGGGTAGTCCATTAGAAAAGTTCCAGGTGTTCTTAATACTTAACCACCGAACCCATTGCATCCAGGCGCTGGTTGACGCCGAGCGCAAGGGCAGCGCCGCCCTCGCGAAGCAGTGCACTTCGGCCCTGCGCGCGCTGCACACCACGTCGCCCCCCCACCGCGCGCCCGACTACGCGCGCGCGCGCTCCTCGGACGGCGCCTTCGCGGCCGCGTCCGAGGGCGCCGTCCGCCGGAGCCCGCCGGAAACGGTCGAGCCGATTCTCCTGAACTCCGAGGCGCGGGATCTGGAGCTGGGCTCGGAAGGACGGAATTCCGCTCCGGCGAAGGGAATCGCCAGCCGCTTCTACGACTCCATCGACGTGGGAGACGCGTGGACGCGACACGTGTCCGTCGAGGGTACCTTTGGGCGTCCGGTGGAGACTCGCCGGACGGAATGGAAGTCATACGGATCGGACGAGCAGGTGAAACAGGTCGTCGTTTCAATAGAGCCGCGCTACGAGCGGCGACCGGATTCTAGAGCCGAGACGCCCGCCTTTTCGGACGCACCTTCGGACGGCCTCAAAGCAGATCCGGACGCTCTAACAAGGGAGATGTCCGGCGATGACGTCGCTGGAGTTGAAATTCGCTCGCGCAGAACCTCGAGGCGTGCTTCCGCTGGCGGAATGTCGGTGTCTGAAAACGGAATGGATGAAGACCGTCCGGAACAGGGGCGTCCTAATGCGCTCGAAGCTCTCTTGAACGACTTCGACGTTGATAACGCATCCGCTGACGGCGAGAGCAGCCGGCGCTTCTCACGAAACGGAAGGGCCAGCGGAATGGCGGAGTCCGCCGGAATGAAGAAGCCGGCGCTCAGTTTGGAGGACCTGGCGGACCTGGCGGAACCGTACTCGCCGCCGGTTTCGGACGGCGGAGCGTCCGAAGGCAATGGGGAGCCGTACGAGGTGGGTTTTCGAACAGAAAAAATAAGTTCGTGGTTGAGTGAGTACAGAAATTGACATCAGCTGGTGTTCGCCACTTGTGAAGTACCTCTCATCCTCTCTGGGCCGTACGTCAACAATCAGGATGAGAGCCGGGGGAGGAGAACGGCGGGACAGTTTCGAAGCCAAACAAAAGACCAGGATATGTTCAGAGGTGGAAACTCGTAAAGCGAAGATCACGAACGACTACTGCATGTCGAAGGTTTGGGAAGCGTTTGATTATTACCAATCTGGCGTCTGGCAATGCTTGTGGTGCCTACAATGAGTCCCTGGCGTCAAGGTCAGGGTTTTGACTCTTGAAGTTCATCTTTCCAACTCACCTTTAAATGTTTACGATAACCCACAGTGAACTCAGACCCGCACTTTCAAACCGCACCCAGATATGCGGGTATCTGGCTTTCACATTGCTGTTCTTGAAGCCTGTTGTTGAAGCAAATCTCTTTTCGTCGTCTTAACTACTGAGATGCCTTTTTACAACACGGTGGAAGTCTTGGCTGGAAAGTTGGTCAAGGAACCGTGTAGACCCTGTACAAGCTCCTCATCTCCCGCCCGTTCTTTCTTGTAGATGGGGCCTGAGGACTCCGAGTCGTGGAAGCAGGTGAACAGGATTGCGAAGGTCGCGGCAAACGGGTCTTCCCGGCCGGCCAGCTCCCTAGGGCTGGAGACGGAACGGAGTCACATCCCGGACGATGACGATGAGGCTTGACGTCATGCGAAAATATTTTTCTGCGGAGACCGTCAAAATGATTGACCTGAAGGGTGCGGCTTTTACTGACTGATATGTTGACCGGTTGAGTAGCATCCGTCCCATTGGAGATAATTGAGGGACAAAAGCAGACAGTAGTCAGGATACCTTAATTGCACAGCGTAGTCGGGCAATTGCCAGCTCCTGCGTATGATTGCAAGGAGCTCACCGAGATAAGTCTCGACGGTCGGCTGCGGCCAATCAACAGGACAGGGAACAGCTCAGTCGGACACTAGCTCATAGTGCAAGCAGAGAGAATAAACAGATAAGGTAGTGTATACATCGAGCATATGTGCAGTCAGTTTACCGCACAGGAAGCTTCAACCTTTTCTTGGGAATAGAAGGATACCAGGTTGCGACAGCGGAAACGAAGCTCTCAATTCAGCTGCTAGGGAGCTCTATGGTTCCACATGCTGGGACGTTGCCAGTCAACCGGAAACCCAACATCGCTGCACCAGAGATCTGCATGTCGCCATGCTATGCAGACCGGTACATATGCACAATGCATATCGGGTTTCCAATCTGGAAACCAGCTCACCGATCTATGTGTCAAGCGCGCGCGATTGCCTGTTCACAAGTGATTCAAAGAAGAAATGCAGATTGATTGAGCTTCAATTGAGACTTTAGGTTACATATTTGCCCTAGAGGTGTACCTGGATTTCTGCAGGCTTGCATGAAACTTCGTGGCGCGTAGCTGCTATACGCAAACCTTGCCAGCCTTTGCATGATCGGAGCCTGTGCACTCGACGATCATCATGTTGGAGGACGGAGGCCTCAGGCTGGCCGTTGCATAGATGTGGATCGTTGCTAGGCTGCATGCATACGCAATGCATTGACCGGACCGACATGTCCATAGATCCCGGCAGACCGTCGGCCCTCAGTGCAGTGCAGTGCCAGCCGCCGTACGTGCAAGCCCACATGGCGGCCGCCTGTTTAGTAAGTATTTGCAGTGACTGCCGAGCATGCATCCATCTTCTTGTCCGACGTCGGATCAGGGGCGGCGGAGTGGATCAATCCATGTTTTGTGATGGATCAGCGGAACTCAATGACATAGCAGCTCCAGTCCAAAGTTGGCTCGCTTGCGGCGCGGACGCCCAATACGGTAATTGGTTGGACAGTGCTTCAAGCACACGGCGTGATCATGTGAGATTGTTATACTCCTATACACTCGAGGCGTGTCTGACGCCAGGAGCAACTAGCTACAGCACCTGCATAATCATTAATACATGAGCATAATCGACAATCGAGCTTTGCACCCTGATCCAACACGCCTGACGCCAAGTGCAACTGAAACGGGCACATGTCTGTCATCAACGTAGTCGTAGCTGCATACACACGAGTCCTCTTTCTTGTAGGACAAGCAAGACCAGCAATCAGTGGGATGTTGAACAACACCGTAGCTCGGCTCGAAATATGAGCAATTCCTTTTTCCCAGCAGGTCGATATTGACCCGAACGAATGCCAGTGGCCTCAAGACTGGTGATAGACTAAGACTGTTGCTGTGCTCAAGGGCTGTGGTAGGCTGATTTGAAAGATCAGAGAAGGCATTGAGGCCAAAAGTGACAACTTTTGGACGTGCAAGACAGCTCTACGATCCAGCCAAACACATCAACGCCTGCTTTTGGCACGATGAACGAGTTTGTTTGTTCAGTGGTTTTCAAACGTCAAGCTCATCCCTATGGTTCCGACTCTGCTCCACCAACTGCAAAAAACAACGACGCCATGAGAAACTTACAATAAGATCAGCAACACAAGAGCCGTTTGGGGGCGTGAGGATACAAGATGTCGTTTCGCGATAACTCAAAACGTCAGGTCATCGTCAGACAATCCATCAGGCCCTTGCGGCGTTTTTTGACTACCTATCCCTTAAGCCAAAAAATCTGTACACATCCATTGAGGGCCCCGAGATGATCGCACAAAGTGTGTTGGATAATCATCCTTCATCAATCAGAACGATGTGACTGAATATCCTACCGACCAGAACAGATCTTCGCCACAGAAAGCAGTGCCGCCGTGAGCCGCAAATGACGCCGGCCAGAGGCTGTAATCACTTCTTTTTTGAGGCGCTTTTCGCGACCCCGTGTGCAGATGCTCGTCATATAGCCCTAGCTTCTCTCATTATAGACAAACCCAACCTTCCGCTGCACGTGGCCCACCCCAATTGACCCAGCCCATGATTGAAGTTACCCGTCAACGTAAACAGTCCTGTGATCACACAAAATTTGCTGCAACGAGTAACGTAGGCACCAGTGCTGTGCACCAGGCAAGCGTGGGGCCAGCGGCTCACCTTGGAATCGCCGCCTGTTGGCTTTCTTGGACTCCTCGATCTGCGCCTCAAGCTCCACCTTCGTCTTCTCCTCAAACTTCACAATCTCGTTTGCACACACGGCCCCGAGCCCCGCACCCAGCACGTGCTTCCACGGTTCTGCAAGGGGCGAAATGGGTTGGTGTCCAAAGAATGCTACTGACCCAAAGAATGCTCGAGAGCGCAGGAGTGGAATTAATTGGGGTGCCTGAAAATTGGATTCAACTGCACGTCTAGCGCAGTTCGAAAAACGTCTTGGCCACTTCAGAATGCTTCAGGCTACTTCAGAATGCTTCAGAACTAGAATGATGCCCTTATGACCCGATCGCTGGGTGAAGTTGTGAGAGGAAGGAGCTCAGACATCAATTCGTCAAGCCCGCTGCTTTCAGGTGCTTGCTTTATCCTCCAACCGAGTGGAAAGTTCCCAATGGGATGGCAGATCAGCTAATTAACAAAGTTCAGCACAACCCGCCCCCATTGCTGATAACCTGAGCGCCTCACCCAATTTTAGGACTTTGTTACGTTGCTATCGCTTGATACATTTTATGCTTTGACGACTCTGCTATTATGGTAGTGGAATAACGAAGCACACAGCCTGATAGTGACTTTCAGCTTGCGTCGGAGTCATACTTTTCATATGCAAAGCAGTGATAAGGCCACAGGTCTAACAAACCTGTGGCGCAATGTCTGCAGCAGAATCCGTCCAGATTCTTAGCAAGGGACTTTGCTCAAATGGAAAACTTCTCAAAATGTTGTCTTCAATCCGTGCACTCACCCCGCATGGCCGGCAGCTTCCGGACGGCATTGCTGTAGAATTGTACCCCCGCACCAAAAAGCGCCCCGACTAGGGTTGCGGTGGCGACCATATTTTCAAGGATCTTCAATCCTTTGTCAGAAATCTGTGACGGGCACGTCAAGTTACCGACGCCAGACTCTGGCGCCCCAAACCAAGGCTCTTGTTGATTCCTACAGCAGAGTGTTGGAATGGACTGCTAAGGCTGCTGCCTTTCTATTATGTCAGCACATTTGAAATCCGGTTTGGCCCTCTGCAGGCCAAATGGCCAAGGACTTCGTTGCCCACGTTCGAGATCCAATGAAGAACAACTTTACAAATTGCCGATGAGATCCTGAGATTTGCCCTCAACCACTACAATCAAAGGCGCCCTGTAACAATGGTAGGAAAATCTTGCAGGCAGGGTTTGGCAAGGTCCAAAAGATGGATTGTTGCATACAGAACCCAAAATCAAACGGGAGAAGGCGCGCCGCTCAAGCAACAGAAGACCAGCAAATGTGCTGATCTTGAAGTTGAACTTGAAGCGCAGCTAAAGCTTTCAGCAACTCAGAACTAGACTGAGCAGAAGGCCGGCAATGGTACTTGCATTAGTCCAAGCTGTCGCTTACCATTACCACCTGCAAATCATTGCCAGCTCAGCCTCATGCAGGAGTTCGGACTTTTTGAGATTTTAGGGTTTGTCTTTGAAGGTGCGACACCCTATTAGTATACGTGGGGCCCAATGCGCCTCACTCGTGAGAGAAGGGCGTCATTCAGAAAAGTTTCTAAAGGATGGTGCAACTTCCAGCCATCGGCTGAAGGAAGATGCGATCCCCTGTCCAGAAAGAAAAGTTTTTTGAGAAAGCAAAGCCCAGGTTGCAGCATTCACTTTGATTGAGTGCTGGACCAGCCGCCATGTTTGAAGGTTTTGTGTACCAGCTGCTCGCCGGCTACTTGGGGCACTATGTCAAAGACATTCAAAGAGAGCAGCTCCGCATTGGACTTTGGAGTGGTGAGTCATCTCTGAATGTTACACTCCTTTCTAGCTTGAGGCGAGAAAAACTTCTTTGAACCCAGCACTTTCAACAAGTCCCCCCCCGCACCTCGATCAAAGCCAGGCAAAGAGCAGGGGAAAGTCGATCGTTGTTTCTTCAATGGAGCTCATGTGCCTTCTGCTTTAAACTCAAACAGCCAGCTCATCAGTCACTTTTGTCCTCGTTGTGAGGGTGTGTCTCAAAATCAGATGCCATGCGATATGTAGGAAGATGTGAAGCGCGACAAAGGATGTTTGCGTCAATCTGCAATTTTCAGAGATCTCTGTAACTGATGCTGGTAATCTAGTCACTCTGAATGCTGCGATTGACCTTCCATAGCTTACAAGGATTCTTGATCTTCTCGACCACCACTCAAGCTTCCGTGACACACATTGCTAGTTTCTGCTGCCCTTCTATCTGGCGAGCTTGGTTGATTGCTTGATGATGAATGAGGCAATCAAAGTGTCCTTTCTTGCAATCTGGGGCACACTTCATGCAGGCGTGGCACTCTTGGAAAATGTCGAGATTCGACTGGAAGCATTTGACTACCTGCAATTGCCATTTGCAATACAGTCAGGTAGGTCTGAAGGTCCCCTCTTCCAAGTTATGCTGGCTTCTCCGTCCTGTCTCCAGATTTGGCTTTGAAAGTCATCGGACTTAGTGGGGGCTGGGCATGACAATCTGGGTCAAGAAGATGTGATGCGAAAGGGCCTCTGCAATTGACGCCTGGGCCTTGCTGCAATTTAGCAAAAGTCCTATAATGATGAGTTGCTGAATGTCAATGGGAAACGATTGCTAGTAAGTCATACAAAGTTTGTACTGTGGTTGAGAGGTTCATTAGAAGACAAACGGACCTCTTCGCTTCATGACCTGTACTTACCACAGCAGATCTGGCTACATTACATTCAAAGACTGTGTCCCGCATAACTAGCTGCTTTCACCGTATCTCTTGATCTCTTGATTCAGAAGCTCTCCTTGTGCTGCCAGACTAGATTCCATAAAGGGTTTCCATGCGCATGTACACGAAGGACAGAAGCAGTGTCTTCCCATGGTTCGTGACAAACTGCCAAGTATAGTAACAACTGAGAACGATGTTTCAGGCACGATTGGCAAGCTGCAACTGCAAGTCCCCTGGAAGCGCCTTGGCTGGGATCCCATCATTGTTGCCCTGGAAGATGTGGTAGTCACATCAGGTCCTCGAGAAGATGCTGAGGTAAGGGGAAGATAGAGCCTTTTCTTTTGTAGGTTGAGAGAAAAGCTTGTTTCTCTTTTTGTTTGAATTACGGTCACAGTCTTAAATGAAGTTCTGAAAGCTTTCAAGCTCAAGGACCACGAATTGTGCTTTCAGGCTCCAGGATCCTGTAACTCGACTAGTACCAGCTGGGAATTCCAATAAAGTGAGCGAGGACATGAGACAGCAATGTGCGATTTGAGGTCTTCAACCCTTTTCTGACGGCCCATAGAGCGAAGCTTTCTGGTTGAATATTTCGAATATTCCCCGACTGTTACACCCATCGTTTAGAAAGATGGTCTTCCAATGATTCCCTTTCGTGATTATCTCCAAAGCCACTGACATTTCGACGAGGGAACTTCAGAAGATTGAAAGAGGTAAACTCCTTTTTGTGACAGTGGGAGGCGGGCCCGGCAGAGAAGCGGGCCCTTGCAGCCAAGAAGGCAAAGCTGGCCGCGGCGGAGATCCGGAAGCTGTCAGAGCGCGTCTCAGGTACCAGACCATCTGTCTGGCACATCTCTCGTTCTTTGTTTCGCAGCTGTTAATCAGAGAGGCAACGGACACGTCAAGCTTTTGAAATTCCCACCCAGTGTCATCTCATTTGAGAATGAGTTTGATCACGAGATCACGGCCGTTCTAAGCTTAAAAGTGGCCTGATCACTTCGCTTGAATACGATGCGGGAGGAGTAATAATGTGTGCATCACCTGATTCCTTTCATCGACACTTCAGACAAACAATTGCGCTGGGCAGCTGATTAATAGGTTCAGCAGAACCTGAAACGTAGTGTCAAACGTTTTCACTTACGGCATAAATTTCGCGTGGAGTTTTGGCAGGACTGGAATCTGCGGTGCGAAAGGAGTGGCAATTGTCGATTTGAATCTTACGACAAAGCAAACGACCCCCACGGCATGCTCACGCTCAACCTGCGTATGCAATCTTAAAATTGAGAATGGAAAGCATCTGGCCCAGGTTTCGGCAATCGTTGCAGTTGCTCACCCTGATTTTATTCTAACCTTGTTTTGCAGAGGACAAGTCGGGCCAGTCCTTCATGTCCTATCTGTCCGCAAAGGTACGGACGGGCAACGCCTTCCAATTATCAACATGCTGTCCATATCGTCTGACATGACAGAACTCGTTGACCGATGCACTGTGTTCGCGTCACGCTGCAAGAACCCTCTACTTCGTGATAATCCAGCTTTCGAAATGGAACCCCGGGAGAATGGATCGAAGAAGTCGCTCGGAGGAAAAAAGATGTTGCACTTTCAAATGGGTACTGCTCATCTTTGGATTTACTAGCCTTTTGGCTAAAGGTAAAGATTCGAAGTACCGTTCTCTCTGCAGATCATCGACAACGTACAGGTTGCCGTCAAGAACATCCACATCAAGTACGAGGACCCGCATACGCACCCCGAGGTGAGAGCTCTGCGTTATCGCGTTTCGCCGGTTGACAAAGTCTTTTGAATACTCTGGTTCGAGATTGATGGGGAGATCAACAGGCCACAACTCCCAGCTTCTTGTCGGAGAAAAGCGAGTTTTGCCGGCTTTGTCTGCTCAAATCTTCGGGAAGTCGTTTTTCATCAGGGCCAACTTAGCTTAAGCATTGCGTTCCTGTCGCCTCGAGAATAAGACGATTGTGCTACGTGTCATATACTAGATCCGGAAGTTGTTGACTTCTCCTATTGTCGTTTGCACCAGGGCCCCTTCTGCTTTGGCATTGTGCTGTCGGGGCTAAACCTGCGGAGCGCCGAAGGATGGCAACTCTCTCCTACTGCAAGGTGCGCCGTATGCCTGAGCCAGAAAGCTCTTTCTGACCCTTGCAACAGTGATACTGCCCTCAGGATATCGTATGTAGAAAGCATTGCCCCTGTTCGGGAAGGAGCAATCTCGGTCCTCTGCACATTTGGAATCCTATAGCACTGTCCACCAATCCCGGCTCTTGACATCCCGGGTTGTTACGCTTCTTTGCACGTCGCCATGGCAGCAACAGACGTCGCACGGGTGTCAAGGAAGATAGAAAAACAGGTTTACTTTGGAGAATTTGTGAGCGTCCTTGCATACTAACGCAGGAACAAAGCATCCGTCCTTGTTTGAGCGCACCTTCAGACCCGCTTTCCGTCCCAAGCACCATCTAGTTTGCCATCTGAACTTGTCTCCGGACATCGACTTCGTGTTGATCTGGAACCCCGTTATTTTCCCACTTCGAACTTCCATCCGAGTACGCGTCCAAATTGATTTTACCCGGATACCCGTTCGGTTTTCCACTCGCATAGCAAAGCGTGTCCAAGTATTTGCCTGACGACCTGACACTTGGTCCGCACACTCTTCGAACCTTCAAAATGAGAATAGAAGAGATCTCAACAACGAAGAGCAGATGCAGATGCCTGACGGTCGAGAAATCTACAGAAACAACGATGAGTAGACACATTGTCATCTCAAGCGGCAGCAAAGGAGGCTATCTCAAGTAGCTAAAGCGGTGACGGCTGTCCGAACTTTGTCCGTACAGCAGCCCAACCGCGTCCGGCAAGAAAGGCGCTTCCAACTTCGTGCACAAGATGATCGAGGTGGACCGCCTTGGAGCCTACTGGAACTCCCAGAGCGATCTTCGGGAGAAGCAGCGCCGCCGTGCCAGGGGGGCCGGTTTGCCCGAGCCTGAGCCCCCCCTGGAGGAGTACGCATACCTAATGCGCCCAGTGGACGTCAAGATCAAACTGGCGGTGAGGTTGACCCTCCTTTCAGTTCGAAGCCGAAATCTGCTTTCTGCCCTTGAGTCTACAGTCTCTGTAGTCTGGTCAAGATCTTTCTACTTACGGATGCAACTTCTTTATAGCTGCACTAGTTTGTCTTTTACCAGCTATCGTGCTCAATCAATCTCGGAAGTTACGTGTCTTTCGTTGTTGTTGGTGTAAAGGAGGAGGTGTTTCTGCTTGCATAGCATGTCGTCATTCCTTTTTTGCACACCTCTGCTTGATGAACCACTCGATTAGTGCTGCGCTTCTCCTCCTCCCGACCTCTACGGTTTCTTATTGCACCTATTCACACCGTTTTCCTTGGTGCAATACTGGGCTCGCTGACGCGAAGGAGGTGCTCACCTTGCTATGAGGTTTTCCTGCCAAAACTCTCGGTCTCCGTTGAGGTCGAGGTCGTGGTGTGTGCAGATCAACAAGAGTGCCGTCCTGGACAAAAGCACGCCACAGCACAGCGTCTTGGTCGATGTCGAAGGGCTGGTGAGCGTCGTTCTACTTTAAAGAAGATGTATGTAACTTGATCCTCCCGCATCCAAGTTTGCTACTCGTCATGTCGTATTCTGGCGCTTCGCCTTTTGTGCTCGCATCCTTCGTAGCCGCACGTCTACTCAATCTCCTCCTGAAGTCCCAACCCATGCTTTTCGAATTGTATCGCATGAAGAGCAGTTCTGAAACGATTCTCGTTTTTTTCTCTAAAACTGTGACTTCGGTGGCCGCAGTCGTTCGCGTTGGAGGAGCTTCAGTTCCAAGAGATGCTGCTGCTGCTGGACGCCATGTCGATATACGACCTGCGAGAAAAGTGAGCGAGCCCGCACTTACGTTCCGATTCGCATCCCGTTCCTCGGAATCCTGTGAGCTTGCTGTCGATGTGTCTAAGGCGGTTCGAAGCGCACACGATTAAGGGTTTCACGCACGAACGATTCTAGAAAGGTCTCTGAATTTCGAACGCAGAGGCTACAGGACTACAGGACTCGCGATCAAATTCGGACGGTGTTTGAAATGTTGGCGCGCGTCTTGTGTAGGAAAGATAATGGTTCAAGTTTCAGGTGCCTTCACGACCTTGTTCTTGCAGCACCAGGTTATCTTTATTTGCGCAGGAAGTAAACAGTGTTTCAAAAGGCCTTCTTTCACGGTTGGGAAGCTAGACAGCGGAACTCGAGTCGAAGCTCTTCCGTCACCCACTGAACGGCTGTCTTTCCCGCCAGGTACGGCAAATATCGCCCCAATGCCGAGCTGATTGCGCGCCCTAGGGGAGGCACGTGGCAGCGTGCCTGGTGGCAATACGCTATCAACGCCGTCCTTTCGGACATCCACGCTAAGATCTACCGGCCCACGTGGCGCTACCTCTCGTGGCGCAGGTGAGCCGCTTGCTTGCCAATATCTGGTGGGAGCTTAGCGCTTGAACTTCTGACCCGAGCTTTCCCCTGACGATGGGTCCGGGAGCCTGTATCATGAAGGAATGCCCCGTTCTTCCTTAAGAGCGTGGTCGGTGAAGGATTCGCTCAAGGTGTTCCGCGCTGTTGACGAGAAGCCAATGGACGGATCGTCGGGCACACGTATGCGCGAACAAGTAGAAGAGATTTGCTTCATACTGACTTCTCGTCCGTTGCGCAGAGACATGCGGAAGCGGTACGTGGCCATATACAAGAAGAAACTGGACCGAGTGAGGCACGGCCAGGTGAGACCTGCTGGACTTAAAAGCCTCCAGTCTTCTGATTCTCGTATGCATGTATTTGCAAGTTAGCGGTGCGAAGGCTCCTTGCAATGTTAAGTCCTCCCGATAATAGTTTCTAATTCGATGGGCAAAGAAAGGGGCTCCGCTCGCCCAATATGCAATGAGTCATTTGCTTGGGCATTCTTCCCTTCCTCAACCCTCGATCAGGTCCACAATTAGTACACTACTTTCCTTTACACCCCCTGACCTCAAAGAACACACAAGCTGCTGCGGCTGAATCAGATTGATAGAGTGGTCTTGAGAGGCAGAGGACTCTTAAGTGCCGTAGTTTTTCTTTTCAGTGGTCATACTCCGAATTTTTTCTAGACTTTTTTCTGGTCCTTGTGCAGGCACCCGACAGCGTAGACTCGGCGCAGTTGGAGAAGATGGAGGAGAAACTAGACGTGGAGGACATCACCTTCTTCCGCTCGTGGGCGGAAGGCCAGATGAAGGTCGAGGTGCGGCCGACAATGCCAGCTTCTTTGGCGACCCATGCTTTCTGTCCTTTACAGAGTTGGAAGCTCTGGTTTTCAATACGGGGGTCTTTACAAGGTTCGGGTGAAAATATGAGTCGAAGTCCTCGCCATCAAGTGTCACATCGTGAAATCCACTTTTTGCGCCTGATGGTATCTGCATCTAGTCCACCAGCCGTTTCCGAGTTCTCATACTCCTCACTTTCCATCCACAGGCAGCACATTTGAGCCGTCAAAGGAAGCTGCACAATGTTTGGGGTAAATGATTACTGCTTGCCTGACGTCCTTTCAGTTACCTCCTCTCCCCGCTTCTTCGGTGGGTCTCCAGCGCCAGAACGTCGAGTTCGCTTCGGTCAGCGGCGTTGCGCTCTGGGAAGAGCACCCCCGAAAGCTGACCGCTAAGCACAAAAACGAGATTCTCACCTTTCCTTTCCTAGCGATGGGTCATGAGTCAGCGATGGGTCACGAGTCTTCGAAATCTCAACTCTCTGCAGGCAGCTGCACTGAGCCGGCGCGAGAGCGCGGAGTCCCCGGGGGCGGAGCACACGCGGGAACAGCAGGGCTGGCTGAGCTGGGTGTCGTGGGGGCTGCTCGGGGCGGGCGGCTCCTCCATCGACGCCGGGGGGTTCACGGGGGCCATCTCCGACAAGGATCTCAAGGCAAGCATCCTCCGGGTGGTGCCGTGCCTTTGCTTAACATCTAGCTCGTGTTTGAGCCCTGGCTCCTGTGCGCGTGGTCTCTTGTCTTGTATGTCAACGGCGGGCGGTCTACATCGTGTCGAGGAGCTCAGCAAGAGCACGATCTGCGGCGCTGCCCTTTGGACCTCTTGAATGTCGAGCAGATGTCGAGCGCCCCACTATGCTTAACCTGTCTACAACAGTCAAAGTGCCCCGTTTGCAAAGTCTAGATCGGTGAATTATGAGCCGTATGATTGTGAGGATCCAACCCAAGGGATATATGGGGCTAGCGTTGGGGTTTAGATGAGTTTGGCTGTAGTTCGCGTGATCATCTGGGCCAGATATTCTGGGTTGTCTTTGTCCTTCTTGAGTAACCTCGTTCAGCTGGTTTGCTCTTGCAGGAGCTGTACAAGGCGATGGACTTTTACCCGAGTCTTTACGCGGAGGACTCGGCGTGGCCTAAGGAGTATTGCCACACCTCGCTTGCGCTCACCGTCCAGGAGGCGCTCTTCGCCCTCCGGAGCTCGTGAGAAGCACTCTTGACCCTACTTCGGCTTTTCGCCTTTGAAGGACTCAATATCTCCAAAAAGCATCCCGAAAAAGCCCATAGCTGGAATGTTCGTTTAGGAGAAGCATTTTGGACCCTTCCTTCAAGTAGCAGCACCCTGAAGACGTGGAATATGTGCCACCGTCGGCAAGCACTTATAAGTAACTTACAAACCATTCTTATCTCCTACAGTGCAGCGATAGCCGCTGTGTGTACACATTGTGCGTGTTTGTGAGCAAATGCAGTTCGAGAGCGGCAAAGAACCCTATTGGAAACACGCCTCCTGCCGCCCCTTCAGGTACTCGAAGCGCGACATCATGCGGGCCTCGTTGCTGTCCGCTGACGTCAGCGTGCGGATGCGGCGGGACTCGACGAGCGTGTCGCTGACGCTGGGCTCCCTGGAGGCGGAGGACCTGTGCAGCCCTGGCAGCACCTTCTCGCGCATCGTCTGCCCCAAGGTGACGTCACCTCGGCTGACGTCATCATCTTGTTCGCAAGCAACCTGCACAATTGTCGCTCTTCTCGTAAGGCTCTGGATGAACGAGGTGCAGCATTTTTTTAACTCCAAAACAATCTGGGAATCTGTGTGTTTGTTCAGGGTCCACGAGGGCGTATGCTTTTCCTCTCCCAAAGTTTGATCTGCTTCATCGACTGACATCGTCAACCGAGGGCGCAATAGTTGCTAATTTCCACTGACTTTCATCCGTTCTATCTGCTTGATTCACAGCATTGGGCGGCGTTGGTACGGACAAATCCAGCCTGCTGATAGCGAGCTGCATCGAGCACTCGAGTCATCTTTTAGGGGGAGCCGAATTGCGAACGTCACTCTTTCCTTCCTCTGACCTCACACTGATATGTTCGCTTGGTCACAGGATACGGCGCCGCCACTCCGTTGGAGAACACGCGCCCAGCATGCTCCAGCTGAGCAGCATCAAGCACTGACGTCAACGCTACAGGGTGTCTGCAGGCGTCAAATGCTCCCTTCACTGACATCATTCCGTTTCGTTCGCTCGATCGCAGAATTCCACGGTGCCGATTCCGCTGGACAGCACGGACGCGTTCAGCCTGCTGAAGCTGAGCAGCATCAAGCACTGACTTCATCATTACAGGGCGCAAAGATTGCAGACGTCGATGCCTGCCTCCACTGACATCATTCCGTTCCGTTCGCTCGATCGCAGAATTCCGCGGCGCCGATTCCGCTGGATAGCACGGACGCGTCCAGCCTGCTGAAGCTGAGCCGCAGCCACAGCTACACGGTCGAGAGCCCGACCGGGAGTTGGGCCAATTTGGAGACGCTCGGACGTACGGACGAGCCCGCGCTGCCGCTCGTCCGGATCGAGGCCGAGCTGCACCCTGAGGAGCTCAACGTAGACGTCCGCGTACTGGTAAGTTGCGCTTGTCATTCGTTTATCCTATAGTTTTGCAAAGTTGGGTAGAAGGGTGCAAGAGAGCGGAAGAGGAATGAGTGGTGAGCGAGGTCGAAACGCGATATTTTGTGCAAGAAAGAGTAGAACGGCGATGAACATATAAAGGTCCAAGATTCGAGCCTTTCACTTTTGGTTCATTGGTTTAAGCAAGAGAGCGAAACAGACAACAATACAAGGAAAGAAAGGGAAGTAGTTCGGCAGCGGCTGAAGATTGGTCGAATGAGGTAGGGTGGCTTATTCTAGAACACTTGGTCTGTAACAGGATTTACAGCTTGGCAATTTCGAGGCGACAGAACACGTGCGCATCTCATTTGCAGGTCGCCATCCAGCCGCTAGAGATTGTGTACAGCCCGGCTTTCATCAAGAGGGCGGCCATGTTCTTCAACCACCCCGCCAGCATTCAAACCCACCAAGAGCTGGTAATGAGCGCCACCTGCCGGCACAGCCCTGTGTCCGTATGCGATTGAACTACTTCCCTGCGAACCCTTTGTTCAGTCGTTTCAGTGCAGAGGGGATGTCGAGGGGGAAAGCGGTCGTTTAAATGTCAACTGCGACGTGGAATCATATCTGCGTACGTACTTCCTTACTTGCCAATGTGAGATCCTGTCTGCTTACGTCCTTTGCTACTCGCCGCGTGTTGTCTCAAACTCAATCACTTGGCAATCTAGACAAAGTCTTTGGGGCTGCGATCCAGGCTCTGGAATGCGGCGGATGGGCCCCTCTGTTACTGAACGACTGGACGCCCTGCCTTTAAATATGATGGACTATGCGCTTAGAGCTTATCTGGATGACTTGCAGGTCGTCTCCGCTCTAAACGGCCTGGAGAACCTCCGAGCGCGGACCATCTCCAAGGCAGAGTGAGTGTCCAGCTTCATTCTTTGAGTCCACAAATTCCCCTGATCCGCAAGATTTGCACCGAACCTGGATGCTCTGTTGTTAAAGTTTTGTTGGGTGGTATTGTTGCGTGCGGCAGTCTGTGCGATTCTGTACATCGACCCCCCGTCCTAAAGGAATACGCTCCCTCGAGCTCCAAGGAGGTATCACTGCCGTCGACAAAAATAGGCCGCCTGATAGCTAGGTGCATCATACAGTCATCCGAGCGACGGTAGTACCGTCGGATCATTGGAGTACCTGTCCTCGTATGTGAATCTTCTGAAACGCATGCCACTGTAGGTACGTCTTCTCGACGCGGATGCGAACGTCGTTCCAGATCAACGTGCACGCCCCGCTGCTGATCATACCCGAGGCGGGCCAAGAAACGGGCTCTACTCTGCTGGTAAGCGCGAAGGAAGCCAGGTCCAAACGACGAGCGGACGCATATTTTGCTGATTCAAATCACTTTTCGAAAGTGGCAGCCCTTGCGCGGTCAACTGTGCCACCAATACTATTTGTCAGTTCCCCCTGCGGAAGCTGATTAAGGGCCGAGACAAATTCTCGCTTGTTCCCAAATCGAGGGCGGCCAACCAGCGGCTTTGGTCGACCATTTTTGAACGCCGAACTCTTGATCTTCCTTGAACAGTTCGGAACCCCCCAGCTCGTACAGCTGCCGCAGCCCCCCCGCTGCCTTGATGACCGTTCTGCTGTCTGTAAGGCTCCGATATGAAGGTTGGAGCCCCGAAATTTGAGCCGCCCTCGACGTTAATCTGTTTGAGAATCTTTGAAAACCAATACTCAGAATTTAGAGATTTAAACCTTGCCAAATTACTCCAATTGCAGGTGGTGGACTTTGGTCTGCTCCAGCTTACATCCGGCGTCCAGCCTCAGATGGGCCCGGGCTTTTCTCGGGGCACAAGCGGCGACGGCTCCGCCTCTCGGCGCATGACGGGGCCGGGCGTCGGGCCATGGTCACAGGAGGAGCTGCGGGACTTGGAGCCGGGCATGAAGCGCAGCGGTAAGAATCCAACTGTATGCTTTTCGAGCTATTAGCAGCATTTCGGGGTTCGAGAGCCTGGGGCTTGTAGATCTACGAATAGTTGCATGGAATCCACATCGGTGTCAGGGTGTCAAGCTTCCATTGCACCACGGGATTGGCGGATGCGCAGCTGGGGTTGAAATGGAGTAGTGTGCAGTTTGAGGGCACAGATGGGGTTCAGGAACTGTGGCGATATCTCCGTGTCATAACCCGAAGTTTGTTTATCTCTGAATGTGTCGCTGACATTTCGGTTCATCAGGGTTTACCAAAATGATGGTGGTTGGGGGTAGGCTATTGGGATGACTGCCGTTTGACTTGATCTTTGAATGCTCCTGTGACAGCGAGCTTCCCTGGGGCGCGGAGGTTGGACAGCTTGCCACGTGGCAGCCCAGACGCCCAAAACAGCATCCTAAAGGAGATCACTGACAGCGCTCTCTACGACCGCTTTCACTTCGAAGTGAAGGACCTACAGGTGGGTAGGCAATGAACGAACTTAAGAAAGTGCGTGGCTGCCTCCATAACTTGTTCCATTTCGTGCTCACATGAAACCTGTCAATCTAGCCTATTTGGTATTTTGCTGATATTAGAGTTCGCAGATCATGGATCCGCCACTATCACTGATACTCTCACTAGCTGTGCATCGTCTTAGAGGATGCCTACTTGGATTCCGCAGATGATAATCAGGTTCAAAAGGCATCTTTTAGGAAGGCAAGAATGCCTGCCTTGGCAACAAGAACCAGATCCAAGGTGAAAGAATGTGCGGGTAAAGGATGGATCACCAAATGTGACCTTGCACATCCTAAAGCCTATGCCGTCGCGATTGCGCAGATTGCGGTGGCCCGTCAGTCCAGCGACTGGCGCGCCATTCTGGAGCAGGACGGGTGGGACGCGCGCGTGCACCTCGTCAACCGCTTCGACCTCAAGCTCATCATTGACACCAGCTCGCTGCCCTCCGACACCACCATCACGCGAACCAAGGTTGGTGTCATCTCCCTACCTTTCGAAACAGCTCGGTGGGGAGAGTTGTTGTAAAGAGAGATTGAAACCGGAACAAGGTGTGTTTCACTTGGTAACATAAGAACTTTGTTGCTCCTAATGATCACAAACACTCTGATTCGAGTGTTTTGATTCGATGTTGCGGATGGCGTGTGAAAATAGTCTCCAGTCCACCTTGCTGGAGGAGAAGCAGTGTCTGCTCCTTTTCGTCTGGCCACCGTTCCGTCTTGTGGCCCCATAGCTGCTCTGACACTCTTTCGCAGATCCAACTTCTGCTCGTTTTTCTAGGGACTCCTCTTCGCCAGTAACTTCCACCCATCCTTTTTGAGGCCCAACAAACATCCCCACACTTTCAAGCCGCATCGCGTGCAGCAAATCTCCCCACTGCTGGTCTGGTCTTTCTCCTTCCGTCGACTTTGCTTCATCAAATTCTCCAAAGCCTTCTCTTTAAAAACGATTTTCTGCCCCCCCAGATCCTGGGCAACCTCCCGACGGTGTACCTCCACCTGTCCGTCTGCAAGCTCCAGTCCCTGAGCGCGGTTCTCGACAGCTTGACCCGCCCCGAGGCGCAGCCCACGTCAAACCTTGCGTCGAGCATCCTCAGCGCAACCCCTCCAGGTCAGTTCCACTGCATATGGGCTTTCTTTCACATTCTGTCTTCCTAGCAAGTGTCTTGCTCTGGTCCTGCTTCTCATTGTTTTGCCAGCAAACGCTTGGTGCTCATCTTTGTCTCTGCTCTTGCTCTGTGACGCCGGCGTGCACTTTGCCCGACCTGTCCCGAGTTTGCGTCTCCAAGCACCACTGCTCATCTCTTTGCTTGTTCGCTCTGCTCTGTCCGAAAGTCCTGACTTGAAGCATCCTAAGGACAGCGAAAATGTGCTGAAGCCACCTCTCTGTGCTGATAATCTTATTCGCCCTTTCTCTCAGGTCCTCCTTCCGGGCTCCCCTCATTCACACCCCCGCCCGCGCAATGGGCTCTCAGCCCCTACGAAACGCCGTCAGCCGTCGAGACGGGGGCCGCTCGGAGGAGCGAGAGACTAAGCTTCGTGGAACCCAAGGGGGGGGTAAAGGAAACGGGGGACGCGGAGGGGCAGGCCCCCCTGGTAGAGTTAAGGTTGTGCGTGGAGGCGGCGGCGGTCGAAGTGAGCCTGGGGGAGGCGCTAGTGCCAACTGTGGTAGGGGGAGGTGGATTCGTGGATGGGAAGGTCGTGCTGCAGCTCAGCGGGGCCTGCATCGGGTGAGGTTCTTTGGGGTACATGTATCTTGGACAGAAATAATTCTGAATGGTTTGGGAAGACAATGATTGTCAGCAGTTCATCCTGACGTCTCTTGGAGACTAGATAGGGGAGCTTTGCTTCGATTAGGTTGCTATTGCACTGTTTCTCGATTGCAAGTTTGCTGAGCTCAGACTCTTCCAGAAAGTCGAAGCTAATTGGAGGTGTTTGTCAGTTGAGCTCATGACTGAAAGGTGGTTCTTCCGTTTCCTGGAAACGTGCCGACAAGTCCGTCAGCTAGTTCTCGACTTCCATTGATCTTTCTTTCAGTAACTTGGTGCGGGAGTCTCTCTTTCAGCTTCGTCAAGAGGGACGTATGCCCCTATGACCTCAAACACGCTGCATCACGTAGCTTTTGACACCTGTTCTTCTCTTCTTTCTAGGTTCAAGCAACTGCCGCTCCGGAGCACCCTCGACCTCACGCTGGCTTCCTGTCACATCGAAGACTTCTCCAAACCCCTGTACAGCGCACAGCGCTTCCTGCTGCAGCCTTCTCCCTCCAAGCAACAATCTCCGCTATCCCCAGACATCCCCAGATCGCAGCAAACTCCAGAAATGCGAGAACCCTTCGACTCGGACGCCCCTTTTGGAAGCGACTCCAGCGTCGTTTCCTTTCGTCTTGGTTCCGCTGAGGATCCGGACGGAACTTCCGTGTCCGAGTTCAGCGTCCGACTTGCGGAGTTTGTCTTCCAATGCAACCGCGCAACGCTCGCCGCAATAACAGCGTTCGCTCAAGCCGTGGGTGCGACCGAAGTTCCAGTCACCCCCAATAATGAGCACGCATCTGCCCGCCCCGAGGCTCTCGCGAGCATCGGCGAAGCACCGACTAGTCCAAAAGCCAGCACTTTTGTAAATAGCAGCTCGCCCTTCATCACTCCGGTAAAACCTGGACTGTTTGATGTCCAGTCGACGGCTTCCGACGTGCCACGTGGCAGGCAGACCGCGGCTGGCAGCGTGGCAATCGAACGGCTTGAGGTGCATTTCAACGCGGCGGATGAAACGCTGGGGGTAATAATCGCGGAAGGGGCGGAGATACTGGTAGATATCGAAACACTGGGCACGGACGTCCGATGGCTGACACGTGGCGCGTTTGGACGGCTGTTGTTGGACGCCCCTGTCGAGGGTCGGGGCGTGATGCGCCTCTGGGACGCAGTGCCGAATGCGGACAGCTGTCGCAACTGTCTCTCGGTCGGGACTCTGCCGCTGGAAAGCTGCCGAAGCAAAGGAAAGAGCGACGGAACAGTGGGAACGGAAGGCGACGGAGCGGAAGCCTCGACGTTTAGGAGTGGCGGAGAAAGTGGACAGGAGGTTGCTGAAGTGGATGGCAGTCGGAAAACAAGGGGTCCCGCAACGACCGCAAAAGCGAAGAGCGATGAACCTGGAATTTCCGAGAGGTTCGAGGCAGCCGCTGATTCGGAAGTTCCAAAGTTAAGTGCAACCCCGGAGGTTGAGGAGCTTCTCAGAGGTGAAGCTGACGAAAGTGTGGCGGCGCCGAACGAATTGAGGATCGCTGTAACCGTTCAACAAGTTCATGCGATCCTCTTCGGCACGTTCATAACGAGAGCCACCGCATACTTCACGCACGAAGAGTGGGCATCGGGGCACATCTTTGCTGACGACACTCCAACGCTCTCCGGGCTGTCGGAAGACGTCATCTTATCGGTACCAGAGGACGAGAGCTCTTCTTCGGAAAAGAGCTTAACCGTCGTGTACCAGTTCTCAATAACGGATTGTATCCTAGACCTGCCGAGCACGCTAGAGGAGCCCCAAAGTAGAATCTTCCCCCAGGTTGCGCTGCCCCAACTGACGGTCGGCTTTCTTCTCCTGGGGGACACGTGTACGGCTGAGGATGCGCCGCAGCTGTCAATGTCGCTGAGCGTGGAGGGGCGGGGGCTGTCTCTTACGACTTGGGACGATGGGGTTCCAGGACAGGGGGGGTGGAAAGCGGGGACTGGTGGGGGGGGGCAGGAGCGAGACGGTGCCAGGGAAAAAGCGCTCGGGGGGCTCATTGATGGGCTGAATGCGAGCCTGGGGATGAAGTGGTTCACGGAACGGAGGGATAGAGATTCCCCCCCGATGGAGGTGGCCTTTGACTCGCCAGGCTTGCAGGTTAACCTGACCAGTGAGTTACCTAATCTGTCTTGCGGCCCAGTGCTTCGCCACCTGTTCGTTTCGCTGTCTTGGCGGCAGAGAATGCATTTGCACCTGAATAACAGCTGCTTACGTGTCCGCAATGTCGCTTGGATACAGTTCCCTTGCTGCTAACTCGAAGGCCATTTGGTTTTGCGTTGTGCTGTCACAGCCTGCTAGAAGAGGTGTCTGACCATTTGTATACTGGGTTTCACCACAAAGTTCGCTCTCGTCATCGCCTGCTCACCGTTTTCATGAGCAGCATGGTTTGTCCAATGAAAAGAAGCAACGCAAGCGGTGAAACCACCTATTGCCATGGAAAACGGAACGTCTGTCCAGATATTATGCAGGAGCCGACGCCACGGTGCAATGATACTCTGTTCTGCGTTTGCGACAGATACTTCCACCTTGTCTCTACTGGAAGAATAATTGTTTTCTGAGTGTGCCTTGTTGGGTCACCGACTTTCGCTGACTCTGATTCTCCAAACAATACTCTGTGCGGAATGCGTCCCCTGACGCCGCTTTACCTTCCCCACCAGAGAACGACGTGGCCATCCTGTCGGCCATTCTCGAGCACAACCTTCTCAAGATGGACTTTACCTCCTCCGCCCCCGACGGGTCCCCCCGTTCACCGAGCCCCCTAGGAGACTTCCCCTCCCAAATCGAAGAGGCCCTGTTGATGCCGGTCGGGCCGGACCAGATAACTGTCGTTTCTCCAAAGAGCCTCTCCAGCAAGGCCTCGCTCGGAGACGGAACTCCGGGAAGCAGCCAAGGCCTTTTTCTCGATGCTTCTGTCATTTCCGAGGGACAAGATCGCGGTCGGGGGATCGACGACACGGCCTCGACCTCGGTGCGAGCGGGGGTCGGTTGCCTGCTCGTTTCTTTCCGGGGGGGCAAAAACGAGCAGGACAAGCGCCCCCCGGCCGTCGTTGCGCTGAGGGGCCTCGGGCTGGTGGCTGACGTGGGCGAGCGATCCGGCAACGTGCAGCTGACCTGGGGTGACGTCACCCTGGGCAAGCAGGGCTCGCCGGTAGCTGGGGAACCTGGAAGTGACACGTGGCTCGACGAGGAGGGGGAGCGCCTGCTGCGGCTTCGGGCGTCCGGAGCGGAGGAGGGCGTCCGCTTTTCGTGGGGAAGGGCAGAAGTCCGTTCTGCTGACGTTAGCGGTAGCTTGATGGAAGAAAGCGTTTCTGCACCCGAGTCGGAACGGTCTTCGACGGGTGCAGAAAGTTCCTCGGATGTCCGAATGAGAGTTGGCCTGCCGGAAGCGTCCGTGTGGCTTGCGGTCGAGGATTGGACGGAGTCCGTTGCAGCGATCTCCGCCTGCTTTGAAATACCAATTGGAGGGAAATCTGATTCAGAGGGGAAGGATGCTGATGTGCCAAGCTCGAAACAGAATCCGACTGACGATCTCAAAGGGAAGGAAGGAGCTACATCAGGGAGCCGGGTTAAAGTCGACGTTAGCGCGCCGCTGCTAAAATTCATACTGCCGAACGGAAGGAAGGAGTGGGATGGGGCGGGCTTTGAGGAGCACACCGCCGAGGCGGGGTTTGAGGGGATGAGATTTGACGGTTCAAGAAACGGCGCCTCTGTATACGACAGCGACAGCGAACCTGACGAGATCGTGAACCCTCGGACCGCCCATTCCATTCCGCAACGCCTCTTCTCCGGACAATTCGGACCGCAGAACACGTGGCAAGCGGACGGCCCAAAGCGGTCCGCCCAGACCGTCCACAAGTCTGTCGTCCTGACGCTGGACGTCCGGGCGGGCGCTCAACGGGAGGCTGCCACGTGGCATCTCGACGCTGCCGTCGAGCAGGCGCTGCTGACCGCCGAGACACGTCAGCAGGGGAAGCCCGTCTCCGCTCTTCCGCTCCTCCGCCTGGCGACGCTGCACGCCAACGCCAAAGCGTTCGTCGTCGGAATCGACGACGTTAGCAGCCTTTCTGCTGACGTGGACGCTGACGTCAGCCTCGGCGCGGTCGAGTCGTGGTGCTCCTTCCCCATCCTGCGGTTCTTCCGGGACTTTGGAGTCGAGGGCGGCGGGGCCCCCGCAAACGACGGGCCGCTGGCGGTGCGCGGGCGGCTGACGGGAAGGCTCGGGAGGGCCTCGTTTCTGCTGAGCGACTGTAGGGTAAGCTCCGAATCCGATGACCTTGTAGTCAAACTTCGCCGCAAGTCTAATGCAAAGGAGATGCCATGAAGTTTGTGAGTCGCATATCCTCGCCTGCACTCCGCTAAAGGTGCCTAATTTATGTACCCCCCCTTTGAACCCCTTTGAACCCCTTTGAACTCCCCCTTTGGTATCTTCTATAGCTGATGCGTCGTCTCGTTGGAGTTGAATACTTTTTTTGCAGATCTTCCTCCTTTCTGCTAGGGAGCCGTTGGCAAATGAAGGCGATTTGTCTGCTATTGAGCGTTCTTCATGTGTTCTGACGACTTACCGAGGTGCTCAATCCGGTCCAGAACTCCATTGAAACCTCAGCAAGCTTTTTGAGTGCAGTGGTACAACAATGCGCCCATCGTAGAGCTTCTGCTGTCCGAGCTCCGCCTCACCGCTGGAACGGACGTCCGGAACAGCTCGCTGTCCGTGACTGCGGACATAGTGGCCAACTATCACAACATCGAAAAGGTAAGCGGATCACGCTCGGATAAAGACCAGGAACTCATGAGGCCCGTTGGCGGTTGGCAGTTGACGTATTGTTGAGAGTCATCCTAGTACAGTTGCCTTCTCGAGGTCTCACTTTGATGAAGTGGACGTGACAAAAGCTTTCCCGAAGCGATGCTCATTGAGGAGCTTTTAACGAGAGGCGCTTTCTATCAGATCTACTCTGTCCCATTTAGGAACGTCAGCTCGAGACTTCTTGTTCCAGGCACAAATAGAGGCACTCGGATTTCGGTTTGTCTCCTTCTCTTGGCGAGCACCCTAGCTTGAGATCTTGAAACCTCAAGCTTTGTGAACTGGATGTTATCTGTTTCATATTGACAATGATGCGTTGTACTTGTTTGAAACGGTTCGTCACATCTCGTCGGGTGCAGGTTGCATGGGAGCCTCTTGTGGAGCCGTACTCGTTCATTCTCGAAGTCGATCGAAGCGCCAACGAAGCAACGAGCGGGAAGGTTGAGTCGCAGACTCAGGTCCATCTGGTTTCAAGGAGCATGTTGAACGTCAATATCACAGAAGGCCTGGTTAAGGTGAGCCGTCAGGCTTCGAAAAAAGCGGGACTCCACGTGGAAGCAGATCCTATCCCTGTGTGTTATCTTTCTTCACTGTTCTTCTCAATCTGAGGGTCGGGACTCGTTTTAGGTCCTACTTAACGGTCAGGTTTGTTTGTGCCTCCAAAGAGAGACCTCGAATCAAGCAAAGCGGTTCTGTCGAGCGATGCAGAAATAGATGTAATGGGTTTGGTCTCGTTTCAATATGCATTGCTTGCGAAGCTACTCAACTGGACAGCATCATAAGAGTTGCGTATCCTGTTCTGAGCTTCTTCTCCTGGATCTATGTCACACGCCCTCCCCGAGAAAGATCGACAAATTTTCAACCATACGCACAAAAGCTTAAGGTCATTTACAGCCTGCCGGCCAGATGTTTGCCGTAAACAAGACTGCAACAGCAAGCCTGCTCTCGTCTTGCAGGCGGCGATGCGTGCCAGCGAGGTCGTTCGGGAGGGCCTCGAGTACAGCTATGACGACGAGGGAAGCCACGCTGGAAGCTTCGACGAGGGCCCCACGGGCGCCACCCACAAGCGCCGCTACGCCCCCTACTGGCTCAAAAACGACACGGGCGTCACCCTGCGCTACTGGCTCAGCAGCTCGCGAACCTTTACCGGGACCGTTACCACCTCGGCAACGGTTCCTCCGGGCAAGTCCGCGCCGATATACGTGGAGGAGGACCCGGGCGAGGGGCGGGGGTTGGGTTTGGGGCTTAACCCGTTTGGGCACGTGCAGCACCGAATGATTCAGGTTCAGCTGGAGGGCTCGGGGGTTCGGTCTGACCCGATGTCGATTGACCGTGTGGGAGGCCACGTGTTCCCAGTTGTATTCACGTCATCGCACGGGATGCGGGAAGACCGGCTCGCTCGACAGTCGAGCGCCTTCCCTGTAATCTCTCGAGCCAGTAGGGTCGGGACTCCGCTCGGGAGGCAATTAAGCGAGTTCCCCATGACGTCATCGAGCTCGAGCGATGACGTCAGAGTAGGCGGGCGGGTTATCTCGGGCTTGTCGCTGGAGCGGACGGCTTCGGGGGTGCCACCGAAAAGCAGCGGACACTTCCGGACGCATGTCGTGTGCGACGTGCAGCTGCGGCGCTACAGCAAGATGGTTGTCTTCAAATCCCTGGTGAGCCACTGAATTTCCGAGCTGACCAGTTTCAGGTCTTTACTTCGAAAGGATGCAGCATTTGGTGTCTGCTATCCAATGTCAAGATGCTAGAAGCATCCGAGAGGCAGGCATGCTGCTGGAAGCACCAGACTTACAACCGGCAAGTCGCAATTTTTTGAGGATGTGCAAATGGCCGGCAGGGCTTAGGCGTCGCACTGAGTGATTTATGAGGGGTTGGAAAACCAGGTTGGGCTTGGCAGCTAGGTTGCAAAGGAATTACCCACTAGTCCTCGCTCCGATCGCCGGTCTACTTATTGGACCCGTTGTGGTGAACCGAGGTCTTCTGTTTCGCAGGTCGCCCTCACGAACAAGACATCCGTGCCCCTCGACCTCTGCTTCGAGATGCCCTTCGCGCTCGAGGGCAAGGTACTCGGCCCCATTCCTCCAGGGCAACCGTTCCCCTTCCCTATTCACCAGGTAAGCATCTCTTCACTCAAATCAATTATCATCCACAGCTTCTGCCTTGCGTATCAGGGAAGGTACTTGCACCTTCGGAATGAAAGAGGGGGCACTCAGTCAATGATTCAAACGAACCTCTTAACAGGTCATGGCTACCACGGCTTTTGATGCTTGCGACCATTATCGTTGGCCCTTGCAGCACTCTCGGTCACGCTCCAGCCAAAAAATTTCATCTGGAAGCGAATGTCGTCTGGACACGAAGGTTTCCAAGTCGGAAAACCGAGGGCTCGGTCGATGCTGATCGACCTCTCTTTCTGCGCAGGCGGGCGGCTCTGGCCGCGTCCGCTGGCGTCCCTCGGGCGACACCCACTTCTGGAGCGAAGCCCAGGCCCTGTCCAACCTTTTCAAGACCCCGGAGTCCGGCTCCAGAGGCGCCGACACCCACGTTACGAGGCCTCACCGGAGCATCGTGTGCGCCCCAAACCGCCCACAAGGCAAACCGTTCCGCTTTTGCATGGACGTCGCCAGCTCCGAACTGCCCACAACCAGCGGTTTAGAAACGGTCTCTTCGACCGGGCGGAAGAAGGGCCGGCGAGGACTGGGTTCTCAAGGTGGGGAAGACGGGCCGTGGAGGACGTGGGAAGTGAAGCTGCTGCCGCCGGTGGTTATTGAAAACTGGCTGCCGTGCGCGGTGGCGGTCTCCGTGGAAGCCGGCGGAGTGACACTGGCCGACAACACTAGAATCGCCAAGGTACGGCTAGCACCGAAAGAGGATCATGATTTCCAGAGAAGTCTGTTGTCGACGTTTGCTGAGTCTCAGATTTTGTGATCCGGTGTAAAGTCTGGTTGCTGCTTGGATGAGGAATGAAGCCTGCTTCACTTGATGACCGGGCTCCTGCGCATCCCTCTTCGTCACCATTCCCAAACGGAGTCCTTTACAAAATCTCTTTTGAGCCAGTCCGTGACTGAACCCCAAAGTATTTTCGGACATCAGGTTCTCATCGAGAAACATTCTTGGGCGATTTTGACTATCTGGAAATTCAACTCTTTTCATTCAAGACTCCATTGGCTGTCCGATGCAGGGCCAGTCTGCGCACATCTTCGAGGCGGACAGCCATCAGGAGCTACGGCTCACCTTCAAGCCCGCCGGATTCGGCGCCACGAGCGTCGTCACGCTTCCACGTGTCGTCCCAAACTCGCACGAAACGGACGGCCTCGAGGGCCTCTCGTCGATGGAGGTCCTGGAGCTGACGGCGGAGCACTCAGGTGAGGGTTGAGCTGATACTTCTATCCACATAATTTTACATCTGACATTGACAAGGATTGAGATGGGAAGCATGAGTTGTTAGAGCGGACTAAATCTAAGCTCTCCATTAATGCGCCAATGAATTTTGCGCGTTTGGCTGATGAGTCGTCTAGATTTCCGTAGTCAGGCCCAAATCTGCCATCCAGCGGGATGCGCTGGAATATAAGCTCTGGTTAAGGATAGCTGCTCTGTCTGACATCAAGCGCGCAGAGAACGTTCTTTGCTCCTAACGTTGCTTTCGATGGGACTATTGATGGCGAGAGAAATGCACCAACAACGAATATTGCCCCATCTACAGGCGCCAAGGTCACTGTTGAGCTCGAAACGACCGTAAGCCTCCTCTCGGGAACCCGTAACCTCTTCCTCTCCTGCGGCTACTGGCTCTTCAACTGCACCGACTTGCAACTCGTCTTCCAAGACGCGTCCGCATCCCGTTCGGACGTTTCCCGCGAGCAACCCCTCCCCCCGCCCCCCCGACGCTCCCCCTTGGGGAGCCAGTTCCGAAACCCCCCCGGTTTAGAGGGCGCGATCAAAACCCCCACGGAGGCCGACGAGCCCTTCGAGCGCAAGCGCTCGTGGCCTGACGCGGCGGGGCTCGAAGCCGCGCTCACCACGATCCCGGAAAGCGAAACCGTCCGAATTGGACACGGGTCCGACACGCCAAGTGTCCGCAGCAGTGTGAATGCGTCCGGGCTGGAGCCGGGCACCCCGTCGCTATCGAGAGAAAGCTCGTTCGCGCTCTCGTCGGTGTTTGGAGCGTCAAGCCCCGGGAAAAAGGTGATTCGACAAGGGGCGAACGCGTCGGCGAGCATCTTGCCCCCCGGTAGCCGCCAGCAAAGCCCCGGTTCTCAGTTGCACACACCAAAGGCCCGGTCGCGGCTCGGGAAACAAGACTCGTTCACTCCGACGGGCATGCGGGAAGGGTCCGAGTACAGTTTCGGGGGGGTGGACACACCCGCCAGCAGCAGGCCGGGCAGCCCCTTCTCATACGCCAACTTCGCCAGCACCTCCCGGTTTGGCGGCAACGGTTCGTTGTACGGTAACGGTTCGATTTACGGCACACGTTCCCTGCAAGGCGCCCGGAGCTTGTCCGGGTTTGCGCCTGGTGCGGACCTCCAAGCCGTCATGTACGGACGTCCGCCGAGGGGGGATGCGGACGAGCCCCAGCTCAAGATACGGGTCATGAAGCCGGCCAAGCGGGGCTCTGGCACTGGACACGTGGCGGCGTCGGAATGGTCGAAGCCGTTTGGGCTCGATCCGGCCGGGGGGGTCAGCGTGGTGTACATTCCAAGGTGGAAAAAGGGGGGGCTTTACGTGATGGCCGTGTCGAGCATTCCGGCGATGGGGGCCTGCGTCAGCAGGACGAAAACTGTCACGGTCCGGCCTCGGTGAGTATTTGCTGGTCCAAACGGTCTCAATATCGTGAGTCATTACGTCCAAACGGATTCAACATTGTAAATCATCGCGTTCCATATTGTAACCTTTGCTCAGTATGCGTGGAGTGAAATAGTGCAAAGTAGGTAGTTGAAGCACGGATTCAAGTTGACTTGACAATCCGACTAGGACAAATCCGGCTTGCTCCTTACAGGTGGATTGCGAACCCTTTGTCCCACAAACTCATACATCGGAGGCAACTCAGTTGCTAGATATAGCGGCCTATCCGATGCGCTGGATATTCCGAATCTTGCGAGCTTCCTTTGATGTCATTGCTCCTATCAACCGGGAGGAAGACGTAAAAACAAGAGGGAAAGCTTTACCGACTCTAGCCGACTCGAATTCTTCCGTTCCTCTTGTCCCAGGTACGTTCTTGTAAATGCCCTGCACCGTGACCTGGTGTACAAGCAGCAGGGCACGGAGTCATACCAGCATCTGGCAGCCGGCCAACACCGCCCCTTTCACTGGACCGACGTCAAAAGGTGGGCGCCCGGCTCTCGCGGTTCGTCTCTCTTAAGCGTTGCCTCTTCCGGTCATCCGTATCATGTCTGCTGATCACGCTCCGTCTTGACCTTTTTGAGCCTTCCTATTTTCTGTTGAATTTTGACGGAGCTGCAAGTATTCACTTCTCGCCGGACTAGCCTCCGACAGAAAGTTTTGCTACGGGCCAATGCTACTTGCCGTCAAAGGGTTTCTTTGCGTCTTCGCCTTTTTGCTTGACCTTAACAAGTCCGCGCTTCTTTGGCTCACTCATCTGATCTGCCAATCAAAGCTTTCCAATCAAATTTTTGAGCAGCCTCATTCGTATACAGGCCGCTGAGTTGCTCCTCAGGGTTTCTTTTCGATCTTCATCCCGCTCCATGCCTGCCCTCTGTAGGAACTTTCGGGTGTGCCTCCGCTTTGACGAAAACGGGTGGGACTGGTCGGGGGGCTTTGCTCCTGACCAGCTAGGTGACATCTTGCTCAAGATGCGTCAGCAAAGCAACCGGGCAATCACCATGGTTCGAGTTGACGTCAGCTGTCCCGACCCCCCGGAAGGGGACGGTCCGGGAAAGATGGCTGGAGGTGGCAGCCGGGGAGTGGGTACGTGCGTAGTGGTCATCTCGGAGGACCGGGGGGGTTTCGTGCCGTACAGGATTGAGAACTTTTCGACGGAGGTGAGGCTTACGATCGAGTGTTCTTTCTTGTTGACCTTGGGTTTGCGTCCGAGACTTGGGGAACACATGGACAGCAAATTTGGCCATTTGGTTATTACAGAGAAGCAACGGCTGCTGAAATCTGCTTTTTCTGATTTTCGTTTTTGCCTGCAAAGAAAAGGGCACCAGCTTTGAGAGGGGAATCGAAGCTGCCTTCACACCTTTTGCTTCGCGTCCTTTACGGCTACCCAAAACCCCCTGATTCATCAGTCATGAACCTGCGCTCAGGAAGGTCGTTCCCAGGAATTAGCCACTTCCAGATGTCCCTGCGGAAAGCGCAATTGTGAAAGAGTTTGCAGCTTTCAGAGACGGATCTGAACTCCAGGATTCCGTCGAACTCTGACATACGTTTCTTTTTTCCCTTGACAGACGGTCCGCTTCCACCAAGAGCGCTGCGAGGAAGCGGACGACCTGCTCCGTCCGTACAGCTCGTGTTTGTACGCCTGGGACGAGCCCTGCCGCCCGCACCGCCTCGTCATGACGGTGCCCGGCGCGAGCAAACTGGGCACCTTCAGTCTGGACACCGTGTGGGAGTACCCCCGGTTACACCTCTCGGCGACCACACAGCGGCCTGAGCGGACGCTGCAGGTGGGTTGCGGGATCGGACGCCTTACCCAGAGAGTCCCACAAGTCTTGTGCAAGGGTAATAATGCAATAAGTGTACAAACGGAGCGGTGGGGATATGTCACCGGGTCCAATTTGAGTTTTTAACCCGCTCTCCATCCGAGAAGGTATTTTGATGCTGATGACAAGTGGGTTGACTCATTTGGGGGGTGTTGAGTTTATGAAAAGCTTCAGCGGAGAGCTCAGTAGGTCGCGTACTTTACCATTTGAATCTATGTTCCTGGTTTGCTGCATGTTAGATGATGATAGGGGTACGAGAACAATTATCACTCGATATGCACTTCGTATAGGTTTGTAGATGTTCGTCTTGCTCTTGCGCAGGTCGCGGTTCGTGCTGACGGCCCCACGCGTGTCATCAGCGTATCTGACGTCAGCATGCACTCCTGGGAGGAGCCGGAGGGCAGCGGCGCCGGCTCTTCTTGGGCGGGCAAGGGGGAGCGGCCGGGGGAAGCCGCCGGGCCATCAGACATGACCTTGGAAGTGACTGTGAAGGTGGCCGGGGTGGGGGTGTCGGTGATTGATAGTCGGCCGCAGGTGGGTTGGATTCCTGGGGGATCTTGATAAAGGGACTCTTGAAAGCAAGGGAGATGCTCAGAATACGTATCGCCGTAATCGGGGGTCAGGTGCGCTTTCAGGCGTTCTGGTAGATTTTTGCTGCCCTTTATGGCGCTTCCTGATGCAAGGGAGTTGAGCCGCCCAGATAATCTGGCAACAACACTTGAAGACGGGTCATAGTAAATTGCAGTGTGCAACCTGATCAATTAAGGTTGCTGACGTTGTTCGAAGGGAAGTCGAGATTCATGTTATGCAGGTTGTCATACAAATGTCCTCTGGCTCTTTTTCATGTCAATCGGCTCTTTGCCTCTGCAAATATGGACAGTATCTCTGCGGCACAGAATGTAGAAGACTCTTTTGAATCCCCCGGACCTTGTGTTACATTCCTTCAAAAAAGTAGATGTAAGCAACAAAGGTCAATTGTTCGCTTACAGGAGCTACTGTACGGGTGCACACGCGGCGTCAGCATCCGCTTCGTCCGCGGTACGCACGAGCAAATGGCCGAGTTCCACGTGGCAAGCCTCCAGCTTGACAACCAATTGCGGCACGCCACGTACCCCGTCCTCCTGTCTACTTCCGAACCAGAGACGTCAGCCCCAGCGGGGGCGACACAAAGCTCTGAGTTACAGGAACGGGTCGCCGCTCTTTCTGGGCGGGTGATGCACTGGCGGCGACAGACGGGGTCGGTAGACTGCTTCCGACTAGTGTCACTAAGGTGCGTCTTTCGAATGATTTGATCAACCTGACAATTGAATTAGGTATGCTGATATTGGCTCCTCAGTGTTCGACCGTCCATCAGGTGTCTGCTTACCCAGAGAGTAACTCGGCTTGAAGTGGCTGATGCCCTCACTTTTAAGGCTCAGCGGAAAGCACCGACGAGAAGTTTGGATCCCAGCAAAGGACTATCCTCAAGCAAGAAGCCAAAACTTTGCCCACAGTCGAAAAAGGTGCAAAACTGACAAAGAGCTTACTGGCACTGGTCTTGAAGACCAGAACTCCAGAAACGCATCACGAGCACGAGCTATATGCGCTCTCTTGAAAGCAACTCAGAAACTCGACCCCAAGACCCTGGGTTTGTCAAAACCACGTCATTCGTAACCTTCCTTTCAGGGTGGCGCCTCTGCGGCTGGAGATCGAGGAGCGCCTCGTCGCCCGCATCGTGGAGTTCGCGAGCGCCCTCCAGGCCGACTCCCTAAACCCCAAACCCTCCGCGCTCGCGCATCCTCTGGACGAGTCCGACAGCGGCTCCTTTGCGGACCTCGCGGCCGCGTTTACACCAAATGCCACGCCCATTCACACCAGCGGGCCCGGCAGCGTTGCTAGCGGGGCGTCTACGGGGCACTCAGAGGGCGTCCTTACTGGCGCAGCAGGTGAGCGCTTTGAGTTGGTGTTAAAGGCCCCTGAGGAGTTCCTCGAACCAGGTGTGTCCGTTGTGTGTCGTATCGATGAGTGGGGAAATCCTTCCTCAAGTCTTGAGAGCCACAAGACCGGGAGCTCAAGAGAAATGTCTGTAAGTGCTCGCTGGTGTTGTCTATTAAGCAACCTAAGGATCTCAACTTTTCAGTAGAACCAGGTTGAGGAGCAAGAATCCACAGGAAGTGAGGCGGCAGCTATTAGCGAGCCTCTCAGCCAGACCTTTTAAGGGCTATAAACCTCTTGGAGGAACAAGAGGGGGATCCTGTACGAGAATTGGCGAGAGTAGTGGGAATCACCTGTCAATCGCCTTCCGGATGTACTCCCTTACACACAGGTGGGCTGTCGAGCGTGGTGTTGACGGGGCACTCCGAGGGCAGCGGGTGCGGCCCGCAGGCGGCGGCGGTGGCTTTCGTGGGCGGCCCCAACTGGGATGTCTGGACGCTGGTCAAGGACCGGAGGAAGATATACATTGAAACGCTCCACATCCACGCCGTCGACTTGACCATCAGGTAAGCTCCGGTCGGTGTGAAAAGGCTTTGTCAGGGTGGACTTGCTTCGTTCCTGGTGCGTGCAGCAGCTTCTCCAAATTGCGAAAGACATCACGTTGCCGAAGGGATTGTGCTGCTCTGTCCTATCTAGACTACCCCGACTCTTCGTTGTATCACTGGCGGAAGTTGTGACTGGATGCCACCTCTCTGTGGAGATCAAGTGCGAAAGTGCTGCTTTGCGTCGGTCGGTCGGATGGGCTCTCCTTGCAGCAGGATTTGACGCATCAAATAGACTTTCGTTTGTGGGCTCTTCTTACGCCTGTCTTGCCTTCTGTGTGCAGTTTCGTGAGCGCGCCCTGGTTACCCTGGGAGATCCGCGGGGCCGCTGCGAGGGGCATGTTAGGAGGGGCGGGGATCGCTATCCAGGTGGGTCTGTGGAAAACAAGCTATATAAGCGTTAGAGGTAGTTTTCTTTCCAACTGTATATGGACCATGTTAAGCAGACGCTCTGATGTTTCAGGTCTACAGGGTTGCGAAGCTTACGGACCAATCGAGCGGCTACTTTGATGGTATCTTTCAAGATCAAGACGCTGTTACCTTCACCCAAACAGACCCCAGCCCTAATTATTGGATCCACGCAGCGAAGCTTGGTGGCTCTCGCCAATCCCCGAATGCTGGATCATGAAATGAAGCGGCTCTTTACACGGCCGGTGCAGCGCTCTTTAACTACCAAAGTATTGACAAATTCAGCCCGACAGACCCCAAATCCTGAGTTCTGGACCCCGATTCTTGAGGTTCTGGACGCTAAGTCTCAATTCGTGGCTTTTGGCAGCGGAGTGTGATGGCTCTCGCCGACCTGAAATGCCGGATGTTGAGGACGAAGCGGCTCTTCACAACGCCGATTCAGCGCTCTTTTACTATTAATTCGCTGACACCTTTAGCCTAACAGACCCAAACCTTGAGTTTCTGGACCCCAAACCCTAAGGCTCTGGACCCTGAACCTCGATCCTTGGATCTTCGTAGCGGAGGGTCAAGCTCCGGCCGACCTAGAACGCCGGATGTTGAGACCGAAGCGGCTCTTCGCACCGCCGATCCGGCGCTCTTTCAGAACCAAAGTACACGTACTAACACCTTCAGCCGACCTTCAGCGTAAGAGGCTCCAAACCCTGGATTTCCCGACCCCAAAACCTGAGTTCCAGGACCTGAACCTCAATCCTGCATCCCTGCAGCGGAGGGTAATGGCTCTTGCCGACCTTGAAGGCGCCCCCGTGCATCTCGGCCCACTGACTTTGGAGCATCCGCTGGCGAGCTATGGCACGCTGTGGGGTATGGGCTCCCGCCACTACACGCGCCAAGTGCTGCAAGGGGTCTACAAGGTGAGCATGCGCTCGCACAACTGGATTAAAGGTGTGAATAGGCACTCAGCTCGAAGTGCCAAGAGAGAGTCGTTGCGGGGTGCCGAGGGTCGGTGTGCTACTGTGCCAGTTTCGAGCAATTGTGAACAGGATAATTGCTGACCAAGTAAAGCGATCGCCTTTTGACTCGTCGGAGAATATGGGCACCGAAATTTTCGGGTCGCATCTGAAGCCAGGCTTACAAGCCGGGGGGTATGCTCCAGGTTTTTGCGTCTCAGCCCGGATGTTTGAAAACCCGTAGGTCTTCAGGCAGAAGGGAGTTAAGTCCAGGCTCGATCTCGAGCTGTGTCAAGTCTCCAGTTGGGCTGTAGAGCTTCCATTCCTGACACTTCCTTCGCCGCAGGTGCTGGGCTCCGCCGACTTCCTGGGCAACCCGGTGGGCTTCTTCCAAAGCGTGGGCTCCGGCCTTTGGGACTTCGTCACCACGCCGGCGACCAGCCTCGCGCAGGTGCAGGCCCAGATTTTGCTTCTATTAAAATTGAAAGAACTCCTTGTATATTCATTGACATTGAGTTAGCCCTCCCTTGCGGGACCGTAGCTCAAGGGGTCTTCTGATGTGAATGTGGGCTTATTTCGACCGGAGCACGGGGAAGTCCGGTCTACACCGCCGGCTGATCGACGACCTTGATATGATTTGCGCTTGGCAACCGTCAGCAGCTTTTGTTGCCTGGGTCTGCTTGCTGCGAAGCATCTGTGCTGTGCGACTCTGTACTTTGCGCGGCACACCGGGTCGTCCGGCGCTTGGTTTTAAGCAACCTTTGGTGGCAGTTGTTTGCAAATGCAAATGCAAACATCAAAAATAATCCTGAAGCATTAAAAATTGATAAAAAATAAAGCTAGTGAACGAGGGGCTAACACACAGTGAAAGATGACCAAGAATTGGTCATGAGTAACAGCGGCAGTTCTTGAATCGCACGGAGCGCTCAATCTTCCGCTCAGATCTAGACAAAGTTCTAGCTTTCAACCTCGACATGAGAAGATCAGAGATTGTTCCGCAACCCGCCCTTTACGCTCTCCACAGAACCCCGGCCAGTTCACGGCAGGCGTCGCGGAGGGCACCCGCAGCCTGTTGAGCAACACGGTCTTCGCCTTCAGTAACGCCGCCACGCGCCTCAGCGGAGCCGCGCGCAAGGTGCGTCAGCTGCTCGCTCTAGTATTTGTGTTCCTTCGTGGCCTGGAAACGAGTGCTAACTTTATGTCCCCCTACATTTCAACTCCCTTGGGGTCAAAAGACGTGCGTCCTTTTTGCTCCGTTTTTCCTCTTCGTCTTGTCATGGAAGATCCCAAAACGTTGGCCGTTCTTGTGCTTCGTGTCTTGAGTTGCGTGCTGACGCTATAGTTCTTAGGGTCGGCTTTGTGAAGAGCATGTGGTTTACAAGGGGACGCCGGCAATCGGTCTGGCTTTTGTCATCTGCCTTCGTTTCTTGTCAGACGCCGAAAACCTGCCCCGCTCTTCTCTACCCATTGTCTTTCGTACCGATCACAGTTCTGACGTGCCATTTTGCAGGGCGTTCAAACGTGGGCGCTGGACCGGGAGTACATTGAGGAGATGGAACGGCGGCGGCGCGAGGAGAACGGCGGGGGCGTCTTGCGCGCCATTCTCGAGGTGGGCGTCAGACGCGTCCAAATCCCAGAAGAGTAGCAAACGTCTTCTGGGATTGCTCGACCAAGTAATTTCGGTGTCCCTCCTCTTACAACTCACGCATGCTGACGTCACCTGCTTACAGGGCTTGACCGGGGTGCTGGAGCAACCGGTGAGGGGCGCGGAGAGCAGCGGCTTGGCAGGGATGGTCACCGGTGGGTTTCTCCGGCTCGATATCACGTATATTTGAATTGTAAGACTTCCTCTCAAGCCTGTTGGCAGCATCACAGTAGTGCCGTGATTCTTTTAGCAATTTTAGGCCTGAAATCGTCGTTCACTTAGGAAGTTGGAAGAAACTTCCATCGGGTCACGTTTGAGTTGGATGGAGAATCCCAGATTCGCGTCTCCAAGTGTCGCTCGCAGCTCACCCCTCACTTGCGCCAGTTAGTCTATCATAACCTGTGGACCTGCTCAGATGTTCTTCAAATTATCCGTACCTTGCACGAGAGTGCTGAATTTGTCGCGTTTTTCCTTCCAGGCACCGCCAAAGGGCTGGTCGGTCTAGTCGCCAAGCCGACCGCCAGCATTCTCGAGCTCGCGAGCCGCACCGCGCAAAGTATCCGCAATGCGACCCGCCGCAGCCTCGCGCGCGCCATGCGCGTGCGCCCCCCCCGCCAAATCAGCGCGGACGCCCCGCTGACGAAGTATTTGCGGGAGGAGGCGGTGGGGCGGGCGGTGCTACTGGAAGCGGAGGGGGGGTGGTACGGAAACGAGGTGAGGGGGGGGGCGGGTGGTTTTGCACTGCGGCGTTCGTTGCCGAAGAGGGGGGGCCTTTTTGTGGTAAACCACAAGAGGAGTTTCATGGTTCTCGATGTTCGACGTGTAGATCCGAATGGTGAACACGCACGGCAGTCTTATACACGGGCAGATGTGCTCCACAGAAGACAACCATCTTCTCGTCCGAACGGCGATCGCCGAGGGACGTTAGTCCCTCGCACAAGGATGCTTTAGGTGGTGACGGAGAGGCCGCGACGCCATGTCAGCACAAGCCGAAACGCTGTGATAAGTGCGACTGAGATCGTCAAAGTTGACGTGAAGAAAGATGAACACCAACCTTCTCTTGGTGTTGGTTTTGCAGGTGTTCAGCCAATGCTTTCCCCTCGCAGAACCGGGCGAGTTCCTCGTTCTGTCCGAATCCCGAGTCCTTTCCGTCGAGAGCGCGAGCTACCGACCGGCGGCAAAAACATCGGACACTTGCCCCGGGCGCGAGTGGACTGTCCAGTGGGACATCGCCTTTACGGACGTCCTACACGTCCAGTCGCGGGGAAAGGCACTCCGGATACTCGCCATGTCGCCAACCCTGACGTCAAAGCCAGCAAAAACGCCCGTGCTGGGAACGCCACCAAAGTCGGCGGGCGCCGCACCATATGTGCATAGAGAGATCAGCTTCGAGGAGGAGGGCGCGGCGGAGTATCTGCGTAAGCATTTGTCAGAGCACGCGAATAGGAGCCACAGCGGTCATGGGCTAGGACAGGGAGCTTTGCTTCCGAAAGAAAGCGTCGAATGAAAACTCACGATAGAATTCTAGGCCGATAGAAGGTAATGTTGCTGCAAGTGATCTTAATCGAGCTGAGGCAAAAGGCCAGGTAGAAATACTCACGATGGGGTCACTCTAAGGTGATCTGTGTCTTGTATTTTTCTCTGTCCAAATAAACTCCGGCCTCGTGGCAGATACTTGGTAACCTTCGAGAATTTTACTTGATGCATGCAACTATAACAACCTGAAGTGGTGCATGCGTATAATTTCCGCGCATCATACGTCTCCTCTTTGGTAGGTTTTATATCTCGATACGTCCGACAATCATCCTCAGATTTGCTCCGTCAAGTTGATGGAGCACTGATTGAAAGACAACCTGGCAGATTGTGCACTGATGCCAATCCAAATGCATTCAGGTCGACAGGTGTCTATTGCATGGGTATAACATAGCTTCGATCGGCCATGCTGCTTTTGCCATCTTCTCTAGCTACATAGCTAGAGCTATTATGGGGTACCGTACGAGTATACTGTCGACGGTAGGCTCCATCAGACGGTACCGTAGATGTAGCATCATGCCATGCAGGCGACAAGCAAATGTTGCATCATGTGTGCCAACTTAGCATTACCATGCTAAGAAGGTTCAGTCCGACGCACGGGATCCTAGGATGCATGTCGGTTTACATAAATGTTGGCATGAGAGCCCAGATAGCCCATGCCAGGCCGCCCCCGCGTTCAAAAGAGAACACATCGCACATGATTGAAGCACGGCGGCCATCTTTAAGCTGCGCCTGGATGTGCAGGCTGTCCGTTCATACGCACTGCGGACTGCATGCGACAACTTACCAATGTGTAGAATCTGCTCGGAGAGCGTTTGGTGGCGCCCTGAACTTCCCATTCTGCTATAGCAGAGCGGCCGCCAAGCCTGAGTCAATCTTCCCGAGAACAATGACGGGTCACACCTTAGTTAGAATCTAAAGTACACTTACACAGCTTTGCTGCATAAAGCTCTTGCGCCCAACCCAACTGAGCAATCGCAATTGCAGAGAAAACCTAGGATAGCTGCCAATTCCTATGCTAACTCCTGACGCATACAAAACATATGCTTCCTTCCATGTGTGTTGTCCCTTTGTTCAAAAGTTGTTTACACAGGACCGGTAACACGTACTTCCCAGAACCATAAAGAGGCTTTGGTACGCATCACACAAAGCCTCAAATTCTTTGTTACCGCGTTGTTTGTGGCCGTTCATCTGGCGTTGCTATCTGATAGTTTGGGGCGGTAAGAGTGTCCACATCAGGAGGCAGACGCAAGCCTGGCCGAGGCTCGATCTCTGGTAGAGGAATGCTGTTTCGCTGCTTTGCGAGCTCGAGGAGAACCTAAGGACCAGAAAGCGCTCAGTCACCAACTTTGAAAGTTTATCAAGGAGCCCGCGCATCTGCCAGACGTTTCAAAGTGCTTAGGGGCAAACGAGTGCTGCCTACATAGAGGCTGGTTTTGCAAGACAAGGAACCAATCAAATGTTTGTCCTGGACAAATTAACAAAGAGCTAGGTCGATCCGTGAGGGTCAGTAAGCGTCAGATCAGCAAGACATGTGGGTAACTTGCTTGTGAGAGTCATCTGTTATTGCACCATCCGCAAATTTGAAATAACTTTCATCCTCCTGCTTATCGATCTACACAAATGCGGCGGACCTTCTCAGCCGTGTACATCAATACCTATAACAGAGACCAGCATAATTGTTCCCTGTACATCAGATACTTTAAGTAGAGACCAGAAGACAACAACACACTGCGCTTCGCACTTTATTCTCGGTGCCTCACCTCTCTCGGTGGGGGCTGCGTGAAGGAAAAGTTGACCCGAGACTGGATTGCGAGCTTCACATCATCAATGTCGATTGCCGGCTTGTTTGCATGCTCCGAGTAGGTTCGTGCGTCGCTGAGGGCGTCGGTGAAGTATCCTGCACATAGTTGCACCCAGATTTCTTACTACGGAAGTTACTGTGTAGGTATTGGGCACAGGTGACATTTTTGTTTAGGGGGAATGCACTTACAGTTGAAGGATACAATTGAGTTGAGCAATGCCGACAAGCTGGAACGCAACGCTGATCGTTGATGCCCAATTCGGACCACATGAGCGAACAAGATGCGGGGACAGGTTCCTTGAATGCTTATGTTTTCACACGTAAAACGAGTTGTTTACTGCTGAGATCCACGCGTTTGCCCACATGTTTCCAACTCTGTTCAACGTTCAAAGGCAAGGGCTGTCTGCTTAGAGTGCTCAATTCTCACATTTCTTGAAAAGCGAGATGGACTATTGACAATGCCACCTGAAATGCTGTCACTTAGAAAGATCCCTGAGAGAGTGAATGTCTGATTCCTCATAATCCTGAACCACCACAGCCTTGATTTCTTCGATTGATGAAGAATCACAGCAAAATGGGGCACCGGTCGTATGAGAGCCCCGCAATATAATCCCAGGAGTCCTAATCTCCTCACACAAAATGCAGTGAAGGCTTCCTTCGCGGGTAAAATGTTGACCGATGGAAAGGGTGTCCAAGAGGACGACCGCAAGGCACTACCCGCAGCTTACAACGTCCGTCACTTTTCACCGGGGCACGAACTGATGGACCAGACAAGAGCAGCTTTCAAGTCACACCACCAACACCTCTCTCCCTTCCAATGTTCCAAATGTCTATCATTCTAGCGGAACTACTGCCTGATCAAGGTTGGCAATCCGCTTACGATACATGAACTCCAGGAGCTGGTTCACAACTCGCGGCTCGTAGTTTTCCACCCCCATCGATCGCAGTATCTCGATGATGACCTTAGCATCCTGCGGAAGATCTCCAGCAGCCCCAGCGTCCGCCATTTCCGAGGGCGATGCTTCTCAAAATTGAGCTGCCGCCATTGGACCAGCTCCTCTGCGCTAGGAGTAGAAATTTGACAGCGTACAATATTAGCCATGCAGCAAAAGCACGCAAGCTGACAACTAGAACGACGTGCTAGCCATAGATGATAGAATTTGTCGTGTCACCGAACTCCTGGGTGACTATGCCGATTCTGCTCGGGCTAAAAAACAAAGTATTGAGTTAGGGCAACTCCCAGCCGCCGATGAGTCACAAGCAATAAGTTTGAACGGCGCTTCTTTCAGGGAGCTTTCGTACAATTGCTTCGCAGCGGCTACTGGTTGGTTTGAATTTGAAACTTATAGTCAGGTAAAACCCCTTGAATTAATTCAAGTGATTTTCAGCGCGCGCGGCCTGGCGTCGTGCCGTGCATTGAATCATTGAGACCGTCGATGACGGTGAACGTGCTGAACGTGCAGCAGATCGACGGTTGAAATTCTACCCCAACTTCCCTCGAAACTTTCAAACGTGCGGAAGCTTGTTCAACAAAACTTCTGCCAGCTCAGCGGTCATGGCTCCGGCCACGTTGAAGACGGTTGAACGTTCTCTCTGCCATTGCAGGCTTCCTTGGTGCAGCCCCAGCGCCATGGCTGCCGGCAGCCGGCAGCTGCAGTCTCTGCAGCAGCACTGGCAATCTGCTCGTGGAGTTTCTGTTGGGCCCTGACACTGACAGAAGGTGTCAGGAGTTTGGTTGTTGTGCTTCCCCTTCCTGACAATGTAGAGCACTTTATCCTTAGCTGAAGGCAAGTCCTAAAGCCAAAGGAAGATAATTGCTCTTCATTAGAAGCTTGGTAATGTACCAAGGTAGATGATTCTGGTAGGACTTAGGTTTCAATCAGCGTTTCATCTAGTCTAATCAGCATTGAACTGGTTTAGAGGTACAAGTGCAAGCTCCGGAGGGTGAGCGTTTGTCTGAAGGACCGAAGGAAAGGCATTGCAATGGCGGTCACAGAAAGCAGCAGTCCTCTGGCTGATCTGCATTCAGTCCATTTGCGAATTGCACGGACAATGGAACAGGTAAAATGCCCAACATTGCTGCCCTTGTTTTTGACAGCAGGTTAAGCACTCTTGAAGATCTTCATGCATCCCTTCTTCAATGGTAATACAAAGACTGGAAGACAAATTTTCCTTGAGGATACACTTTGTCCTCGAAACAAACGCAACTGTCTGCACAAACAACCGATTGTAAGAGTTTTACCCTCTGTCGTCAAGCAAGGGGAGCCCTTCGTACCTTCACTCTTTGGAGGTCCTGATCAATGCAGGGCTTGATGCCAAAAACAGCATGTTCACTAAGGCGAGGTAGGACTCGACAATTGATCAGGGGCAGTGCAACCCCGCATGCCCAACAGGCCTTGTTTTCTAGCAAGTTTGTCAGCGGCATTGAGAACATGAGGCAGAGGGTATGAGCTTTGTGCTTTGTGCTTGGTAAGTTCACCTTCTTCTCCTCAATGCCTTCGCAAGTTCAAGGGGTATCCTGCAATCTTGATGTTTGTTTTTGTGCTCATTTGCAGCTAGACGGTGCCTTTGTACGTGCTCACAAGCTGGGCATGGCTGGCCAGCTCTCCTTGGGCGAGCTGCGCGCTTTTGTCTTCTCAATGGAGCAAGTGGAGGCAGAAGTGCAGGTACGTTTTAACTCTCGGAAGCGTCCAATTCGTCCTAGTCATACTTCATTTCTGATCGCTGTTGTCCCAGAGTCCTCACCATTGGCAGTTGTCGCTTAGCAAGCGCTTGTGATTATGAAATACAGATCTCTTTCAATACCTACCATCAGGACAAGTCAATCTGTGACGGAGCATCACTTTACCATTAGCGCTCGACGCATGAACGAGCGTCGAACTCAGCCTTTCAACGTGCAGAACGTGGGCTGGACTCAGTCATAAGAACAGATTGTCAAAAGAGAAGTTGGCGCAATGGTACCATGAAAGACTTGTCTTGTGTTCTCGATTATGTGAACAAGGATCAAGCATTCAGAACCTTCTCACCTGTCAATTGTGAGCCCCCAAAGCCCCCGGTTTTTTAACTTTGCCATATTCGTGTTCCGAAATCCTGTGAAGTACTCCAACTGATTTTCTGCTTGCTGTCTGCCTGCAGAAATGGGCCCCTCTCTTCTCGGAGGCCGCTTTGCGCCCCCAAGGACCTTCCCTCAGTATGCATCTCCCAACCATCAACACAAGCGACCAGGCGCATACTCCCACGTCCCCACTTTCGCCCAATCCCAGCACGCCAGCTGGCTCCGCAGAGGGACCGTTTACCACCCCCCTGACAGGCCCTCTCCTCGTCCACGGCTTCCCTAGCGAAAACCTCGACTTCACCCCAGTCAGTGTGAACACCCCCAGAGCCTTTTCACACCACCCCACTCCTTTCCCTGAGCACCGGTCTGAGGACTCCGAAGAAGAGGCCATGGAAGACGAGGACGCTCCTGAAGGGGGCCCGGTCCCCGTCTCGGGGGGTGGTTTAGAGGGGGAAGCGTCCCCCATGCCGCCGACGCCGAGCATGCCCTCACCCCCCCGCTGCTGCTTTGTCCTCAAGAACCGGGACAGCAATGCAAGCAGCAGTAGCTTCACAATGACCCCGTCGAGCGCGTCTCCCCGAACCCCAGTCTCTTTCCAGAGAGGCCCTCTTTCGGCAATGGGACACAATCAGGTGGCTGAGAACCAGCGCGTGGGGCTGGCTTCACAAGGCCTCTTGAGCAAAGGGGAGGGAAAGAGGGGAGCGAGGGCTGGGGATGAGTTGGAAGACCAGGAGAATCAAGGCCCTGTTGGGGCGCTGGGCGACTTTGGGCTGGAGCGCCAGCCTGGTAAGGAAGGACTCCACAAGGCCCCTCTTGGAAAGGTTCCGAATAAAAGTGGAACTGGTTCGTTTCTGTTGCATCACGCTGGACCAGTCTAGGCACGAAGCTTGTCATTGAAAGCAGCTTGATGGACTGCAGTGTCGATAAAACTCCAGCTGCAAAGCCTTGAGTTCACCATCCGCTGGATCGTATCGCTTGATTACATCAGGTGACGTTAGCGAAACTCCCTCCGAGTCTGATCCTCAAAAGTTATGCCCTGGTGCAGCGCTCGTCGAACCAACACACAACTGGGCGCAGGCGAGCCTCCAGCGCGCTCGCAGCATGGGGGGGATGCACACAGGGCCTGCACCCAGCCCATTCCGCACCCCTGGTGAGCAATGTTCGCCAAATGAATTGCTAGATTGACTTGCACCCTGCTTTCGTTTCACACTTTGTTGCTTGCATTGCGATGCCAGTCGAGTCCATGTGTAAAGGGTTTGTGAACTGGAGGTAGTTAGGCTCAACCGAAAACGCGCGAAGCCCAGAGTCTGAGTTTGCTCGGCAGTATGGGAGAGTTCGGCCGTTCAATGCGACACACTTCTGCGATAAGTACGTTCTCGTACCTGTAATTCTCCGCGTATTCTTTGCTCTCACTCGGGACCAGTGCTTGCTTTGTGCGCATGATGATCAATACGTCCACCTTGGCATAAGATCGAAGAGGGCGTCTGGATACTGGTCTCCCCTCCGGTACTCTGGCAACTCTTATGTGACTTTAGAGGCGTGTGACTTCGAATAGGCGCCCGGGAGACGGGTGGGGTAGGTAAGGTGGTTAGGGTGGGTTGGGGTCTGGAGCGGGTACTTATTTTGGTTAGGTTTTTGAGATTACGTGCCCGGGTAAGTCGAATGTTAGGTCACACGCCCGTCAGGTCACACGAGAATTGCCAATATCCCTCCGGTCATGTATCTGGCAAACCTGTACACCCATTCTGAACACCTTTACACCCCTGTACTCGCCATTGTGCGGCCAGGTCCTACAGATTTGCAATCACCGATGAGGTCCCACCGACAAACGAGAATTACGAGGGGAAAAGGAAGATTGAAAAGGGGTTTACTGAAAGCTTTCAACCCTGCGACTACGGTGCGGCCTCCAAACGGACTCACTAAGTAACCCCAGCAGGCCGTTCGATCTATTCAAATCGGACGAAGATGAGTATTGTTTCTGATTTCGATCCTCCTCATTCCAGGTGTCACTCGCCTTATGCGGCTGTCGCCCGGCGGCCCTTCCCCCGTCTCCCCCGTCCAGAACCTCTCCTTCGACTCCCCGGCAACTTTCGCCACGTGGCAGAAGAAGACCCGCCCACGCGCCGGACAGGCCCCCAGAGACGTTTCGGACGGTTCCCCCAATCTCCGGACGCCCGAAATGGACAGCCCGCCCGCTACCACTGAGCTGCAGGCAATGGCGGGTCCGGACTTTGAGGCGACGTCACCCCCAATCAGAGGGCAAAGTTTCGGGCCCTCTGGAAAGGACCGGACGTTCTTGGACGACCGCGCGATGTCGGACGCCGAACGGCTCGGACGGGTGGAGCAGCTTCTGCGGGGGGGGGTCGAGGACTCGGACGGAGAGCCCGCGAACCCGTTCGACTTTCCGGAGCGATTTGCGCCTGTGGGCGATTTGGGGCTGACGGACCACAGCCCGGCAAAGGCTCCCGCGCGCCCCGGCGAGTGGGTCGGGCGCAAAACCGTCGACGTGGCAGAGGTGATGCGGGGCGATGACGTGGCAGCGTGCGATTGGAAGGACGGCGTGGCGGCCCTGCGGGACCTCCACGTGTCCAAGTCCGCGACGCTGCCACATGTCATTGATCCGTTGGAGGTCGACGTCAGGCCGGACTTTGAGCCGTTGGATGGGGCCGCTGCTCTGCTGTCGAAAAAGGGGTTTGAGACACGGGGTTCAGGGTTTCTGCGGGAGGAGGATTTCGGCCTAGAGGGATCCCCCGGCTGGATGGACGGCCGGGCGGCGCTCAAAGCGTATGGCTTGGATACGCCCGGGGGCCCCAAGGCCAATCCCTCCCGGTTAGGTGAATCGAGCGCCAAACTTGAAGCCCGTTCGCCCCTGAAAAGCTCACCGGTTGGCAGCCCCCGCGCAACGTGGCAGCAAACAAAGTCGAAGACGGTCGGAGAGTGGGTGAACACGAGCGCTGTCACCACCCCGGGGGGGGTAGGTTCGCCTGGGGAAGAGACCCCCGGGCGCTTGCTGCCGCCCTGGGGAGTCAGGACCAGCGACGGGAAGGCGCACCGGAGGAGTCGCAGCCATGACCTGGGCGGGAATGGCACCCCGAGGAGCGACCTCGGGTTCTACAGCCCCCGGGGTCCCAAGAAAGGGGAGTGGGCGCCAAGGAATGCTAAGGGTGAGAGGTTCGGCGAAGCATTTGCTCTTCAAATCTGGTGAATGTCTCCAGACTGTTCGTGGCTGAAGCTTAGCGAGCATTAGATACAAAAATTGCAGAATCTGCAGTTAGACATCAAGCTAGCATACTTCGCAACTGAACCGGACTTTGAAGTCTGGACAGGACAGTATCAGCTACGGGAACGGCTCCAGCACTTCATACCGGTGACGACGACACGCAATCTTAGCAGAGGCTCGAGAGATGCCCAAACCAGCCGAGTTTTCCAGTCTTAACCATCCAGTGGCATTTACTGAGTTCCGTTCGGCTCCAGATCCCGCACTCGACGAGGCTGACGTCATCAATGACGGCAAAGAGAACATCAACCCCAACGTGGGCGCCGCGGCCCCCGCTCCCTCCGGTCTGGACCTCTCCGCCTTTCCCCCGGTGTTTCGTACCGGGGAGGCTGCCCAACAACTGCTCACGGTACGCTTGACAGCCCCTGTATTCGTACAGTTGGAAAGCCTTTTAAATGTTTGGCTTCTTGCTTTTTGCTAGTAGTTGGGTTGTAACCAGCCCTCTAATACGTGGATAATTTCGACTTGCAAATCACTGTCAATCTCGGTCCGCAAGGTACTTGCATGGAATTGACGATCAGCCAATACAACAGCCCAACGAAGACCTATGCTACATTTGCAACCGGATACCGTGCAAAAGTATGGAACGACACCTTCGAGCTTGCCAACTGCGAGCTGTTGTAGAGCAAACTCGCACTGCTACAATTTATCGGCGCTGATGGAAGATCATTCCCGTTGCCAGGTGTTCCAGCAGTTCGCGCCTCCAGAAGCCCCTGAGGGCGGAACGCCGACAAGGAGAAACGGCTCCTTGGTAAGCATCGACCGAGCGTTACCGTCTTAGGCACAATCGCGAGCCACACTGCCTCGTACAGAGGCGGAAAGTCTCTCCACAGCTCGCTGCGCGCATGGTATTTATGCAAAGCTCTGCATATGATTCCAGAGCAGGCCTTTATTCGGCCCTCACGTATCTGGACTCTTGTTGCGTGATTCCTGGAGGGAGCTTTTTCGCCTGAACTTCGATTGGCTCCTCAATAGTGTTTGAATATTCTGCCACTGAATTAGTAATTTACTAGCTTAATAGGTTCAGGATTTGGGTTCTCTATCAGCACGCGCCCGTGGCAGTGGTTGATTAACCCTGACGTGACCCGTCGAAACTTGCCTGAAGTTCCAGGCCCCTCTGCTGCAAGAGATGACACTTCCTCTTGCATTCCGCAGTCTTTGTCGGAACTGGACGGTCTGCTTATGGGCTACGGAACTGAGCGCCTGTCCCTGCTGCTGGACTTGCTCGCCTCCCGGGGGGCCCTCCAGCCCTTCGTCGTGGGCCGCCAGATGCGCTGGGAAAGACCCCCCTGAAACGTCAGCCGTCGCTCTGAGGAAGGACCTTTTGTCTTGGGACCCGGAGACGGCATGGGCCTGCATCAGTCCGTTGAAAGTGGTTTATATAGCCCGAAGATGCTTGGAAAGCTCGGGGAGAACGAGTACATGTCGCAAAATGATCCATCATTAGCTGGTCGTGAAAGTCCGTCAGAGTCGGTCGTTGCACGGAGTACTACTCCGTTGTCCTAACCGTACAATAGCATCTGTGTACATTCATACGTGTATCCTGCAGACTACCTACTTATGTAGGAAAGGCGACTAACATCCGTTGACTCGTGGTGTGTACGTAGCTTCACAATACTTTCTTGAGTTCGTAAGTAATGATGCAGTTCTATGTGGTAGATCCGAAAGGAAGCAGCTAGGTTGAAAGTCTTCATTGCTAAACTTGAAGAAGATCTGAAACAGTCCCCTGATCCATGCATTCTGCATTCTTGCTGAAGCACCAAACCAAGGCAGACGTTTTCCGCTTGTCCACTAAGAAACCTATCAGCATGGGGCTCTAAGTTGCCAGATCCAGTGCTTAACAAACTTTGACAACGTTTCATTAATTGGTCAAGACACTCGGCCCGGGCTGTCATTGCCGCCCCGTCATGGCTTGATGCACGGTCAGTCATGCAAACCTTGTTGGAATGCCGAATTTATAAGCCGCTGCAAGGTATACCGTCAATAACAATAAGTAACATGCAAAACCGGAAAATTACGGATAATTGCGAATTACACATCCTGCAAAACGCTTTGATATGTGCATTTGCAAAAAGAACGAGAGGATTCGCGTTGAGGAGCTCGCTTTCCCTGAGCTCATCATGCTGGCATGAATGGCGTACGGTGTACGTCGATATCACAGATGAACTCTTTGAGATCTGTCAGCCGGTTTTGGGGTTCATTAGCGCGTTCATGATGCAGGCAGCATGCGTCCGTTGTAATTTCTACCGTCGCGCACAACTACAGCGATCGGTTTGCCTCATAATAAGTACGATTTTGGCAGAGTTAAGTCTTTGGTCTGGTCTCCTTAACATAAATATGAAGTACTATGCTGAACTGGATAAACGGATAACGGCGTCATGGCATGTGATCTTTTACAACGCCAAGTGCCATGTCGGGTCGCAGAACTCAAAGATAGACGATGATCTCTAGCAGCACATGCACTGGTCCGCTGAGCTTTTACGAAGGTTTGGCTCAGTGAGATCAGGCCAGCCTTGGTCGACGGGAGCTATGTCTCAACGAGAGCTGCGGAAGACGCGCTAAGGCGTCAGCTCGTAAGACCGAATCTTGAACCTCTTCTCGTTGGCTAACTTGTGAAGCCGCTTCCACTTACACCACAGCTCCTTGTCGTAGCGCAGCTCCTTGACGTCCCTCACAAACTCGATCGGACCGTGCACCTGCGCCTCGATCAGAAAGTTGATCCTCGGATCGGACGTCGGTGCGTACCAATTCCGCTCCACCAGGCAGCGGATCTCCTCGTCCGTGAAGCGCACCAGAACGTGCGCGAGGTGCTCGCAGGTAGCGACCGTTTGCGCGAGGTCCTCCGTGGACGGGCCGTAGGTGAAGGTGCAGCGCGCGCGGACTTGCGCTTTCAGCTCGAAGTAGCAGTCTCCGAAATCGCGCGCGGTTCCCCCGGGCATGTTGTACAGGTTCACCGAGCCGTATTTTGGGCGTTCTCCGGGGGCTGTCTCTCCGTCGTACTGGCCCGCAAAGAGCGTCCGTTCCTTCTCCTCTCGCTGCGCCGTGTTCGACGCTGTAACTTCCGTCTCGAACACGCTGCGACAGTGGCTGTCCGCGAGGAAAGCGTCCAGGACCGTCCGGTAAAAACAACACCCAGGTTCTATCGGCAGAAAGGGGTCGAAGTGGATGATGATAGGAGCCGCATCCCGCAGATACTTCAACACAGTTTGTAGCACGTCCTTGTCGTACCCGAGTCTTTGGAAGTTTTGCGCGAGTCGTGGGAGAGCGGCGTTGGATGCTTCCTTGGCGCGCGCGCGCGCCCCGCTCATCACCCTCGCCTGGGTGGGGGAAAGGCTGCTCTCGCCGTTTGGCTCAAGCTCGGGTCCCTTGGTTCCGTCCGACGGTTCGTTTCCGTCTGGCATCGTACCCCTCAAACAGCTGAGAAAGCAACCCATCTTACCAGCGAAAACGGAGCACCAGTATTATCCCCGTTCTAAGAGTTGCTCCCTGTGCGGAGTTGTTTGGCAGATTCGCGGCGTCTCAGGAGAGTGCCATGCCTGCGGAAGTGCCATACATGTGCGTTAGAATCTGCAGAACGGCAGAACGGTGCAACGGAACAGCGCTTGTTTTTTATGGTAGGCACAGTCTTGACACATATCTCCCGACAGCGAGACACGAGTCCGTCTGTCGGCCTGCCTCAAGCGTTACCGAGCTGGTGACCGTCGATTTTTCTAGGCCTATGGTTCTAACAGATCCCAGAAAGGCTCAAGGAGGAGGAGATTTTCTTCCTGGAAGCTGGTTTGGATACCACAAAAGAAGTCAAGCGCCGACCTCAATCCTCAGCTTCTTTGAAAGGGCCTCATCACAGAAACCAAAAGGATGCACATCGAAAGCTGATGGTCAAGATCTGCAATTGTCTAATCTTTGGAAGGTTATTGCTGCTCCCAACTGATCAGCTCACTCGTGCATAATTTGCTTTCGCACGATATGAACCGAACCACATAAGCCTTCAAAAGAAGCCGTGAAGTAACTGATGTTCCCTTTTGAGGCATGAATAATTGGCACAAGGACCAATCTTGCCATCTCGAGATATTACCTTCGCTATTTGGTCACAGGGCTCTTTTTAGTTGTAGAAAAGCTTGATCGACAATTCGTTTCAGAGGTTGTCATTCAGAAAGGGCTGGTTGTCCAACTCTTCGTACTGGTTGACACTGACAAGCCAAAGCACTTGAATCGACCGAAAGACGTTCGTCCCTGAGTTGTGAGAAATTCACAGGAAGTCAGATTCTTTGACGATGCTCACCGTGATTCTTTACTCTGATCTGCATATTCCTTACGTTACATGACACACCGGATTCTGTTCTGTTTTCGCTCCATAGTATCAGCCTTCTTGTCCCACCCGCCCAACTAGGGAGCAGAGATCAACACGCATCTCTTCGAGCTCTCCTCTGTGATACATGTGAACAAAAGCTTTGAATATCGTTGCTGCAAGTCACGTTCAAAAATCTACTTCCCCAGTCTGTAGATCCTCGTTGAAGGACGCCTTACTCGGAATTCTAGATCTTTCTGAGCAGCCTCTGTCTGGGGCGGCTGCACTAATCATGATTATACTCGAATATAAAGTCAGGGACAGGGTCGAGTGCCTCTACGTTGAGGAGCATCAAGCGTCGGCGGCCGCACACTGGCGCAGTGTAAGCCGTCGAAAAGCGGCCGCCCGCGATTGTTGCAGACGTCCGATCCGTGCGGAGCTGAGATTTCCGCCGTCCGATGAATCTCATCGACGGTCGAAGAGAATGGGTCCGGGGTTTCGGTATTGACTGCATCAAACTCTTTTCCTGGCGCGAGTTTAGGACTTTCGTGCTTTCCAAATTAAGATTAAGTCTGCAAGATTTTGTGCATTTCGATTGGATTTTGCAAAGAGGATTTGCGACAGGGGAAGTTCTTCCCAGTACTCCTCGCAAGCGAATCCGCTGTGAGCTATTCTGTTGCAGAAGAAGGCTGGCCTTCTTGTACGCCAACCTTTTCAGCTCTTTGCGGCAGGAACAAAGTAATCAAAGTTATAAAAAGATGCGCCTGCAGGTGTGCTTTCGCAGGCTCTATCGCCGGAGGTGAAAAGAGAAACAAGACTGAAGCCATGAGGTGATCAGCCCGGCTAGCAAGACAAAGCAACCATCGACAGCTTAAATCATCATCGATGAGCAGCTTTCAAGCAGAATCCAAATGAAAACTGCGAGCACTGATTGACCACTGTAGATAGAATTGCCAAAATAGTGATATTTCGAAATAGTAAGAGGCAGGGGAGCCTAAGGTCTTCGGAGATAGCGTAAAGAGAGTCTCAAAAAAAATTTGAGCTTGAACTCCTCAAGTTCAAAATGACGTCTGGCCCCTCTATTTCTAGCAGTGCTCTGCCGTCAGTGCTTGGCTTGCTGTTCCTGAGCCTCCTCTTGGGCGCATGCATTCCATCCAGTAGCGCGTTTTATCTTCCTGGATTGCACCCCACTGTGTTCCAACCTGAGGACATCATCCCCATGAAGACCAGTCGTGTTGCATCTACAAAGAGTCACATGGATTACGGTGAGCTTGGACCAAATGCTTGCTGGCATAGTGACAAAAAATCAGCTACTTTGCATGTAATCTTCTGTTCGCTTAACGCAGCAGGCAGGCTTTTTCCTTGATCTCGGTTTTCTAATCAAAGGATGTAATGTGCCTGGTTCTGTTAAGGTCTGTTCTTTAAAGATCTGGCAACCTGTTGTAGCTGACTGCTCTGCAGATCTTAAGAATGCTTGCAGAGCAAAGTGACCTTGGTATTGATAAATCACAAAATAAAAATGATATTTTTCCTGTCCTAAGCAAACCCTCGTTCGAAGAATCTCACCACCGCTTCATGTCTATTGTGCAGACTTGTACGATATGCCATTCTGTCAGCCTCCTAGCGCGGTCGAAAACCTGGCTGATCTCGCAGAATCGGCAATTGGTGAAAGCTACTATTCTGCACCATTCGAATCGAGAGCACTCAAAAATGAGAGTTGCAAGCTACTTTGTATTGCGCCAGAATTTGCGGACCAGGGAGAGCCTTCCCAGCTGTTTCTAAGTCTCGTCAAGCGAGGAGGATTCCTCGCTAGGCTAAGAGTTGACGGTAAGTATATCTTTCGTCTGAAGGCGTTTTTGACTAATGCCTCTGTGTTGGACTGGTGCCTGAGATGCATCAGTGGCTGTCTTGAAAAATACAGAGTCCATGATCTCTTGTAGAAGCAGATTTTATTCTCCCCTAGGCTTTCAAGATGAGCCGGGCCTTTGCTTCAAGAGCTGAATCGGTTGGTCCTGGTTGTGGCAGGTCTACCGGCACTTCACGTCACGCAGGTACCAAGTTCGTCGGCCTCCCCAGGCAATCCCGAATTGGCACAAGTGCTGAAAGGAGACGGGTACCCGATCGGTTTCCATGACGTGGACGATTTCTATGTCAACAATCACGTGAGTTGTTTGCTAGACCATGAAGCTGCCCGAGACACACTTCAGATGGTGTCTGTTAGTCACCTTATGCAGCCGCTACTGTAGGTTGCAACAATCTGCACTCTGGATCTGGTCTCTCAAAGTATGGTGGGACTTCAAGCATCTGTGCAAGTATTTAACACAGAAGTGGTTATGGTTGAAGGCCGTTGTGATTGACATGCCGACACTGCACCCTGTTAGAGTTAGAGGTCAAGCTTCAGAGCACCTTCCTCTGGCATGCAAAAGTGCCACAATCGAAATTCGTGCAAACCCCTCACGAAATTTCCCATATTTAAGGCATTCAATCCTCCGCAGATCACGTTCTACATCGACTACCACCCGATAGAACCAAAGACAGACGAAGAGCCAGTAAAAGCACGACTGGTCAGCATTTACATCACTCCAGCGAGTGTTCAGACAGCCGCTGGTGACATCCAGTCCTGTGAAGCTCCTCTGCCAGCTCAGAAGGCCGCTGGAAATGTGCTCTTCACATATAGCGTCTATTTCAGACCTTCGGCGATGGATTGGGCTTCAAGGTAAGTCCCAGAGATGAAGCCAAGTTAGACAAAAATCCTCGCGCGCATAAAGTCAGGGTTAAGCTGACTCTATTTAATTCCTGACCGACTTGCCTAGAGGACGCGGTACAGAAAGCAACTTGTGCATCTGAAATTTTTCTTTTGCAAGCATGCAACAGAAAATTTGGGGCTAAGATCTAGTCTGTAGGTTATCTATAAAGTGAACTAGGTTCATCAGTTCTTTCAAACAGCACTTTCTGAAAAGAGCATCTGGCCACACACAAATACAAATTGCAACCTTGTCATCCAGGTGGGACGCTCTTCTGGACATGCCAGAGGACGAAGCTGGCGACAGCCTCTTTTCTGTAGCCAAGGCCTCCGTCCTGTGCTTCTGCGTGACCGGGCTACTAGCTCTGGTCTTGCTCCGGACGCTTCGACGTGACCTGGCGGCTTTCAAGGAACATTACGCCTCTATAGACAAGGAGAAGGGCTACGTCGACTCATTGGCTGAGCAAGCAAACTGGAGCTCTCTTGCTTACGATGTTTTCCGACCTCCCAAAGCTGCGAAGATGCTTGCCGTAGTGGTGAGACCACCTAGCTTCGCTCAATCTGGTATGGCCTGGTTGTCAGAATTCGTGTAACTCTCATTGAACTGTTAAATGCGAACCTTATGATATGCAGACAAGCAACTTATCCTTTTTTTCTGCGGAGAGCCCGAAGCCGTGGCCGAAGTAATTGCTCATTTCCTGAATATGAATAAGCTGACTGTCAGAATCTATAGGCCCAGCGAAGAAGCGAGGTCATTTTCCCTGACGTGCATCTCTTCGCGACGAACTTGCCAATCCCTTTGATGCTCGGCCGACAAACAGGGTTTTGAGGTTCCAAAGGTTGAAAAGGTTGCACAACAGCTCAAAGCATCCTTTCTGGTCCTGCAGGTCGGCACAGGCGCTCAGCTCTTCTTCGTGGTCCTTACCCTGGTCTCGGCCGTCATCTTCGGCTTCTTCTCTCCAGTCAGGCGCGGCATGCTCATGAATGGCGCGTTCGTCGTCGTCGCTCTCTTTGGCGCGCTCGCGGGTCACTGCGCCGCGCGCACCTACAGGCTGTTCCACCGGCCCGGCGACTGGGAGACGGTCATCTTTAGAACTGCCACTGTGTTTCCGGGGCTCTTTTTTGCGGTGCGTTATTGCGTTCACATAAACTTGATTTCAAAAAACGCAAGCGCCTCACGTCTAGAACGCGACGTCTCTTGAATCAATTCAACCAACTCAAGAAAAGAACCGTAAGGTTTGTCAAACGCTGGGATGCCACTGTGTTCGACCTTCAGCCCCGTTCGAATCCCTCATTATTTACCATTTTGCTCTTCTGAGATGCTGCTCATTCGTACCCGCAGTCTCTCTTCGCGCTCAATCACGTCCTGGCGAGCCACGAGGCTTCCGGCGCCGTTCCGTCCTCCACGCTCAATGTCCTCTGCGCGCTGTGGTTCGCCCTTTCCGTTCCGCTCGTCTACCTGGGGGCGCAGTTTGGGTTCGGCTCCAGGATGGTCGAGTTCCCGGTCAAGGTCGCCGCAACGCCCCGGGAGCTCCCTCTCGCTTTCAGAGCCTGGTACCAGTACCCGGTGATTCAGATGATGGTTGGCGGGGCGATCGTGTTCGGAGTGGTTGCGACGCAGGCGTCCGCCCTGTTCACAAAGCTCTGGCTGCAGCAGTGAGTGCGCAGGCTATTTGCATAAATCGTCACATTCTGGTGTGTTGGATAGGGACGACAGCCAGCAACGATGATTTGCGAGATGTTCAATTCAAAGCTTGCTTCCTCATCCAAATGTTACTGGTTGTCAAGCGACAAGCCAAATAACATTGCTGGAGTTTTCTGCCTTCACTTCTGGTGTCAAATAATGGCAAGGTTGTCAAGGCGAGTAAAGTAACATGCGATTGCAAAAGCCTATGTTCTCTGCTTACGTCACGGGACTTAATGTATTATTGCAGGTACGTCTACATGTATGGCTTCCTTCTTGCAACTTTTGGACTCATGGCGATCGTCAGTGCGGAGATGTCCATCATTGCAGTGTATTTCCTCCTCGGAGCACAGGACTACCGCTGGTAAGTCTTTTTTGAGTAAAGTTTGTTTCGCTGTGAGGAATGAGCCCAGACTGCTCACTGGACGACTCGGGAGTAGGACTGGCTCGTCGCACCTGTGCAGAGTCCGGTGACTCAACGTCAAGACTTACTGTGTCAACACCAGGGTCGTCGAGGGAGCCTTTAGCCGTCCCCAGAGGTTCAGTCAGATTACAGGATTCTGATCTCTGAGAATCGACTACATCAGCTACTTACCCCGCAAATCACTGAGTTCTTGCAAGACCAATTGTTTTCCGCTCTCACCCCGTCTCAGGTGGTGGACTTCGTTCCTGGTCCCTGCCTTCTCCGGCGTCTACATCTTCATTGCGATCTGCGCGTGGCTCCTCCCCGCCGCTGCGGCGAGCTCGCCCCTCTCGGTTACTCTGCTCCTGTCATATGCGGGGATGTTCTCGTTGGTAAGCGTGGATTCCTGAAAGCCGCTTGGTATCCACGCTGAGTCCACGCGTTGCCTCCCTCTTCCTTACCAGTCTTCTGCAATCACTTGATGCTGTTTTGTACCTCTGTTTGAGAAAGTATAGGTACAGTTCTCGCATTCGGAGAGCCCAGTGACTCTGGCTATGGCATGAACAGTGATCTGGGAGCGAGGTTCGTGCCTGGTTATAATGGTCCTAATATATTCTTAGCCGTCCTCATCAATTGCCGACACCTTGCCACCATCACTATCAGTTTGCCTTGCAGGTGTGTGGCCTCGCGGCTGGTGCGATCGGATTCTACGCATCCTTTTCCTTCGTTTGGGCCATCTACTCTAGCGTAAAATCAGAGTAGGAGCTGCTGCTCTCTGTATGCCGCGGGGAACAATACTTGCAGTATAAGAAGGAGCGTGTACTGAGTACGTGTGCTTTGGACGTTCTTCCCAACTTTTGCAACCGTATGATGGTTTGGGTCGCAGCCATCGGATGAGCCGAGTAAGCCTGTCGCTGTTCGGTTGAAAGATAAATAGCAAACAGGTGCATCACATTCGCAAGCGACTGCGTGTGCGCAATCGATTGTCATGTTATAAGCCATAGGTTACCTCCGACGCCCTGTCTAATGCCAGAAAGAATGGCTTAATGCAAAGAGATCACCAAAGTGATCAGCTTAGAGCCTGGAGATTTATGCCGCACTGTCCATGCATGGCTACATCCTCGACTTCAAAGCCATGCGGACATATGATGAACTTCGCATGATGCTGTCTTGTGGTATGATTCATGCAATGAGCACGGAATGGTCGCCCAGATTTGATCTGTCGAGAGCACATGGTGCTTAATCTTAAACGCGCAGCGGCCCTGTATACAGCTGAGGGCGGAAAGTTTAGCAATGTATAGCCTCTAGCCTGCAGGCGCAAACGGCCCCCTATGCTGGCAACTAACCTGTCTTGCCAACTAAGTACTGTATAACTTAGCTTCACCTTGATTGTACACACTGTTCACGATCCATCCACTTTCCATCGGACGCTTTCTCGAACACTCTCTCGCGTCTAAACGCATGTCCCACCCAGCTTTCTACCACCACTTCGCCTTTCCACGCGACTTGAACGCGCGGCCCTCTCGGCTCTTTCAGACGCGGTTCGGACGATTCGCCCAGCTTTTGAGCGATATTCGGACGCCTCAGGACGCGCCGAGCCGCGTCCGCGCCTGGTGCAACCGCTGAACGTCCTCCTCGCTCTTGAGCGTGCCCTTTGGCAGAAAGTTCGCGAGCTTGGCCGCGTACTCTTCGAGCAGCCGCTGCCGCTCCGCCTCGATGATGTGCGCGCGCTCCTCCTCCGCGGCCGCCAGCCGGCGCTGTTCTTCCAGCTCGGCCTCGCGCTGCAGGGTTCAACAAGTTGGGTTAAGAATAGAATTAAGCAGGAACCTAGTGGCTGGGCTGAAGACAGGTTTAGGGGTCGGTTTGGAAGATGATCGGCGACTCGATCATGCGGGCGCTCTCCGCAGCGTTGTTCTTCCAGCTCGACCTCGCGCTGCGGGGCTCAACGAGCTGTGTCGAGAATCTGGTTAAGAAAAAACCAGTTCGTCGGACCAAGAATCAATATGGGGTCTGTTTGAAAGCATAAGCAGCGCTTCAATCAGATCTAAAGAATCAAAGCTCATCGCCTGGGGCCCCTCGCCTCCACCGAAGAACCCCTTCATTGATTGCGGCTGGAATTCCCTTTACCCGCCGGAACCTTCTCACCTCTCTTTCCTCCTCCGCTTTCTCTCCCGCCCTCATCCCCAAATCTAAGTTGCAGATTTGACGAAGCATCCCCAGCTTTGCGGGTTTCAGAAATGTGATTTCAGCTTCTAGGCTTCTTGGGTTCAAAGACATCCGAAATCTTCTCACCTGTTTCTGGTAGATCTCCTCTTTGACCCGCCACAGCCGCTCCACCTCCCGCTTATGTTCTTCCAGCTTCAGCCGCTTGCGCGCCGCGTTCATCTGCTCGATCCGGTCGTCTTCCGCGAACTTGGCCAGCATCCGCCGCCGGAACGCCTCCTCCTCGGCCGCCTCGCGCGCGCGCGCCTCCTCCTTGAGCCGCGCCTGCATTGCGTTTGCGGCCGCCATCTCCGCGCGCTGCCGCTCACGCTGTAAACAGGAAAAGGTTTCCGATCAGCGAAATATAAAGCGAGGATCAGGGGCAAACTCCGTGCGCTGTCCCTCACGTCAGGACAAGAGGAGCTTTTCGACTGGCGCGACGACAATTCAATCACGACTCGACCACGCTGCAAGATTCAAGCCGTCTCTAAATGGCGGCCAAGGCCGTCATTTTCTACCACTGCTGCTTGCGTTACAGGAAGTAACAGTGCTTCGAGCGAAAGGGAAATCCTTCATCAGCATACTTCACTGCAGTCGCACTTTCCGCGGGGCGCGTTTGCACCTGCCTTCTCCTCGTGCTGCCCCTTTCACTGGAAACGATATTAAGAGTCAAAATTCCGCTCCCTTCAAAGAACATAAGACTTTCCGCGCGCGCCTTTTCAAACACTGAACCGATCTGGAGACGGGCACCCCCGCGGGCTGCCGCATACGCTTCGAAAGACAAACATTCACTGACCTTTTCGGAGGCCGAAACCATTGACGCCCCTAAGCTCGAAAGAGACAGGAGGCGCAGAAGCAGCGAGTAAAAGCCGGCTTGTACGCCACAGAGCTGACTAGTCTTTCGAAAATGAAGCGTCTACTAGGAGCGCATTCTGTGTACTTTTATTGTGCAATGTGAAAATGATCGATCCAGCCTATCATAGCTAGATTCACCTTTTGGCGCAGCGCCTCCGCTTCCCGCAAGTACCGGTCCTCCGCCTCTTGGAAGTGCAGCTCGTTGATGAGCGCCTCCAGCTCCTCGCGCCGCGCCTCCTCCGCCTGCCGCTCCCTGGCCAGCTGCGCGTGCACCCTGCGGTGCAGCAAACCGGGTTGGGTTAACTCGTAACCTGGTAGAACGAGAAAGGCGAGTGCACCCTAAGGGGATGAGGTTGAGCGTTTCCAATCTGCAAAAGAAGGTGCTTCGTCAAGAACGCATGCACGCTGCGGTATAGCCGACGGAAATTGTGCAGCAGACCGAAATTAAGGCGAGAATTTATACACCTACGCCGAAAGCTGTTCAGAGAGTCGTGGGTTAAAGTTTCTGCACCCCCTGCGTTCTGCCCAACGGGCCCCGGCCGACTTGGGAACAAGTCTCTTGATGGGTCGTTGGGCGAAAGGATTGGGGCAATGCGCAAAAACACGCTCTCTCACCGTAGCAAGGTCCTTCCGTGGGCTCATCCCTTCTGCTTACTCAGCAACAGAACAGCACAACTTGAAAAGCAATTGCTACATTGCCAGGTTGCAAGAAAGTCAGATACTAGAAAACGCGAGCTCTCCGCACCTCCCTTGGTCGTCCGCCTTCTTCTTCTCCAGCTGCCGCCGTTCCTCCTCGCGCCGCTCCTTCTCCGCAGCGTACTCGGCGATCCGCTCCTCTTCCGCGCGGATCGCATCCTCCTGCCACCAGAACCGGAACGATTGAGTGCAGTTACGGAGTAGACGCGCCAAGTCCGACTCTAATGGATCACCCTGATCGATCATGAAGAGACCAGTTTCGTCAGTCCTTGGCAACTCTTTGATGTCAATACTTGAAACATCAATTGTTGGGTCTCTCTTTTCATTGCAACGTTGAATCTGCTTCCTACGGCGTCTATCAATCCTGCCAGAGCTGCATCGGACGTCATCTGTCGTCAGGTCCGCAGACACACGGGCTGTCGCTGACGTCAGCCTCACCTGGGCTTGCCGCAGGGCCTCCCGTTCTCGGAGGTACTGCTCGATGTACCGCTGCGTCGCCACTTGTGAGTGCCTGCAGCAAAAAAGCTTTTAATCAGCGCATGGTTAAAAAGTACGAAGAAGTGAGCATGAAACTGGGCTGAAACTCGCCTGAAAGAGCCTGACGAGAGAGGGCTTCCACTCGTACCTCGTCCCCGGGTTTTAAAAGCTGCGCACGTTGCTTTCGACGAAGCATCAAATCCATGAGGCGAGTCCGACTATGAAGCAGGGCCCATCCTCGGAAGAACTCTGCTTCTTCCTGATGAAAAGTTCTGTCATCTGAAAGGAAACCTGACATCGTTAGCTCAAGCACAGTCTTCATCTTGAGAGAAGAAAAGCCACAAACGTGAAAACGCTTCGATTGGCGCGGCGGCTCACTTGCGCCGCTCCCGCTCCTTCCGGTCCTCCTCGTCGATCTGCGCGACAATCGCATCCACGTGCGCGCGCTCTCGCGCGGCCTCAGCCGCGGCCGCCTCCTGCGCGGCCTGCCGCTCCGCCACCTGCGCTTCCAGCATCCGACGCGCCGTCACCTGCAAAGCGAAGGGGGTTTAAAGGGTTTTAGGACTTGGGGTTTCATGGTCTCCAAGGAGGGGCTTCAAAGTGGGCGTCCGAATTCAAAGCTCCGGAAACACGCACTCCGTGCATCTGAGTCTTTTTTAACGGACCAGGTTGCAATATTGGCGAATTTGGGCCCTCACCACCGTAGATGGCCTTGGGATGTCCATGCATGGCCTACGCCCACTTTGTGGGCTTCAACTGCTTTGAGGTCTTAAGAGTTTCACAGAACGGGTTTGCAGGTTAGTAGGTGTTTGAAGAGGTATTAGGGGTCTGAGGTTTGAGGGGTATGAATGACGGGACTTCAGTGTCAAGCTTTACCTACGGCAACAATCTCGCCGTCTGCGTTCTTTCGGACCCGTGATGATCATTCTTGTTTGCTAGACTCCTGAGCCAGAAAATTTCCATTCACCAAGCGGAAGGCGCCCCAAAGTGTCGTCCTTTCGCTCGACTTTCCTACAGTCTCGTTTTAACCCTTTTGACCAAAAGGTGCGAGGTCGCGCATCCTAGAGATTCTCGCTTCGTTGATGTCCGTTCTGGCACAGCCCTTGCTTACTTTCTATATCTTAAATCAGAGTCTTCGGAGTCCACGCTTCAATTGGCAAAAAAACTAAGAATAGGATACTCACCAACGGTTTGACCCGTCCCAAACCGTGCACACCCTTAACCTCGAGATAACCCTTCTGAACCTTCTCATTTCAACCCCACCCGTCTCAGCCAGAAACGTATAGAACATGGCCCTTGCAACAAATAGAGCTTCGTTTGACCACCTGGCGAATGGAACCGATAATCTTCTCGACTGATGTCTGAATCAGATCCGAGTCCCCAGGCGAAAGTTGCTGGAAAGTTGGAAAACCCTGTCAAAAACGCTGTGGACTTGGCACAAACAAAAGATGCCCGCGGATACGTAAAGCAATGCCGTGGCAACTCCTAGCCCTGCCAAATCCAGGAAAACTTTCAGAAAGTTGCCGCAAAACTCCTCTTGGTTCTACTTGCAGATTGGTTGAACGAAGCTGTTAAATGATCATTATCTGCCGTTATCCCGCCATACCTGGTTTGCCATCTTTCGCTGCTGGTCCTCTTGGTGCGCCCTCTCCGCCTTCCGCCGCTCCCCTTCTAGGATCGCGGCATATGCCGCGTGGTACGCAGCCTCCTGGGCCGCCGCTTCCTTCCGCTCCTCCAGCTGCACACGTAGGATGACGTCACTCGTCACGAGAAGTGACGACAAAGAATTGCGACAGACGACGTCTCCATCCCAACGGAGACAACTGGGGAGCCTGGCGGTGGATCCACCCAAGAATTCAATAAGAATGGAAGCCCGTTACGTTCGACTAACTTTGCAGGGGACCCTTACTCGAGAGTGCTCCGATGCCTCCCATGAGAAAACCCGCAGAGGTAGCAAGCGGCTTTGCAAACAGCGCAGCATTTCTTGGCAGCTCGCGCAGCTCCTTACGCTCGCCCCAAATCCACTAATTTCTGAATGTTGAACCGATTAATCCTATACCTCCTGAGATCGGATCAGCAGAAAGTTCAAAGCTCTTACCCTAGCTCATCTGCAGTGCGCGCTCGCAGTTCTGTGTTGCCGCATGCGGCTTCTCCCGCTCTTGGAGGGGATTTTACCTTCACCCGAAAACCTGAACCCTAGAATCCTACCCTGATGCAACCGGAAAGGCTGAAGCTTTAAATCCCTGAAGTTGCGAGCCCACCTGCAGTGCACGCTCGCGTATCTCGCGGGTCGTCGCTCCCGTTGTTTCCCATTCTTCACGATGTTTGGACAGCCAACCCACGAAATTCCGGAAATCAGAGACTTGAGTTCTAGACTTCAGGGCCCACCTGCAGTGCGCCGCGCGCAGCTTCTCCGCAGCCCCTCGCGCTGGCCGCAGTCCGTCAGAATCCTGACACTCTCCATCTCCTAAAACATGAAAAGGTCAAAGCTTCAGGATCCTAGCTCACCTGGAGTGCACGCTTCCAATCCAGCGTGGCTGCGCGCAGCTTCTCCTGCAGCTCCCGCAGCTCCTCGCTCTTGCCCTGAAGACCCTGTCCATCGAAAGTCAAGAGTCTGAAACGACACAAAATTCGAGGCTTACCTGAAGTGCACGCTCCCGATTCAGCGTGGCTGCGCGCAGCTTCTCCTGCAGCTCCCGCAGCTCCTCACTTTGCTCCAGCAGCCGCTGCCGGATCAGCAGCTCGCGCTCCTTCTCGCGCCGCTGCTCCTCCAGCGTGCGCGTGATGGCCTCCTCGTCCGCCGCAGCCTAGCAAGGTTGAGGCACAGGTTCGAAAGCGGTTAAAAACGGGTGAGGGGCAGCTTTTGCCCCAAGATTGGCAAGGGCTTGGGCGGGTTAAGCGTGGGGTTAGGCGTAGGTTTCTCGACGCTTAGAGGTGAGTTAACCGCGGTGTAATGAAAATGCACAAAATGTTTCCTTGCGGCTGCTGCTCCTCCAGCGCGCGTGATGGCCTCTTCGTCTGCAGCGGCCTAGCCAGAGACCAGTGAGGGTGATATGGAGAAGAAGAGGGTTTGGAAGAGGGTTTGGAAGAGAGGGTTTTGGCGAGAATGATCGGCTTGAGCCTTGAGAATAGAATGCGCACCAGTCCTCTTCTGAGCCGCTGCTCCCTCAAGCGAGCGCGTAGTCGCCTCCTCGTCCTCCGCAACCTGGCCAAGCTTGGCAATGACTAGGGCGGGTTAAGCAAGAAATAGGAGTTGGTTTCGTCGAGGAGCTTTTGCTGAAGGGCGCAGAAATGTAATGGCTTCTCTTCGCATGCCGCTGCTCGTCCAGAATGCTCCTCCAGAGTGCCATCGCCTCCATGCCTGCTGTAGCTCGGCCAAGCCAGGAACAATTGTGAGAGCGCATGAGCGGATGGGCGGAGGAAGCAAGGTCCTGAAGATTGCAATCTGCATGGCTTTCGGCACTGTCTAAGACATGAACACTGATTCCCAGACTTAGACTTGGAGTTCTGGTGGGAAAAGACGCTGCTGGCGATTAGGGCTGTGCTCATCACTCTTCTACTCGTCTGATTCCAGCTCACCTTAGCTGCCAACTCCCGAGCCCGAATCGCCGCCTCCATGGCTTCAATCTTCCTCGCCTCCACCGATCGCTCCCGTGCCTACATCACAAGCACCGTTGTCACGAGTGCTTCTTCCCATCTTATGGAGACAAAGGACTGATGGTCATTCTGCCGACAAGCAAGTGCCACCCGAGTATTCTTCACAAAATCGCACCAAAGACTCATGCCACTAATTACTACTCCGACCCCGATCTAATCAAGATCAAGTCGTCCCTCACGTTCAAACAGATTCCTGCTGTCCTGAGCCAACCCTGGTCCTTGGCTGATCGCCTCCCCTTTGAATCACCAAAGAGACACAATATGCTTCTAAAATAGAGAAGGCTCCCCCAAGGCTGGGCCATAATCGGTCATGATGCAAGGTACTCTCGAGTGGTTTGGTGCTAACCCCGCAAATCATCCTAGCAAATAGGTGGTTAGCGCTGACCCACCTCTCGGTCCCGCCGCACATCGTCCACTTTGCCCAGCCTCGTGTTGTTGCCCTTCTCGGCCTTGTCGGTCTTCAAATAACTGCAGTCAGATAAGAGAACTGACCTCAATATCAAAACCTACACGTCTTCTTACAAAAGCCTTCAACCCAACCTCTCATGACCAAACCTCGCATGCCAGAGCACGACTGGGCTCCTTTGTCCCAAAAACAAAAAGAAGAGGGGAAAACAAAGGAATCGGGAGGATCCATGGATAAGGAAGCCCAGCTCAGACTGCTGTAATCCAGCGGCTGAATGGAGGCCTCCCAAGGCTTCTACACTTCAAGCAAAAAGCCCTGTGTTGATGGCATGCAACCAAAGGAGCTTGGCTAAGACCAGCGGACGCTTGCCTGAGAATCTCCTCGTTCTTCCATTCTGCCTCCCGCCGCCTTTCCAAGTCCCGAGCTGCAAAAGCAACACCACACGGTTCACTACTGGGTGGGCACAAGAATCTTCGGTATTGGCGTGCCACTCCTTTGCCTAGCCCCCTCCTCCGGCTGTCTCTTGAGCTGACTCCGACAGCTTCCGCTTATGCTCTCCGCCTATGTGAGGAGTACCGCTGCCTATGAAGGGTTGCTTATGGGTATACCGCCTCTTCCCTTTGAGCACTGCAAACATAGGCTATGCCTTGCCTGTTCACTTCAAATGCTATCATAGCATGACGTCTCACCCCGTCTAACCAGATAGGAACAACCTTATTGAAAAGCAGGCTGCATCCTTGTCATTTGAGGGCAACTGTGACTTGTAAGAGTTCCAACGTAGCCAGAGGCACCCACAAAACACCTGCATCAAAAGCAAACTAAAGCGTTCCATCACCATCGCCCATAGATTGAGGCATTTTCGACCGCTTTAATCGAAAGCATTGCTCACCTCGCACGGCGCTGCTCCGGGAGGCCTGCATTGGACGAACAGGAATCAGCGTTTACTTTTCTTTTCTTCTCCCAATGTTTCTTTCAGCACCCGTACGCTCTATGGATGTTCCCCAGTCAGTTGCGATGCAGCATTGTGAACGGAACTCACAGCATTGCTGGCCTGCGGTCCATAAAAGTAGGACCTGTGTTCCAGCTCTCTGCGCCTCCAAACAAACACCCAAGGTGGGAAAACCTTTATTTTCAGCACTCCAACCCGCCTGTCAGGCTTTCCATTGATTGTAAACCGCCCACATTTGACGAGGCGGAACTTTGGGCGCTGGATTGGTGGTCAGACTCACCATGGCAAATCTGCAGCTCTTTGCTAGGCCCCTAAAGGACTTTCTCGCCTCGTCGTCCAATCAGTCCCTCTGCTGCAAGGTTGTCAAGTGCCCACATTAGGGTTGTTACTCAAAAAGCACTTCATTGGCTCTCTTAAATTCTTTATGATGCGAGACTCTTGTATAAAAGTCAGATTGTGCTGCACCAAATCAAGGTTTCCTTTGCAGCATTCTGTATGGACCTGAGATAGGGGCAGCTTCCAAGTCACCCACTGAAATGCTTACGACGTCCCAACCTTCCTGTAATGCTCAGCACTCTCAGCACTTTCAGCAATTCAGCATTGCCTTCTGAAAAGAACGCTGAAAAGAGAAGCAGGCCTTAGTGCTATCATTGAAGCCGCTCTCTCAGATGGCTTGAACGCCCTTGCAATTGAGGGTGCACTTTACCTGCACGAGCGTTCCCTTCAAATGAAGACATTAAGGTCCGCCCCTTTCATCAATGAGCCACGTCCGAGCGATTGAATGGATCAAACTCCTAACTCAAGCGCCATATCTGCCAATCCAACAGGTTTCTCCTGAGTTTTGACACAGCGACCCCCCGGGAGCAGGTTTTGAACCTGGCTGATCAAACGTTTTGCCTGATCCAGTGCAATGACCAATGCAAGCGTCTAGCGGCCCAGAATGGCAGCGCTCCCAGAGATCAGCCGACCCGTCTTTTTCTTTTTGCCACCTTTTTCCCGTAGCGCGCATGGAACCTTTGCCTGGAGGCTTGAGCAATTCAGCTGCTGAATTGAAATGCACTGCAGGATAAACAGTGTCTATGTTTTGTGTCTCCCGTCACGGTGAAAGTACAACTTTGCAAGTCGACGCACGGTACCGTACACAGGTGCACACCAGATGAGAAGCGCGCGCAAGTGTCATATCGACGGTTCAGAGCTCACCCATTCAAATCTGACGGAGCAGGATGATGGGAGAATCCCGGTACCAGGGCCAGGGTCACTTCTCGTCACTTCATGCATGGAGGCCATGGCTGCTTCAGCTGGCTCCTGTCCAGTCCAAGACTTTTATGGGCACAATATGGATCAGAGGCGCGCCTCTCAATGAAACTTCAAGAGCTTCCTCTGCCAGCCATACTTCAACCTGAAATCTAAAAAGTTGCCTCATGATGATCATCTATATATGCAGATCAGGAGCTCTTTCCATGCGCGAGCTATGAAAACATGGCTGGCAGCCACCTTCTCCCAGGGCATGTAATTTCGGTGGCATTGCTCATCATTTCCGCAGCATTGCAAGCTGCAGGAATAAATGCCGCGTGCCACTCCACTGCTGAGTGGAAGGCGTGCACAGTGTATCAGATCATGACGGACCGCTTCTCGACGGATGACGGCAGTGCTGGGAACAGCCCTTGCAGTGATGAGTCCACGGTGTCCTTGGGGTAAGTGCATTTCCCGAAATCAAAGAAAAGTGGAGGTATACTTTATGGTGCTGTTGGTGGTGTATATCGGTTCATGTGAATACAATCGCCAGAAAAGTGGACGTATAAGTTGATGGTGGTGGTGGTGTATGTATTGGTCTTATGCGTACCCAGCTCTGCTGAAGCAGCAGGAGATGACAAAATGAAAGGCCCCAACTGTTTCGGTGCCTTGCTGGTGAAAACGGATGGGGCTTATAGGAGAGGGGTGCTCAGAGTTCGACACCTTTTCTGAGAGTCTCTTTACCGCCCTCCACAGGGCTGAAAGTTGGACTTAAGGGGCACTCTGGTCTGAAAAATGTACTTGCAACTTGCATCCGAAGGTTGACTTGCGAACACTCCTGCGTCTGGACAAGTAGAAAGACGCTCCATCTCCACCTTTGATCCTCAGTGTGTGTCCCTGATTTGACTGGATGTTTTGCTTTGCATTGATGAGTCACAAGACCAAATGCTTGGCATCGAGGCAAACAGCCATGGGGCAGTCGGCCATACTTTTCAATCCTTTCAGAGCGTCTGAAGCAGGTTTGGCAGAACATTCACGTAAAGCGACGGCGCAGCACGCCAATGCTTCCCTGGAAAAAGGGCCGAATTACCCAAAAGCATACAAACTCCATTTGCCTGGTCATCCCCATCAGAAAGCACGCAACTCTCCTTTCTTATTCACCTGTGGTCATCCACAGACAAGGTAGCTTTTTTTGTCCTACAATGTCATTCTAGAAACGTCATGGCTTACTAGTATCCTTCTTTCACATCACCTGGCCTCGACCATCTAAACACCCCTCCCTAGTCCTATCACAACGTGTCAAGTCGTCATCATTATGTTTGAGGCGGACAAAGAAAGCTTTCCTCCTCTTGATTCACCACACTTTTCCTTTGCCAGGTACTGTGGCGGCACGTTCAGAGGAATCCAGAACAAGCTGGGTTACATTGCGGGGATGGGCTTTGACGCAATCTGGCTGTCGCCGGTGTTTACAACTGTGAGGGACGGATACCATGGATATTGGCCGCGCAACATCTACCAGGTCAACCCCCGGCACAGCTCGTGCGGGACTGTTGAGGCGGCGACGCGGGAGCTCAAGTAAGTGTAAGAACCAGATGGCTTTGGAAAGAAACTCAAGTGTTGAGGCGGCAGTGCGGGAGCTCAAGTGAGCCTGGGAAGCTAACTTCTGTAGGAGGAAGCGGGAGTTTCGAGGGGCCAACGCGGGAGCTTAAGTGAGTCTACAAAGGTAGATTCCTTAAGATACTGGAAGCCAGGAAAATGGAAAGACAAGGAAAGCATTGTGACGGCAGAGGAGGAGGGGCCGAAACAGGACAGAAAAGAAGAGCTGGGTAGTCAAGAGTTAGAGAAGATGAGATGCGGGCACCCAAGGGAAGTTTGTTTCACTTCCTTCGGAGGTTAAGCACTGGCGCCAAATGGCGGTTCATACACTTGCTGCCACGAACCTCGTTACAGTCCACTCGGAGGTCGAGCATCCAGGTGAATGAAGATAGATTGAGTCGCTGTTGTGTAAAGAAAGGGCCCTGTATCGCTTACCAACGCTGTCCGGATATTGTGTCCTGCCAGGTCGCTGGTGCGAGCCGCCCACGAACGAGGCCTTCTAGTAATGCTGGACATCGTGCCGAACCACATGGGGGGCGACTCGATTTCGGCCGACCCGCCAGACTACGCGCACTTTTCGCCGTTCAACAAGTCGGAGTATTTTCACGCATGCCGGGGCGGGGAGCTTTGTAATGGAGACTGCACCATCAAGGGGGGGGGCTAGATCAGAAACTGCAAAGAGGTAAGTGTAAAGTGACCCATACAGAGAAAGAGAGGAGAGCTCAGAAAAGACACTGCGAAAACGAAGGATGCTGTAAAAACGATTGATGCACGGGGAAGTGCAGTAAAGTGTCCAGAAAAGAAAGAGAATGAGACTGAAGCAAAGAAGGAATGAGAAAGAGGAGGGTAGACAGAAAGGCAATAGAGCTTAGGACGAGCCGTCAAGAAAGCGGAAGGACAGAATAAACGAAGACGTAAAACGGACGGAAAAGAGCAAGACAAAGAGAAAGCAGAAAAAGGACGAGCCGAGTGAAAGCAAAAGGACAAAAACGAAGACAGGAAATTGAGAAAAAAGAAGGAAGACAAAATGGAGAGAAGTTAAGGAAGTATTTTAACGATCTGCAGGTGGGGCGGCGGGGCGTGGAGCAGTGCCGGGAGACGCACGGCCTTATCGACCTGAACGACTCGCACCCGTACGTGCGGGAGACATTCACCCACTGGATAAAGTGGGTGAGCAAGCAGACTCGCTCAGCAAAACGTGCACTTTCTTGAGCAGACACCACGTGTATCGAAATCAATGGGGTTCGGGTCGATGCGGCCGGCTTCGGTTTTGGGTGCCTAAACGGCGCTTCAGGATTTCGGAACCGGGTTGGAGAACTGCCCCGTGCCGTCCTCCATTGTTCATGCTATCCGAGGCAACGAGTGACATCCGCCTTCAATCCACCGACCTTTTTGCAGTCAGCTGGAGGAGGAACTTACAGACGAGGATGCGCCACTTTCATCATCTGTCGTCTCCTTCTTTCTTCTCATCTGCTTTGGCTGCCCCCCGGTTCTTGCTTCTCTCCGTCTTCACCTTTTCGTTGCTCACGGTTTAAACACAAGAATTCACTAAGTCGCCCTGACAGGAACGAAAGCAACACCCAGAAAGGAGCTAAACACACATCCTTATCAAAGCCTCCGGTCTTTCAGGTTGAGAACGACTTCGACTTCGACGGCTGGCGCGCCGACTCGGCCAAGCATATGCCCGTCAGCTTTTGGAAAGCGCTCAAGGTGAGAAACGCCGACCGCTGAGAGAGCCGCAGACTAGGGTGCTTGAAAGCTTCTTTCGAGTATTGAAGGGCGTGAGGAAACTACCAGGGCCGCCTGCTTGGTAGAAAGACAACGATTTGGAAAGTCGCGTCAGGTCTGATATGTGTAAGAGAAGCTTGAAAGCAATTTCTGCCTTACCGTGAGAAAGTCAGGTTGCTAAGAACTTACTCTGAACTTTCGGAGTAGCTTCTGACCCAAACATTTGTTCTGGCCAATGACGGCTTAAATCACTTCAGCACAAATAGGCGCCTATTTGTGTCGAAACATTGTGATTGGGGCAACAAAGAAAACCTTCAGTTTCAGAAACAACAAGGATGAGCAGATACGACTAGAACCAGGAAATACGCCAACATAGGCAAAACCACTTCGACAACCATCCTCTGTATACAGAAAGAAGCATCATCTTAACCTCTTTCTTTAAATCAAGTCACTTTATATCTTTCAACCCCTTTTTCTAGGCAGCGTCAGAGTGCTACACGGTCGGCGAGGTCTACAGCGGGGACTCGTGCTTCGTGGGCACTTACCAAAAGGGGGGGGCCATGGACGGGCTACTTTCATACCCCTCTACTACACGCTGAGTAACGTCTTCGCGTTCCGGGACTGCCCCGACTGCCCCATGTCCCGACTGGGGGAGCGCTTTTGGCAATATAAGACGGCGTTTGCTGACGGGGACGCGCTCGGGACGTTTCTCGACAACCACGTGAGCGATTCAAGCGATCTGATGTCGGCCTGTCTCCCTCTCGCTTCCCCACCCTTCCCGTTTTCCTTTCCGCTCTTCTTGTGAGTCGCTTTCATTGCATTCCTTCTCTTTCTTGTCACAACCTGTCACTTCTTCACTTCTTCGGCGCACTTCGCTATTATCTGCTACGTCATGCAGACGGGCGAGAACTCGTTCGAGGTTTCCAGCCGCGCCAATGGGTTTGATGAAGTTGACGTCAACAAGCGCTCACGGGTTGCGCCTCAAACGAGATAACCCAAGCAGCTAAGAAGCAAAGCGCATCGCCTGAACACGTGGCTCTGAACGCCATTCCCCCCACGTGGGGTTGCAACAGCTTCTGCAATACTCGGTAACCGCTCTCCATGATGCGGCCGCTTCTGACGTGACTTTTCCTGATGACGTGGCCGGTCTTGCAGGACCAGGACCGGTTCTTCCAGTACGTACCGGGCGGCGACTTGCAGCTCGCGAAAAGCGCGCTCACGTATTTGCTGCTCAGTCAAGGCATCCCCATCGGTACGTTGCTTCCCCTTCACACCAGTCTCTCCCTCTTCTGGTTCTTCTTTGTTCTTTGTTCATCCTCCTTTTGTCATTTTTTTGAATATTCTTTACCTCAATTTCATTTCCGGCTTGGACTGGATCTATTGATTGTTCTCGTTTGCTTTCTACACCTTTCTTCGTACTTTTAGGTCGCCGCTTTTCCAACGGTTGAAGCGCTCGGCGAGCGTGCCCCGGGCCAGGGGGCGCGGGTGTGGAGAACAGGATCCGAAAGTCCTTACTCGACGTTTCCTGAAATTAGGATTGCAGGGCCACGTGTACCATCTCCGCCGGGCGCAACCTACTTAATCTGAGCCCTGAGCTTTATACCGGACGGCTTCGATCGACCATGTGACTTACCGGGCACTCCGGACAATCGGCAAACGCGCAGACTGGCAAGCTAGGGGATACGAAGTTCAGCCCCCTACGCTAGCCTCCGGAGTTTCGAAATTTCCCGAAATCGGGAACCTGAGCTGATTTTCTCTATCCTTTTCTCCATACCCGCCCTTCGGCCAGGCCGGGGCGCCGCGAGGACCCCCCCTTTCGATATTATTTTCTGATTTTTTGGTTTTTCAATCCTCTTCGGTCCCCACCTTGCTCGGACCCTGAGGCTTAGCGTCTTTCCTTCTCGACGTCCGCTGGTTGTTTGCTACGTCTCAATAATTCGCCAGCACACTTCATCATATTGGCACATTTAAACACTTCCGCTGTTCTGCTGCGCAATTTACTACGGAACGGAGCAGGCCCTGACCGGAACGAACGACCAGAGCAGGTGAGGCGCATACCTGCCGAGCCCAACTCCCCAACTCCTCCGTTTCCTTCCGGCTGGTTCGGTTCGCCTCTAATTTGCATCTTCTCTTCCTGACACGACTCGGCCTCGTCTGGTTTTGTCCCGGGAGATATTGTGCAGCTTTGCGTCTTCAGAAGCAAGGGTTTCCTTTTGCATTGCTTCTAGGCTTACCGTGGTACTGCGGTGCTCGCTTTCAGACCAGCAAAGGACGCTGCTATCAATCCCCTTGCCATCCCAATTTTGCTTTTGCCTTCAGTCTGTATTCGCTTCTCGCGCGCCAGCAGGCTTGCATACAACAGACTTGCCAACTCGAGGCGACTTTGCAAGTTCGTCAAAAGCCAAACGCGAATCTTTAAAACAGGATCGGTGCGCAAGTGCTCGTTTCGCTCCTTTTCGCTTCGGTTCCGCTACTCATTCGGAGCCGGAAGCCTTCTTGGGTGAACGAAGAATTTGATGTCGGTCTGAGACATTGCGACTTTGCTGCAAACGGCGTGCACTCTTGTAGTCCGTTTCCTTCGAGTATTTGCTGAGTTCCGCTCTGCTCCATGCAGGAACCGGAAACCTCTCTGGTGGATAGGGTTCGACACTTCGGCGCCGCTCTACAAGTTCATCGCCTTTGTGAACAAGATTCGAGGGACGTACCGCGTGTGGCGCTATCCGCAAAAGGAGGGCTGGAGCGTGAGGAAACGCGGACGCTCTTTTGCTCTTCGTCTTTCTTCCCTGTTTTTGGCCCTCCAATCCTCTTGGCTGGTTGACACGAGCAGCCGTCAAGCCCCGCAATGCTGACCCCACTTCTCTGCGCGTTATCAGACGCCGGTCGCCATGGCCGCTTGCACAACAATGCATATCCGTAGTATCTCCACTCTTTCTCGCCCTTCCAACTTTTGGCGTCTTCTTCCCTGTTATGTTCGTTCGTTTCCTTTTCTTTCTTCTTGTACGTTCCCTCAACATTTTGGACGTTTCTTCCCTGTTTGTTTCCCAGCATTCTTCATTCAATCTTCGAACGTCTCCCCTGGATAATACCACCGCTTTCGCCTCCGGGTAATTCCCAGACCCGCTAAGAAAGTAAAGGCGTTTCCCCTCAAGTCTCGTTCTCCCTCTTGGCAGGGCGACGATCTGTACGTCTTCACGCGCGGCCCCGTCCTGGTCGCGCTGACGAACCGCCGCGCGCCAAACCCCCAAACCCTGCCAGGGACGTCGCACAACTTCCGCCCGGGGGAGCGCGTGTGCAACTTGTTCTTTCCGTCCGCTGACTGCGAAACCGTCGGCGCGGACGGAACGCTGAGGATCGTACTGCTGAACGGAGAGCAAAAGATCTTTGTGCCCAAAAGGACGCTTCGGACAGTGGGGTTAGACGAGCGAGTTTCGGACGGTTAGTTAATGACTTGCCTAGTTACCGGTAAGGCGCCCGGTGCTCGCGCGTAATGTCAAGTACAGAAGTGGTTCGTCGCATAGCTTGAGCAAATCACTCATGTCGCCAGGATTCTGTCGAAAAAAGGCGCTAGAAGTTGCTCATTTTCGGTGCGACTCTCAAGTAAGAGAGCGCGAAAACGGCTGTCCTTACGGATTAGCGTACACCGCTCTTGGCCAGTTGCCAAAGTGGTAGATGCGCTCGTACGTCTCGGCCTGTGCATACGACTCCTGAATCCAAATTACAACGTACGTACGTCTCGCGATGTGTCTTGGATAGCAGCTTGACCGGACGTGATCAAACGTTTGATACGGATGCCTTTCCACCAAACTCAAAGCAGGCGCGATCTGTTATACGCAATCCAGAATACGAAAAAAATCCTGATGGTTGCATGCAATCGCCGAACATTGGGCACTGAGCAACAATAAATCCGCGCTATTAATCGACGTACGTATCCACTTCCCTCAACTAGATTCTGGATCGCAACTTAAATGTCAATCTCGTGACTTTCACGTGCCTGATCGACTATATAGAATAGACTTCGAATATAGTTGCAGGCTCAAGTAAGAGATGTACGTGGTCTACTCGTAATTGGCCGCATAATCTGATGTTGAACCTCTCCTGAGGCGCGAGCTCTGGGATAGTGTCCTTCAATCCGATCCCATGTGACCTGTTTCATCGCGGTGTGACAACTGCCAAGCCCGCGCGATTAACATGTGCTAGCTGTACGTCTTCAAGTCCTACTCTTAGGCTTGCTCTGAGCTGCCCCACTTTTTCAACCTCGCAACTGAGATCTTATGTAGCTTGCCCTCCTCCTCGTACAACAAAGCGTCCCATCTGTTCAAATCCGCAAGCCTTGCCGCCGTGGCTTCTGATAAATTATGCGAACGCACCACCAGCCCCGTGCTAGCGTCATCCAACGTGGTCGGGTTGATTACGGTGTCCTCGAGAGGACCCACTATTTCTTTCATGTTAAACAAGCGAGAGACAACGGGGGCCAAGGGCTTGACGTCCGACATGTTTTCGGCTACGAACACCAGCGCGAAGCTGCGCAGGTTGCGCAGCGCGCACTCGTAGTGCTCGCGCGTCACTTCGGCGAGCAGCGCGCGCGGCGTGTCTCCTTCGACTAAACGCTCCTCAGCAGAGGCGCCGTCTTCCAGTTGGACACCTGTAATACATGACGGTCATTTCGGGAATGATCACAGCCAAACGATTATGGCCAAAAACCAAGCTCTCAAGTAAGAAGATCCCGACTGACCTCTGAAAGCTAACCCAAACATTTGCCTGCTCCGCCCCCGTAGCCATCCTGATCCCCCAAAGTAACCCTCAGACTAACGATCTTTTCAATTCCTGCCGCTTTCCATTCCTGATTAAGACCCTCACCTGTTTCACGGTTGCATAAGACCCGTGTCATGTGGTTGCTTGTCTGAAAACCGCCGAATCGGAAATCGTCATCCCAGACGAATTCGTCGAACGTCGCGTTGCCAGCTGGCGGAACGACCGGCGAAAGCTTCCCCGTCTGGATGTTCCAGTTCCACCAGCTGACGACACGGGACACCGGGTGCCGGAGCGTGGTGACGTAAGCGAAGGTGCCCCGGTGGCCGATCGAGTGGAGGCCGTACGAGAAGTGGCCGCTGACGAGACGCGCGCGCTGGAAAGTGCGCTGGATGCGGGCGCGTATCGGCGCTGTGAAGCTGTGGTATTTCGCCACGTAGCTATAGGAGAAGATCCATGATATGCAATCCATGTTTTGCCAGGCTGGGCTGCAGGGGTCAAAAGAGATATTGTTTTGGAACTCAAGATGCCAGAAGCTATATTATTCTTCCTCTGCTTTGAAGAGAAGGAAAGAGAAGCTCTGACCTTTGCATTCGACACTTTTTGCTTGGAACAGCCTGTCGTAGTTGATTCCTAAGGACATGACGGAGTCGCTTATTTGGGTTGCGGTTGTTAGTTGTTCCCTGCAGAAAAGGTCTGGATGAAATTTGAAGCATTGCTTGGATCGAAGATACAGATCGTCTGGTCAAGCTGTTCATCACAAGGCACGTAAACCTTCGTCAAAAGCTTACTCGTCCCAAGCCGCCATCCCTTGGCAGTTTTCCGGATCGTACTCTGCATAATGCAGCAGATTGAAGAGCCGATTGCAAGTTTCTCCTTCCAGTCCCTCGAGCGCGCGCATGTTCGGCTCGCACTCCGTCATGCTGACATCAGTCGAGAACATGACGTCAAGAGTGCTGCTGGCCGCTTTCTGGATCCTCAAGAGGAACACCGTCGCACGGCCCGCGAGGAATTCCTCGTGTAGGGGCTCCAGAGGAAGCAGTTCGATCCTGTATACAAGAAAGGTTTTGGCCTTTAACCATGGATGGTTATGAGCTGGTTACGGGCTCGTTAGAAATAGTTCTATGTCCAAGCACCAGACTTGGGCGGTAACCAGCCACAATGTTGAAGCCCGGTTAATTGTCCAATAAGCTGAGAGTCAATTCTTGTAACCAGCCAGGGTAGCAGCCAAACTCTTGTCTTCAAGAACACGGAATACTTTGCTCCAAAACGGGGACTCCTCCTCATGGGGCGGGACCCCTGGATGCATTCAAAAGTTGCATCAGAGGTGTAATCAAAAGCACGGATCTTCGACATCAGCGTTTGGTAATGAGTTAATTATGGTTTGGTTGAATAACCCCACATCAACAGAGAGTTATGCTTCCAAACGTCCATTCGAATATTCAATCGACAGCCGAGTCGATTGGATCCTGATCATATGTTTGGTTTTAGTATTGATCAACTCAGTTCCAAACCGCTGATGCAGAAGAACAATATCATTATCACTATAAATCAAAGCCCGGTTTAAGATCGTTCGCTGAGGCCGTTTTGATCTCAGAGATCCAGCTTTTAAGATCAAAAAGGTCTGACACAACTTTTAAGACCAAAATACCCTGAAAATCTGAATAGGTTCAAAATCGAAGTGGCCTCACAACGAGCTTAAACCGGGCTATCATTTATAGTGAATGCCTGAAGCTTAAAACCCAAGGAACTTACTCTTCATCCGCCACATCTCTTTCTTCCGTGTCAGCGCTTTTTCCGTCATAATCCCATCCATGTATCTGGATATCATCCTCTTCCGTTGCGCTTATCATATTCGGGGCAGTATCGTTCTGAATTTGGAGTCCGACGACTGAGTGCTCCAGGGTGCCACTAATCTTGCTCCAGGTCACCCTAGTATAGAGCGCCCCATGAAAAAGGAAAGTGTAAGCCGCCAAAAACGACCAGAACAAAACGATTGTGACAAGACACTTCCGGTTTTTGAATGCTGCCAGTGCGAAGCCTGTGCGGGGGTTCGGGGGATCCATTCTAAAGAGAGTGAGAAAAGAGCCTTCCAGGAACAGTCCTCTCTATCTTCTCAGACCATTGTCGTCCGTTGGGTCTCTTTTCTATCTCGATAAACCTGTCTGCTCTTTCTCAGAAGGAGGGGATCCACCCTTTAAAGTCGGGTGGAGCTAGGCTGGCGGCTGCTACAGCCGTTTTTTGAAGTCCACAGGCTTGCTTTAGATCCTGCGGGTCACGTCAAGCGGCCAAAGATACCAAGAGAAGAAAGTGCAAACCGCGGAGAACTCAAGGAGACAAGACCATGTGGGCAGTTTGCTGGATATCACCTCTACAAAATTGCACATGGGTCAGCGTAGGGAAACAGATGTGGCTGCTCAATTTGCGTGAGAACCTCGGCCTTAACGAAGAGACCTGGTCTTGTTGTGCGACATGAAATCCCACAGCCTGAGACTTGCCAACTCATGCTTGGTTTTCTGGGTGATCAATTTGCAGCCCTCAAAGGATGATGTGACGCGACCCAGCCGAAGAACGTTGATGTGACAGGAGCGGGCCAGGATTCACAACTCTGACTATTCGGTGTGGTTGTCATATTATGGTTGGCTAGCGAGAAGCTTAGAAACGCAGCGGGTCGATCGCTCGGCCGGTGCGATTTGACGTACATGTGGACCGATCATCGATGCCATGATCCGGCTAGGCGTTTGTTTTCACCTAGGTAAGAGGATAAGAGTATACGTCTGCGCGCAGGCACAGATGCATTTGTTTACGTGCCATAAGTACTTTTCGTGACTAGTAAACCCCAATAAAAAGGTCAGGTAAACGAGTCCTTGTTCTGCTTCGCTCAACTTCAGAGCTTGTTTCGGAGCCTCGGTCTTAAGTAAGCCAGTTCTGTTTCCATGCACTTGCGCCTCTACCAGAAACCGGTTCCGGCGTGCGCTTTCCGTTCCATCAGGCAGCGGAACCCCTCGTCCGTGAAGCGCACCGAGACTTGCGCAAAGTGCGCGCAAGTCGTGACTGTTTGCGCGAGGTTGTTCGAGGATGCTAGCAGGCGCAGGCCGGGCTCAGTGGTCAAAGTGATATGCGGCCGCGGCCGCCGGCGAGTCACGGACGGTCAGGGGTGCGGCGGGGCTCCGCGGCCGCCCGCGCTCAGTGGAGGACCACTTGCCACGAACAAGAACAACGGAATCATGTACCTAAAGAGCAAGGAGGACTACGAAAGGCGTGCTAGCGTGTTGCCGTACAAGTTCTCAATGAAGGAGCGCGGGGCGCCCGATGATGGGCGGGCGAGGAAAAGCGCCAGATGAAGAGAGCGGCCGCGCCGAAGCTGGACGGCTCAGCCTAAAGAGTACAGCCTGAGAGTTTGTTCACTGGCTGATATAGGGTATAAGTGGGGCAGAAGCTCTGGACAAGATACAAGCGCGAGGAGGCGGCAGACTGTATGAGTTGGCTGCAGAAGAATGATCGGAAGTCCCTGGTTGACTGGTTTGCTGGCGCCAGGTGCGAAGAAGAGGCGCCATGCCTTGGAGGTTTTGTTCAGTATCATGTTTGAAGGAGCGCCCTTGGGCTGCACTCTGGCTGACGGGACCACAATAGCGGTGAAGTAAAAAGGACCAAACCTCAACAAGGTCTGCTGAGATTAGGTGAGAATTTCCAACACAGTTGAGTCCCCTCTCACGACAAGAAGTGTTCATATTGCTCACTTTCTTCAGATCATTTCGAGAGGAATTACAGCCAACGTCTCCGGCTGATCGATACGCTCCTCTAACATGTACTGGCGTGTCTTTTGCGATTTCTGTAAAGGAAAATTAGAAAGGAAGCACTCAGATATTGATGAGTTGCCCGTCCAAGAAACAGACGTAAAGCTACTCCTGCTGAAGTTGGATGAAGCGCGCGTGGCAATCAGCGGGGCGCATTCGACCTGAGATTCTGAAGCTCGTTGCTGATTATGATCTGCTCTTCTTAAGATGGGGGCTCCCTCACGCGCGCTTCTTCCAGATGAACTGATACTTGTGAATTTCCAAGCTTGCATCCAGCAACTAACAAACTTGATGAGTGACTAGAACGAAGCCAGCTGCTGAACTCACTTAGCAACAATCCGACTTCAAAACGTTGTTCTTCTGCAGGCAAGACATCTGTTGAAGCCTCGTTGTGTTTGCCAATCAACGGGGGCAGCAGCCAAACTAAAACTTCCGAATCAGCTGCGCATCTTCGAGATGGGCTGTTCAATCAGCTTTTTTAGGTGGCACTTTCCTGGGGACATTCGACAGTCCAATGATGCGAAGGGGCCAGAACTGAACCCAGATAGTCGGAGCCGTCTTTCGAAAACTCAGTCAAGAGTGATGGCGGGGGGATGGCGGACGCACGTCGGCGTGCGACGAGAGCATTTGACGTCTCTCAGAATTTCAGAACACGTTTCAGAAACTCGGGTACGCTCAGGAAGACCTGGATTGCGCATTAATGTACTTTCGGGACGAGGTTCCTATCATCATTCGGGCATCATTCACTCCGATCCTTGGCGAGTCGTCAAATATGGCTGGTTGTCAGAGAGGACGGTTTTGGACTGCTTTCTCAGAGACACCCATTATCGAAGCGGTTTCGAAACGGGTTTATCAGATTGGAAAACGCAAAAGCGAAAGGATTAGGAAAGGGTGCCCTTCTTGGGGCAGTATGACCAGGGATCGGCGCGCGGGGAACGCCCCAAGTACCGGGCTCGGTGAATGTTTACAAAAAGCCACGTGGAACGGCGCGCGGTTACGGGGGATGCTACTTCGAGCTGCGCGCGGACGTCCGCGCGCGCTGCACCTTCACGTACGGCAACTCCTCGGACGCTGAATTCGGGGCGCAAAAGGTCTTCGTGCCGTGTTCGTGCCCAAGAGGAAGATACGGACGCAGTGGGGTTAGTGGATTGAGTTTCGGACCTGTAGTTAGTTGTTGGCTCGCCTAGTTAGCGGTAAGGCGCCCGGTGCTCGGGCGTGAAGTCACGAGGAAGTCACGGACAGAAATGGTTTACAGTGTAGCTTGAGAAATCTACCATGTCGACGAGACTCTGTCTAGGAAAGTTGCTATACACGTGCTATATAGACGAATTGCTCTAAACTCTGTATCAGACTTGAGTAAAAGAGCGCGAATTACGGCTGTGATTCACTGGATAGTGTACACCCCGGCCTCTTGGCCAATTGTCAAAGCGGCCGATTCGCTCATGCGTCCCGGCATGCATGAGCCGCCAGGGATGTGAGTGTGTGCACAGATATGCAGCTATTGCATGAACGTGCTGCAATCCACGCATAGTCTAGAATGCAGATTCGCGTTGTCAACCCTGTGTATTTGGACTCGATTTGGATCCACTCCAAAGAATGAAGCAGGCGCCATTTGTTATCCGTCGCGCAATTTGTTCAATGCATCAACCGGCCAGGCTCCTCCATTAAATGATTGTTTGTTTACAGTCCGTTCGGGGCCACGACTGGCCTAGTGGACTATCCTATCAAAGCTAGCCTATTATTGTTGTCCTCCTCTTCGGGCTCAAATGAATGTACTTAGCAACGGAGAGTTGTTCTCTGAAATTGAGAAAGTCTCCTAAGTTCTGGCTAGCATTAGCTTGAAAAAGGTGTCTATATTGGAGCCTTAAATCTCGATATGCCTCACAATGAAACAAAAAGTGAGCCTCGTCCTCAACTTGATTGCACTTACAGACTTGGCACAATCTATCTTCTTGTATACTCCATGCCAGCGACCCGTTTCGACAGCAAGTTTATGCGCCCCTGTCCGGAATCTGGCCAATTCGAGCAAAAGGGGTGGTGCATCTTGAAGCAAATCAAGGTACTGTTCCCAATGGTATCCCCTTTTTACTTTCTCAAAGTAGGTGACATACTTCGAACCCCCTTGCTCACGAAGGTCTACCATGTAGGCCAGTTGGGCTCTCTCTAGGAGACTACGATTTGCAAAGGCGTCAGCTCGTTCTAGCTCCGGCCGGCTAACTAGCTCGAGGCCCCTCTCTACGACTTTCGCATACCAGCCCCCCTTCCCTTCCCGACACATCATCTTCGACTCCTCAAATGCGAGCTTTGCTAATCGATCTTAACATCCCTCCAAGCTTCTGGTTCCCAGCCAATCGTGATGTCGATTGCGTGACTTTCATACGATACATGACCGACTCAATTGTCGCCTACATTAGTTGCCTGATTTAAGGATTAGGTGCGTACATGTGTTCTACGAATCTGGCGCATTAAGCCGCGAATGTACAGCTAGCAAGCCCCTAATTAGCTCCTAAGCGTTCCGCAACTGTGCCAACTTACAATGAGATTGATAATCTATCTAACCTCTATTCTACCCTTACGCTTGCTCGCCCCACTTTTTTAACCTCGCAATCGAGATCTCGTGTAGCTTGCACGCCTCCTCGTATAGCAAAGCGTCCCATCTGTTCAGTTCTGCGAGCTTTGCCGCCGTGGCTTTCGATAAATTATGTGAATGCACAGCCAGCCCCGCGCTAGAGTCGTCCAAAGTGGTCGGGTTAATTAAGGTGTCTTCTAGAGGAGCCACCGTTTCTTTCATGTTAAACAAGCGAGAGACTATGGGTGCCAAAGGTCTGACGTCCGACATATTGTCCGCTACGAACACCAGCGCGAAGCTGCGCAGGTGTTGCAGCGCGCACTCGTAATGCTCGCGCGTCATCCCGGTGAGCAGCGCGCTCGGTGTGTCTTCTTCGAGCCACTCCTCAGAGGCGCGGTCACTTTCTCGAAGCCCTGAACCACATGACGGTCTGATCAAGGACAATAACGGCCAGAAAGAATAAGATACCAACTAACAATAGAATTGCGAACCTGCAAGCTACCTGCGGGGAGCCGTAACCAACCTACTACCCCCACATCAGCCCTACCCGTTCCAGGCTGGCAAGTGTATCATTCCCGCCGCTTATTACAATCACGCCCCTTGTTTTAGACCCTCACCTGCGCCTTGGTTGCATAAGACCCGTGTCATGTGGTTACTCTTCTGGAAACCGCCGAACTGAAACTCGTCATCCCAAATGAAGTCGTCAAACGTCGCATCGCCAGCTGGCGGGATGACCGGCGAAAGCTTCCCGTTCTGGATGTTCCAGTTCCACCAGCTGACGATACGGGACACCGGATGCCGAAGCGTGGTGACGTAAGCGAAGGAGCCCCGGTGGCCGATCGAGTGGATGCCGTACGAGAAGTGGCCGCTGACGAGACGCGCGCGCTGGAAAGTGCGTTGGAGGCGGGCGCGTATCGGCTTTGGCAGGCCGTGGTACTTCGCCTCGTAGCTATATGACCAAACCCAAGGTATGCAATCTATGTTCTTCCAGGCTGGGCTGCACGGGAGGAGATGCACTGTCGGTCAAAAGAGAGAGTGATTCGAAACTCAGGATGTCATAAACCAGTAAGTTCTTCCAACGTTGCTATTAAGAGTAAGAGAAAAAGAGAAATTTCGACCTACTCTATTGACACTTCTTGCTTGGAACTACGCGTCATGATTAGTGTTGAACTATGATGGAGCCGCTTATCTGAATCGGCAGTCGTTCCTTACAGAAACGGGATGGATGAGAATCAAAGATAACGCTTGTATGCAAGATACAGATCTTCTCAAGCGTGTTCACCTCAAAAGAAAGTGTATTGTACCCCGCCAATGAATCGGCGCCTTGCAGGGGCTAAAAAGGTGCCCCGCAGGTGGGCGCCAGCTAACGCACTTGTCTAATGCTGAAAGTGTTGCCATCGAAGCCCTAGACATCTTCGCGACACCCAATTGTCACAGGCCTGTTGGGCGTCAACAGTGCCTTAATACGGAGTGGTGCCTTTACGGTGACAAGACAACAACTATTGTAGGCATGTCAACACGCAACTTTTTGGCACGGGCCTACACGGTGCATTTCATTTGCTAATTTGAGGAGGGGACAAAATCCTGATGCTTCGTAAGCACTCACTCATCCCAAGCCGCGATCCCCGGGCAGTTTTTCGGGTCGTACTCTGCGTAGAGCAGGAGACTAAAGAGCCGGTTGCAAGTTTCTCCTTCCAGTCTCTGGAGTGCGCGCATGTTGGGCTGGCACTCCGCCATGCTCTCATCCGTTGAGAACATGACGTCGAGAGTGCTGCTGGCCGTTTTCTGGATCCGCAGGAGGAAAACCGTCGCACGGCCCGCAAGGAATTGGTCGTGCAAGGCCTCCAGAGGAAGCAGGTTTGTCCTGTAAAGAAAAAGCTTTTAGAGTAGATCCAGACCCGCATTTAACACCTTTTATCATCTAATCAACAAAGAATCGAGCTGTTCAACATCGATTTGGAGTTTTGAAAGCAGAGCCCTGCTGAAATTGTGTTGATCAGATACTGATTCCCGGTGTCAACTCAACTCAGTACCAAACCACTGATGCAGAAGAGCAGCTTTCAGATGAGCTACCTGAAGCAGGAGACCAAGGGCTAACTTACTCATCATCCACCAGTTCTTCCGCTTCCATGTCGGCGCTCTTTCCGTCATTCTTCCAGGCGTGTAATTGTATGTCATCATTTGCCTGTTTCGCTGGGTTCAGCATAACTGGGGCGGTTTCATTTCGATTCTGGTGCTCGATGACCGAGTGCTCCAGGGTGCCAGGCACCTCAATCCAGGTCATCCGGTAAAGGGCCCCATGGAAAAGATAAAGGTAAGCTGCCAAGAACAACCAGCAGAAGAGGAGTGGGTTTAGGCATTTCCAGCGGTTGAATGCTGGCTGTCTGCAGCTTGCGCGGTGGTTCGGAGGATCCATTCTAAAGCGAGCGACAACTGCCTGAGAAACGAGCCTTCCAACGATAGTCGTCTCTCAATCCGCAGCCCTTGTTTGTACATCGAGTCTCTTTCTTGCTCGGATTGATTGTCCTCTCTATTTCTAAAGGAAGGGGCTTCACCTTCGAAAAGTAGCATGACCTACTCTGGCCGCTAGAGTCGTTTCCAAAGCTGAAGCCTTTTCTGTAAAATTTGCCTGTCACATCGAGCGGCAGAGGAATTGCAAGAGACTAGATTACGAAACGCGGACTAGAAGGAGCCTTGACCATATCTGCGCCGGTCTGCCGCAGACAAATGTCGGTTGTGAACAAGGTTGTACATGCTTCAGGGAAGCAGAACTGGCAGCTCATATAAGAACCTTGACCTTAATCCGAACATCTGGTCTTCTAATGCTCAAGCCGTTAGCGCCCAAAACCCAGGTCTTGACAAATTCAATGCTTGGTTGTCTGCAACCCTTTCCTTGATGTGACGCAACAAAGCGCAAATCTACGTAAAACGTTGTGTTGTGACAAGCACTTGAACTTGAAGCAGTCCGAGTGAGTTGTCATAATGCCGTCATATAAGATCTTACCTATTGTAGGTAGCAGCGAGCTGCGAGAAGTTGAGACTCGAGAGCTACCAGCACATTGCGCAGTGCACTGATCGCGACCTCAACAAGAGTCAAATGTGACCACCCTATAACTCCATGAGTCTGACTCCGACAGTTGTCTCATGAGTGCGGGGAGTCTCCTCATCGACGGTTGAGATTGAATCTTGTAAAATGATGACGTACGTAGTATTCGATACCTTCGATAATAATGTAAATACTCTCAGGCAGTAGGTATGTATCAACCAAGTGTAAGACCTAGGAACTTTAGTGTTCACACTCTTCGACACAGCCTCGTCTTTCGAGTACATGTACCGGTAGTGCCAAAATCCAAAACCCTCGAACCCTCGTGAGGGTTTCCTCACCGGCCGGCCGCGCACGCGCGGTGGAAAGAGTCGGCCGACGCGCAGGCCGCCGCAGCGCATCCGGTGGCGCGACCTTGCATTTCCACTCAACTCCCTCCAACTTCGCATAGGCTATGGGCCATACGGGACCGGGACCGGGCCATACGGGACCATAAGCTGTCGTCCCGCGGACCATTCCCATTTTGTGTCTGGCATCATCTCGCTGGACCCTTGCCCAGTGACGTTTGCTAAGTTCGCTGAGCACGGCTTGCGGGTGCCGTGACAAACTGCGCTTCTAACAATCTGTCAACGTAGGGCCGCATTTGCACGCCCTTCGCACGCAGTTCCAAAGGGAAACACCCGCAGTAGTGGCCAATGGTGCCCATGCGAATGTCGCCTCGTCAGAAGTAGGGGTGGCTGTAAGGGCGGCCCAATTCGAGTGCAACCCTGATCGATAGGACCTTTTCCTATCTGCGAGTGGGGCAAGAGATGCGTTGCTACCTGGAAACTGCAGGTCAAAGCTGGGAAATCAAGACTGGAAGATAGTCTACAACCAGATGGCACAGGGGGAAAGGAGAGAAAGCTTGCGGCAAATTCTGAAGGAGGTACTCCCTGCTGAGTACGAGGCGTTTGAGGACGATGACTGTGACAACCTTATCAGGAGAAGGTTCACTAAGCTTGGGATGCTCAGGAACGCTGGAGCACTGAAGACCCTGAGGAATGGGCCAGATCCGTTGCCTGAAGCCCTCGTGTGCGCCCTGGAGTCTGCAGCAGAGAAGGGTGAGCAGCTGAAACCTTTTTGACTTGAAGATCATGTACCAATCGTATGTGCAGAGAAGCTGTGACAGAAAAGACTCAGCAAGGCTACTGCGCGCTTGAGCATGTCATTGCGGCTGTCTACTTGTTGACTCTTCAGAACAACAGTCAGTGCAATCCTCACAACAGTCATTCCTGTGCAACATCATTCGTGCATGCCTGTGGTCGGGCAGAGCGCCGGAGCTCTCTGGTTTACCGTAGATGCAGTGATCCTTACCGACCCTCCAGTGTGTTGGTGCCAGTTTGGAGCATGTCCCTCTGCTTCCCGGGTTGTTTCACCTGACAGGCCAGACTGAGTTGACATGATCTCTGAGCCGGGTGGTCTGCTGTGAAGTTGTCTGGTTGCAGCATCCAAGGCAGCCTGTTGGTAGAAGGCAATGCTTAGCCTGTCACCCTGCCAGGATTCATAGTGACGAATGAGGAGCCTCACTGCAAGACATCGTCCGCAAATTTAACCTTTCTTCTGAGGATGCTAGGTTCTTCTGCAGCGAGGACGTTTTTGGCTGAGCAGCAAGCAAGAGCTTTTCTTCCGCTTCTGCCCAAGGGGTTCATTCTATCATAGCTCATGCTCATTTCCGGTAGCTGCACTTTTCTGTGGAAGAAGTGTCTAAGCGCTTAGAGTTGCGTTTGCCGGGGTCTTGATCGAAGAAGGCACCTGCATTGAAGCTCTCTTTGCTGGTAGTTACCCATTTTGTCCTTTCATGTAGCCTTGATGCAGGACTGTACTTCGGTGTCTGTCCAACCCTATTTCTGGGGCAACATGGAATCTGCTGTTCCACTTTGGAGAATCTGTGTTGCGATCTGAAGCAGTTGGTTGGAGATTGTAATGATAGGGCGCATGCCTTTTATGTAATCCTTAATCGGTTTGTTCTCATGAAAGAATCCTCCTTTGTGCAGCCCTTCAACCTCCTCCAAAACGAGCCTGCAGAAGGATGAAGGCCTTCAGTCTCCAAGATGGGATTGATAAGGAGGGGTTCTTTAGAAAGTCGGAAGAGGCCCCGCAGGTCATTGAGATGATCAAGAAGGGGAAGTATCCCCTCATTGCAGATGTTAGGAAAGCAGGAAAGACGACGCTGAAACAGGAGATCGTGGACCTGCTTCATGGACAAACAGTAGACACGATCAGGGGCGAAAGCGAAGTCAGGGTAGTTGCAGTCACGCTGGGGTGGGGTTTGGAGATGCACGGACAGGTGATTTTCCTGCACCAGAGTCTCAAGTTCAAACTTGAACATCTGCAACAAGGTTCTTCGCGCTTGATTTTGTTCCAAAAGCTGAGAAAGATCTAACGGTGGTGCAGCGACCGGGATCCTCTCGTTATTTCCTGCGCACTTGCTCTCCTCATAGTGTTTGCTGCCCTGCTTTCGCTGATTGTTCTTGCTCATGTAGACACAGCTGCCAGAGCACTCGGTAAACGATTATTTGTTATCATTGCAGGAGTCCGAAACAGCATTCTGGAAGTATGTGATCGACGATGTCGTTCGGAAATCTCAGGGGCTGCTGGTGCGACATCCAGACACGACAGATTCCGCCGCGGGGTTTGCGAGCCTCTTCCAGTGGGTCAGGCCGACTGGTCCTCTGGTTGTGCTGTGCGTCGATGAAGCCTCCGAGTTGGCAAAGGCCTCCATCATAAACCGTGCGAGCCTCATGCACTGCTTCCGGGATATGCGCGAGGCCGCCACGCGCAGGCAGCACCGGCTACTTTCAGTCGCTTTCTTCGGCACCTTCACGGTGCTGCGGATTGTTGACGAGCTTAACGAGGGAAGACCGGGGCCGTCAGGGTAAGGCTTTAAATACCATGCCGTCTGGTCACTCTTGAACAGTCCGGTGGCTCTTGTCGGTCATAAAGGCAGAGCGTAAGCTTTTCTTTCAAAAATATTTACGCCTTGGTATCCTGACCTGTGGCTGCCCAGTTACCAACACTCATCTCGTGCGCACATTCTTGTCGAGTGGCTTCGCTCCAGAAGGTTGTCTTAGCTTTGTAGCAGAAGAAGCGGATCCTTTCAAGGGTCAAAAAGTGCCTTGTCAATCGAGGTCGTCATTAATTGCGGTTTTGCCAAGAATGCATAGTTACCTGGTCTTCGATACGATCTGAAGTGCTCATTATCGACTCGAACAACGCTCACGAGTGGATAGTGTCTTCTGAAGTCGAGTTTCGCTTTGCCTGGTTTCCCCTCCCTGTACGTCTGTTTTCGGTGGCTCAATGTCCAACCTGAGCCGATCTTCAATCTAGATTTTTCATTTGCAGCGCCATTTTCCGGACGTCGCCGTTCCTGCTGGCAACAGGTCCTGAAGTGATCAGGGGCCTGAGGCGCTTTTCTATTGAAGACATCGTTCAGCTGCTGGAAGAGTACGCCGAGCTGTGCAGAGAGGAGCTCGAGAAGAGGCCGGTTGCGCTGCAGGACCTGCAGAGAATTGCAGAGTCCATCTTCGAGAAAACCAGGGGCCACAAGGGCCAGACCGTCGCGTGCCTCATGGCGTTGCAGACCAAGCAGCTCCTAGAAAAGAATCTAGACGGGCCCCTCATTGTAGAGCAGTGGCTGCAGTACCTCAGGACAGACCTGCCTGCGTATGTCGCTCAGTCCACTGTCTTTCGAGCCACAGTCCAGAGCGCTCTCCAAGCCACTCCAGCCCAGCTCGAGCTCCTCAGCTCCGTCCTCTATAGTGGAACCGCAACTGTGCCGGCTGACCAGGTGCAAGAGATCGCAGAGCCGTTGCTAGCAGAAGGAGTTCTTGTGGAAGAAGCGCACGGGGAATCGAGCGAGTTTGGCTACCGGAGAGCGGCAGTCGCCCAGGCGAAGTCCCCGGTGACCCTCGCGCTCGCATCCCCGCTGATTAGCAGCTGCATCTTCTCGAACATGGTGCGCGACGTGGTTGACTGCGTGCGAGCCTGCCCCCGGAGAGTACTTGGAGTACATCGACTTCCTTGTGATTGAGGTAACGTGGCTTCGTTAGGAAAGCTTCTCCTTTGAGTAGTAGTCGGAAGCTTTGATGTGCTGGGATCTTGTTCGTTCGCAGACATGTCATAGGCGGCCAACCCTTCTTTGGTGTACATTTGCCCTTCCAGCGGGTCCAAGTTCTGTTGGACGGTGACTAGAACGCCGCACTGCAATGTGCAGCTTCACATATCAGGCGGCCGTTACGAAGTTGACATGGATCAACTATGAGCACCCAATAATGTCACTTTGAGTCAGACTCGCAGCAAGGCCAATTAAGGCAACATCTTTAAGCAAGTCGATTTCAAGATGGTTCTTTCCATGACAATGGCCAGTAAAAGCGCACTGTACACCGAAATCTAAAATAAAGCCGACAGTTCTTGGCACAATCCGATCCAGTCTTTGGACCACACTCATACCACCTGTCCAACCAGCAAATCTCCACTCTAGGCAGCATTGTTGTGTTCGCTGCATAGAGTTTGTGCATTTGAGAGCCTTTGCATTCATACCCAAATATCGACTGTTCACGTGTTAAAACCCCTGTTTACGCCTTGCAGACGGTGCGCAATCTGAATTGGGCCACCATTGCCTGTCACAGAGCAGCAAACGCGTCGGGGGAGCCGTCGGAGTACGCACTGCAAGGCCAGTTCTTGTTGATATTGAATCAATTGCTACGGAAGACCGAAAAGGTCCAATTCTTCAGGTATGAAAACTGGCCCCTTCTTTCATCTTTTCCTTCGCCTGCACTTCATAGGGTGGGTGAGGAATGTCGACCCTGCATATCTCTGCCAAATTATCTCCTTGTATTCTTTGTCTGGTCGGCCGTTCTTGAAGTGCAAGGTCTTGGTTTCGACCTCTTCGTTATGTATCTTTTCAGTGCCCAGGAAGAGAATAAACATGCCAAGAGGAAAAAAAAAACCTCAGGGGCTTGCCATTCTCTCTCAAGGATATTCTTTTCTTTAGACTGTTTGACGTCACAAGCAGAGAAAAGTGAAGTCAGTCTGTCTAGTATTTTCCCTAATATCCCTGATTTAGCATGTAAAATATCCTCTTAGTGTTTGTTCATGCATCCTTTGCCTCTCCACAGCCTAGTCGCGGAGGCCAGGAACATAACGACCACCTCGGGGAACGTACGAAGACGGATCGACTTCCTCTGCTGGCCCCTTCCACATCGGCTCGGGACTATTAGGCCCTTCGCGATCGAGCTGATTGCGTTTGCTGGGAGGGCCGACATCCTGGAGCACATGAGGCGTGGGTACCCGAAGTTGCACGCCGCTGACGTGGACGGACGAGTCGAGACGTGCCACACAGTGGTCGTCCACGTGTCAGCGGACTGGGCTGCCAAGAGGGGCGCCATAGACTACTTTGGGCCCCCCGAGGGTGTCGAGGACGTGCACGTCGTGCAAGTTCTTTTCAAAGAGAATGGGGCCAAGGCACGGATAGCATTCGAGGATAGGGATAGGGATAGGGAGATTCCAGTAGCGGGGCTGCGCAAGGAGGCCAAAATGGTTCTTTCAAAGCTGACGACGCCTCCCAGCTCCACTCCGGGCACCCGAAGGCCTCCTCTTCCCCAGCCCCGTTAAGATAAGACAATCAATCATTAGATGGACGACAAGTGGGTCGTTCAAAAGGTTCTGGTTTCGCTTGGAGAGTGCTAATTGTCATCAAGTGTAGTGGTCTGACCTGTGCTTTCGCTTTGACAGCTTGTGATCTGACTGCGGTAATACGTTACAGGCCGGATTATACCCCAGATTTGCAGCAAGTCAGAATCCCGTACGGAAGTGACAGAAAGGGTTCGGTTTCTTGTTTGGAATATATGTGCAGTCAAATGTGGTTGGCAACCTTTATTGACAGAGTCTGAGGCCAACATACGACTGCCCATGGGCGGCTCCTCCGATATCCATGGATGTGATCTTAGTGCCTGTTGTTGCGCATACGTCCCAATATTGCATAAGTGATGTAGTAGCCTAGTCGGTTAGTTGTGCATGTTGCTTTTAGCCGAGTGGCTAAGGCACTTGCCGTTTAACAAGCTGTCCAAGCTCTTGGAACAAGTTGTCTCAACCCCCAGGTCAATGACGTTGTCATCCACACCAATGATTCGCGCTACAATTGAGAGCGCAAACCTGTCCAAAGTACGTGGCCAAGCTGCTCAAATCTATGGGGACCTTGCATTCGACCCCGAGTGGATGACAGTGGCATCAACTATACCAAACATTATATATGCTGAAAACTCTTCAAGGTGGTCAAGCTTATGGAAGCATACTTCTCGCCCCTCAAGCCAATGACATGATCCCCCATACTAAGAATAATGCGCTGCTATTAATAGCGCACACTTGCAAGCTGTTGATAGTGCAAAAGAATCTAGAGTGTCCATGCAAGCAATTCAAGGTTTTGGGGAAAAGTGGTCTTGACCTCCAAATAATGGCGTCATCGACCATACCAAGCAATATGCGTTCAAATCGATAGTTCAAACATGTATAGCTGCCGTTCGACGTTTCACTCGGAGGTCAGCCCCTCGAGCATAGCCTGATGCCCGCACCAGGGGCAGGACCTGTCGTGAGGGCACCAATACCACTCTGAACCGAACCGTTCCCTCGAGCCTAAGACGGAAGCTGCCACTTCTAGTCTCTAGCTAGCTTGCCAGCTGCCAACTTGCCTCGCAGGTTGAGCAGGTCCTGTAGGAAAGCGCTGCAAGCACCAAGCGCAAAGTGGTTTAGGCATGGGGTAAGTGATTGCGTCATGGTAGCCTTTCATATTCGGGAGTTGAAATCTAGCGGAAGCTTTTCTCCGGAGGTGCTTGAGCTTTTGGTGTTTGGGACCAACCAATCTGCTTTGCTGTGCTTCAGAATTTGGAAGCTGTGGTTCTGCTCTGAATTGGTTTGTGCTTCAGTTCAAATTGAGTCTCTCTTATGTGTGATTGCAGCTGTGATCAGCAGAGGTAATCCATGGCAAGAAGCCCGCTTTGTGGCAGGTCCAAGTCTGATTAAAGGGTCTGCCAGGCTGCTCGCTTTGCATGCGCTGCAGAGTACAGGGAGCGCATCTTAATGAGTGTAGAAAGGCAAGAGATTCTGATTGCTACTGTCAATGCGCGAAGCAATGACACACCTGTCCTTCGCCGTCGGTGCTGCCAAAGAGCAAAGGGATTGAAGCATGAGGGGCAAATTGCTCACAAAGTTTCAGCACGCGGGCGCTTCAGCGCTGCTGATCAGAAAGCCAAGCGGCAGGACGTGCGGGTGCTCAAAGAAGCTGTGAATTGTGCTGTGGAACGCGGTAAGTTTGCTTCTTCAAAAGCTAAGTCTTAAGGTCAGGGGATCACAGGCCCTAGATTTATACCATTGTTTCAGGAACAGAGTGATTTATATCAGGGATTGATAAACTTTCATGAAGATGACCAGCAGAATCTTCAGTGGTATGGCTGGACGTGCGTGGGGAATTGTACTAAGCTTTGACCAGTTACTTCTTAGAGCTATCAGTGGGTCATTTTCTGGTAGATCGCCAGAAGTTGGTGGCATGGCTGGGCTTGGGAGCGAACCAGGTTTTGACCACTTTTCCGTAAGCAAGAGGTGACGGCATGCCTGGGCGCGCGCAAAAGAATGTACCAAGTTCTGGCCAATTCTTTCTTTAGATATCAATAGGCCATTTCTTGGTACAAAGCCTGAACTTGATGGCATGGCCGGTCCTACATGCAGGTGTGTGCGGGTAGGATTGGCCCTGCATGATTCCCTAAGTCTTCTTCTCTTTTCCAGACCCGCATGCCATTCGCTGCCGCGAGTGCGACATGACCGCAGAGTATGGTCTCCGCGGGGGCAAGAGGGAGGGGCTGTCACATACTTCTGCGAGAGCCATGGCCCATCAAAGGGTTGTTTCAAGATCGACAAGGACCGCGCAGGTGAGAGGACACACACACACACCTCCTTTGTGTGCAGCCATCCGCACCTTGACCTTAATCGTTCAGGTCTTTGCATGGCGGCAAGCTGGCTGCAAGTCCGCATCGTGCCCTTTCTTGTTTGCAGCATGGGTTCAGGGGCGCGAGAAGATGCGGAGGAGTGCAGATTCTGCCTGTCACCAATGGGGGCAGCATCAGAAGTGGGCAAGGTCATGGACGGCGACAGCAGGTGAGCGCCCAAAATCTGTTGAACGAGAACCTGGTTCAGCACTGTGCCAAGCCACCTGTCACACCAGTTGGTTGGTAAATAAGGGTGATGTCTGACCTGTGCAACATCTGGAGAGGTTTCAAGCGGCGCCCCAAAAGCGGTGTACCAAGGAAAAGCGTATTGTAATACGTCAACTCTGTACTTGTACCAGGAAACGACCTATTACTTCTTAAGAATCCTAATGGGTGTTTCTTGGTCCACAAATGTGGCACGGTTGGTCGGACAGATTGCATGCCCTCAACAAGTCTCATGATTTTGAGAACTTCTGCAGGGTTCTGGTGGTCGATCGTGACACCCCAAGAGCAGTTCTGACCCATTCAGTGCCGCCTTTTCAGAGCCCGCATGCGCTGACCGCAACGCCCACGACAGCCCCCTTGCAACGAACCCCCATGCGACCATTAGCAAGTCAGAGTCGAAGTGCGGTCTTGGCGCAGCCCGCCATCAGCATGCCGCGAATGACGAGGTGCAGCCCGGGCAGCTTCTCGTCCACCGCGCAGAGGGCCAGTGCGCGCTGTCAAGCGGGAGCGCCAGGTTTGGGGTTGAGCCCGCTGCCACTAAGAGCGTGCTGGTCAGGAGCGCATTCCAAGGTGAGCGACGACTCCTCGTTTCAAACGTACCCATGCGTGTCAACTCGTGACAAATTCTGGGAGTGCTGAGAACTGGCACGTCTTTCCCCTCAGACATCGGACATGAAATTCTTGGCCTTTTCTCGGTACATCTTGGCAGGTATGGTAGGGGCCCCTCAAATACGTTGTGATGCCTTGCAGAGTGCGGGGGTTTGTACCAAGAAAGGCTGTGTTACATCTTCAAAAACAAACGGGCGTTTTCTGGTACATCCTATAAGGTATGGCTGGGGCCCCTCAAAGATTCTGCAGGGTATGGCCGGCCCCCCAAAAACGGTGTGATGCTTTGCAAAGTGCAAGGCAGTGTACCAGGAAACGCTGTATTACTCTCCTTAAGAATCTAAGGGCGTCTTTCTGGTCCATCCTGAGGGGTATGGCCGGCCTTGTCCAACAGGCGCATGATCCGAGCATCCAGCGCACAATCAGCGTGTACCAAGAAACGCTGTGTTACTTTCTTAAGAACATATCGGGCGTTTCGTGGTACATCATGCAGGGTATGGCCTTG